TATTGCCACGGTCCTCACTCCGGCAGGAGCGAGCCTTGTCCGCAGTCCAGCAGACAACTTCTTTGGGTAACTGTACCCCCCCGGGCTTCTCACGTGGATATTGCCACAGTCCTCACTCCGGCAGGAGCGACCCTTGTCAGCAGTCCAGCAGACGGGACCCTTGTCTGCAGTCCAGCAGACGCGACCCTTGTCCGCAATCCAGCAGACGAAACACTTGTCGCATAGAGCCCAGGTACGCTCCGCCTGCCCCCGTTGATGCCGTCGTTTTCGCTCACCGCCCGTCGCAGGAAGTCAGCAGGATCCTGTCGACTGTGCCAGTCAACTTTCCGAGGGGGAAGGGGCCCGGTCAGGATGGTGACGACCGATGATGGTGTTCGCCCGATGGTAGTCCCCCGGGAAGTCGAATAAGAAAAAAAAAAAAAAAACTAAAAGTTGTTCGATCCCGCTGGACACATTACGACGTTGGTAGGTTTACGGTGGCCAGTGTGGCCACGTTTATTTTGAAAACACAACGACAAGTCAACGGTAATATACAAAACTTCCAAAATTAAAACCCCGTACTTTAGTCCCCAGTCTCAAGAGCCGAATTCCCCCGAGAACCCTCTCGGCAGCCCTTTTCTAGCCTCGTAGATGCCTCCTTTCCCTCCAGAGATGGACCAATCACTTCAAATTTCACCACTCCCACGTGGTACACTGTCGTCCAATGGTCGGCGAGCTGTCATCCTGTCGCTGTAACCGTCAAACCTAAATTCCTTGTAGGGTTGTTCTCTGCAATTTTTCCAGTCTGACTGGCGCCAACCGCTAAGTTATTGCATCGGGCAAAAAGCGACAATTTTACACTAAGCAGCGAAACCCTCTATATACAGGCACATTCGGCTAAAAGCCACAACCAGCTGCAAGAAGGGATCTGTCCGAGCGGACTACCGAAACCCGAAACGTTTCTTAACGACCGCGGGGAAGCCGCTCCCCACTCCCGGCCGCTCTGCCCCCGCAAATGCTCCCTCCAAAACGCCGACACTCACAAAGAAAGCTAAAAAAAATAAAACGATGCCGACGCAACTGTAGAAAGATAGACTTTTCTAAAACAAACTTTACTTATTTCTAACAAAATCCATCGTTACTTAACAAGAACTTCTCCCATTTTCCGTGGGGGCGCTGCACATCGGTGAGCGGCAGAGCCGTATATTGGTGAGCGGTCCTGTGAGCTGAAAGCTATACTCTGTTTCACCTTATGTTGTACGGCAGGGAAGGCTGTAAGCGCGAGCTCCTTGCTCTGGGGCAGATCTCGGCGGCACAAGCTCTCGTGCAGTAAGGGCAGCTGTCAACGCTATGAGCTCGCGCTTCCAGCCTTCGCTGCGGTACAACATAAGGTGAAACGGAGTATTGGCGACGTGCGCGGCCGAAAGCGTCGCTGTGGTCGGCCTTCCACGATTGGCCCAAAAGCTGACTATGACGTCGGAAAGGGTATACCCAGAGCCTTTTATACTGGGAGAGTTCGGCGGGTGGGAGGGGCTTACGGCCCGCTAGGTCTAGCGGACTCAGCGGGCGCCGCTTCCGCCATGATGTGCCTCCCGGCGAGTGGGTCCCCATTGACATGCGATGTATACGCGTGTAGGTTTTGCCGTTTGCGCTTTTGTTGGCGTAAGGAGAAAGTCGAAAAATCAAGCATTTCGTTACGTTAATCATACGTTAATCATAAACTTACCTCGCACAATCGAGAACTCGGCTTCCAGTCAGCCCTTCTTGGTTTCCCAGATCTTGTGCCTTGCGCGGTTTTCTTTTCCTTGCGGGAACCGGTACATCCTGAACCGCTTTTTCGCGTTGTTCGAGCACCCAACGGCACTGCAGCCCCCCATTTCTTTTTCATCTAACGTCTGGTAGAGCGCAGCGCTGAACGATCATTTTCATCGTCGTCTCTCGCTCCATGGTCTCTAGCGAGCCGACTGCCGGCTCGAGTCAGTAGGGCAAACGGGTTTTATCAGCCGCCACCAGCCTTACACCAAACAAGGGTGAAGCTTGCAATTTAAGGTTATAATTATAATGCAATTAAATGCAAAGGTGCAATCAAGCTAGACGGCAAGGCACATCATGGCGGATGCGCACAGTTGCCAGACTGTTTGATCAGTGCTGCCAGACTGGCGGCTGGATCAAAGAACCGCCGAACTCTCCCAGTATAAAAGGCTCTGGGTATACCATCGACGGAAATAAGAGGAATGAAAGAACCTTAATTTCGGCGGTGTTGGCAGTGTTGCTTTGAGAGCGCAATGATTTCAGGCTTCCACCATGCTATTTACAAACACCATCGAACTTGTTGTTCGCAAGGTAATGACGTCACAAGGGGGAACCATAGGAGGGCGCCACCAAAACATCTCGCCGCTAATAGAGAAGGCGCCCAACGCGCTCTTGCTCCGCTACCCAGATAAAATATCTGCCTGTCATTAGAGAGTTTTAGTAGATCGTTCCCATGACTCCGATAACGATATCCCGATACTCCGCCACCGCCTCCATTGCGCATGCATAGTATCGTTATCGGGGCTATCGGAGATATCGGAACCATCTACTAAAACTCTCTAATGGCTTCGCCGATACCGAGGCGCTGCCGCGGTTGCAGAAGGCAGCAAAACTCACATCCCCCCTATGCACCGCTGTGCTCGGCGAAAATATCGTAGTGTCACTCTGCGCTCGCGTGTGTGGTTTGTGTTGGCATTTTGGAAGTTGCCGTAAATGGAAATGCGCGTTCTAGTTCTGAGTGCCAGGCGGCGATGAAATGTGCCAACTCCACTCGTGAAACAGGAAATCCTGCAGTGTATGAAGTACAATGAAGTCTGCGCGTTACCTTTCGGCCAGAACTGGAGATTGAAGCTAACGATCGAAAGCACGCTATAGGGTTCCATTTCCCATGTATTTTGTCAAAAAAGGGGCAAAAGCTCGTTACATGGCACATAAACAGCGTCTCGGTAAAAATCATGGCCCAGACCCAGGAGGGTGAAGTTTGCCCCCCCCCCCCCCCCCCCGGGCTCTACGGGGGAGGGGCACGAGCCCCGATACCCCCCCCCCCCCCCCCCCCCGAAGAACGCCTATGGGGAGAATATAACAAAAGCAAGTGCTTCCTGAGCCTTCCTTTCTCTTTTTTTTTTTTCTTTTTTTTTTTTTTTGTAGTGTTCCCGAGAAGCGCCAACAGCACTCCCCCAACACCACCTAGCTCCACCCCGCCCCGCTCAAGGTTTTCGATTAGGGTGAGGAGGGTGGACCGCCTTCCCCTGATTGGCCGAGGGGCTCTCCCGAACTCTCCGGGGCCGGGAAAAGTTCAATATTTTCAACTTTGAAAACGCAAAACGTCGCATTCACGTGACCGTTGACGTCACTGCTCTCTCTCGGATTTCTCCGAGTCCCGTTTCCGCCAGTTTTGCGGGTTGGTTTGGACCGTCCTTTAGCTGTCGAGGTGATGGGGAAGAGAGAAAAGCTGCTTTCGCACGAATTATTTGTGACAGGGCAACTCCCAAAGGGGACAAAAAAATTTTTTTTTTTATTTAGTTTTGCAGTTACGTGCTTATCAGTGCGACACGGCGAAACGCCCTGTCACGATGGCCGGATCCCCTGTTTTGAAGCTCGTCATACAAAAGAGGTTCTACGCAGTGGCCTCACTAGGGTCAGCAGCATCCAAGGCGGTGCCCCCCCCCCCCCTTTTACTCCGCAACTGCACCAGGGACGCCCCCCCCCCCCCCCCCTCCCGCACCCCTAGTGACGCCACTGGTTCTGTGTAATGGTACGTTTACACCTGAAAAGAAATCCGCTGTCGCGGGAGCGGATCCGCTCCCGGCGGTGGCGGCGACGAGCTGGTTGTGTTTACATCTATTTCCTTCGAAGAGTGGCGGCAGCGCCGGCTGCGGCAGCGGTTCCCGTAACGTCTCGCCAAATATGACGAGAAGGCGCGAGAGTTCCCGCCTCGGCTCTCTCTCTCCCGAGCGTTGCTGCTCCCGGAAGAACGTGTACTCGTGACGTAGGCAGTGTCGCGCCGCGCAAGAATGTCACATCCGGTCAGCGAAACGCCTCGTTCGGTGGCAGAAATAGGTCCTGGACCAAAACGGCTCGCCGCCGCGTTTTCCGCCCAGCGTTTCGCCCCAGCGGCAAAAGCTGGGCGGATTCGCTAGCGGATCCGCACGTGTAAACGTACCATTAAGCGCGAGACACATGGACGACAGAATCGTCCGATCCGACGTCCGATCCGACAGTCCGAACGCCGCTCCAAATCGCCGCACGCGACAGTTTGAGACACACGCTTCCGAACTTGCATGCGACACGACGATCCGTTCGGCTCCGCCCAGGGGATCCAAGCACCGCAGCGGAGGTCCGCGTTCACAGATCTCTGGTCCCAGATTGACGGTTTAGCTCACACGAGCGAAGTTCGAAGCTCATTCTCGTTAGCGCGTGCATTCTCTGCCGGGGCCATCTATTTCGAAAGGGTCAGCGGGATCCACAAGTCCGGCTTCCCGTCGCCCGTCCCGTTTTCTTGTTCGTCCCGCCAGACCCAGTACGTCATCATGACGTTCGCGCCAGCTGTGCTGTCATTGGCTGGACGCATCCGACAATCCGTCCGCCGTGCGAAACTATCTGGCGCGTTGGACGCACGTCGGATCGCCGATCCGACGCCTGAAACGACCAAATTTTTCGGATCAGGCAGTCGCACTGCCGGATCGGACGTCGGATCGGATGGATTTTTCGCGCATGTGTCTCGCGCTTTAGGAGTTCCTCCTTCTTTTTTCCAACTGCCCCTTCCCTGTACTTCAATGACCGCTCATTGGCTCGATTAGCGTTCATTAGCGTTCATTCTTTGCCAAGGCACGTGGTGATATCAAACAACTTCGTATTCTGTCGAACCTGGTTCGTGGATTGGATATGGCGGTGACTTGTGTGGACGACGTGTCCGCGTGTCCGCTTCCGAAAGCGATTCACGTCATGTAAAGGATCGCGTTCTAGCTTTGTATTTCGATATTAGGCCTCTACCAAACGGTAGTGGCCTTTCAAAAATTGGCCTAAGCTCATTGAAATGCCCCTCCCCACGGTAATCTTTAGTAAAAGGCGAAAGATTAGGTCGTGATTCTGAGGAGAGGCCTGAGCGAAAAGAAACCACCAACTCAGGATGTGATACCCGTTTTCCGCGGTGAGTAGCTTACAAAAGTCGAAGTATTAGCTTGGAAATATTATAAAATGATTTTAACCGACCATTTTTAGAATAATAAGGAAAGTCTAGCTGAATCTCTTTTGTGCTATTTTAGTTAACGTAAAGCCCCCGTTCCCACACTTGCAACTTCTTAGAATCGAGTGCCTTGAAACTTCCTAAAAACTCTGCGAGAGAACACGCTGGCGCCATCTATCGGGTAGCAGTGGAACGTGCTTATCAGTGCGACACGTCGCTATCCTTATCAACAAACGAGTTTGAATTTTTGAAACGCGGGCTGAGTAGATAGGGTAAACAGGGGATCAATAAACTTCAGTTGAGAGTGCGCCTTGTCCTGTTTCCCTTCGTCTTTGTCCCTGAATTTTTTCGGCGCTTTTTGCTTGCAATGAAACAACTGGCCCGAATCTCCACTTTACTGCAGTGGAACATTTGGCGGTCCCGTATATTTCCAATTTCTTTCGTGCATCATCTTTCATTTCATGGCTTGAAAAACATCTGTGAATGTAATAAATGACTATTTCCTAGAAGTATACGCACATTTGACATTGAAAATACCGCAAAACCTTCGCTAGTCGCAAGTGTGTGAACGGGCCTGAAAGGGATACTGAACCGAAATTTGGACTTCGCAAATTAAGGCCGCAGAAGCGTTGAGGGACGCCACGAACTCCAAAACATCGCTCATACATCGATATCTCAAACGGATGGCCGTACTTTTGGAAAAGGAGGGCGCGATGAAGCCAGGTCTTTGACGTCATTGTCCTCCGAGAGAATTTGAGAATGAGGGGAAGCAAACTCGCTTCTCTCCTCCTCGCTTCGGTTCACCAGCTCGACGGGACGTAGCGAGGAGAGGGAATGAGAATCTGACGTAACTTGTCTTGTCGGCCTCGTCGGCCGTGCTCAATCGCGGATTTCTTTTCCAAAAATACGGCGATTCGTTAGAGATATCGCTGTATGAGTGATGTTTTTGGGTTTTGCAGTGTCCCTCCCGCCTATCCGTCCAACCTTGTTTTGTAAGCTCAAAATTTCGGTTCAGTATCCCCTTAAAAGATATGCTCACCACAGTGCCTTCAGAGTGAACGCAAGGGGAATGGCGACCAAAGGCCAATCACGATAAAAAGACACATTTTTTATTTACTTTTCACTGCTACCCCCTCTTTCCTCGCTTTACCTGACATGTCAAAAATGTAAACAACAGTAACAGTAAACTCCCCCCCCCCCCCCCCCCACACACACACACACGCAGACAAATGTCTAGACGTCTTTGAATATACCACGTGATCTCTAACCGGCTCGTGGTTGTAGTTTGCGACTTCTTGATTGGCGATCCGTGGTTTTGGCTGTAGTCGAGGCTCGAGCCACAGGCGGCTTTGCTCGAGCGTAGTGAGAAAACTTGTTACTACCATTGCGTGCGCACTTGTATTGAAGGAGTACCCGAGCTTACAACCTGTCCAAGCCCGTTTCTACTTACGCGATCCGCCCAGTCCGCGACACGCACGTGTGGTTGCCCGAGTCAGGAACACTGCGCAACATTGTTAGCGCGCACAAAACAGCCGGTTTTTCTTTCTAAATGCTGACATCGAAACCACTAGTGCGATAGGAAGTGCTCATTTGGGGCACTAATCTAAGCAGTAAAGCTGAGCGACTCAAAAATACCCTCTCAAAGAGTAAAACGCGACAAAAGGCGCCGATAATCATGTTCGTGCCACGTGTCGCGCAAGGGAGTTTTAGCAGATCGTTTTTTCGCCCCGATGACGATACCTCCTCTCCTTTCCGGTGGCCTTGGCCATGCATCGTATCGTTGCGAAGTCGATTATCTGATCAACTTTTTTTCAGAAGTGAATAACGGCGGCTTTTAAAGGTGTCCGAGACTCGGAGCCTTATGGACGCCATCCTTCAAATCCCTCTTGCCTCGAGCCAAACAGCACTTCATAAACGTAATTTTCGCACATCTGGACAACCGGCTATGCAAGCGTTTTCTTCACTTTTCCAGCATTTGGGATTGTCTTTGCTTCGTCAGATGCTTGGATACTTTACACAGCAGAGGACATCACCGTAAAAGAGACAACACCGATGAGAATATAACAGTCCAGCGTGCGATCTCCTTAGCTCAGCACGCCCACGTTCGTCGCTTCGCAAAAGCGAGCAAGGTACGCGCCATACGCACGAGCATTGAAAATGTAACCGGCCAGGAGCTTTTTCTTGGAAAGGTCTATACACCAACTCATGTTTACAAATAGAGTGCCTTCATACACACGCGCGCTTTTGCTTGAGTGGTGACATCTCAGCCATTTTTCCGCCCAATCGTTTCTTTATGCATTTTGAAGCGCGCGGAATCTCGTGTCACTCAGCTCGAGCGCGTAGCTTTGGCTACTGCATAGACTCTATTTTACCGCCCAAGTCACGCACCGAGTGCGCGAGAGCGTCACGCGCTGACACATTCAGGGCAACAATGGATGTCTTCACCCTCGGACAGACAGACATGTAGGTACCCTATTTACAAACAAACCGGAGCGCCCCTAGCGGACGCCACCGGTGCCGCGCATGCGCAATGGGGGTGTGGGCGAGAAGCTCGCCGTCGCCCATAAACAAACCATACGCCTCGCAAGTGGGCTCATTTTCGTTTTCTGCGCATGAGAAAGGAAGTAGCGGTGACGTCAGAGCGCCGAGCCCTGATTGGCTGATCGCGACCCCCTATCTGAGCGTCGTCTGCTCCTTTGCAACGTCGTCTGCTCGCAACGTCGTCTGCGTCTGTCTTAGCTTTCCTGCGACTTTCGGAAGTCGAGCGAGCTCCACTTCGCCTTTCAGAGAGGGCAGACGAAATAACTCGAGCGGTTCGTTGTTTTTGTCTAACAATTAGCAGACACGCATCAAGGAGGGAAGCCAAAGGATTCACTGGCGAGCTGTCCCGAGGCGCCGAGGTTTGTTTGCTAAGAACCGAGAGGTGAGGGTGGTTAGTGTCCGCAAGTTCCCTCCCAAATACTTTTTCCCTCCTTTAGTGTGCGGCGAGACCCCTCACTCTTTAAAGGCGTCGGCGGGTTGGCGCAGTTAACGTCGTCTGCTTCGCGTCTGCTAGTCAAAGCGACGGCTGCTTTACCTTTCCTGCGTCTGTCGGAGATTCACCGTTTTTTCACCGGCGAGAGTCACCGTTGCCTCGGGAAACAAGGAGATAACAAGAGGACGAAATTGACCTTTTAATCCAAAATTGAGGTCAGCAATCAAAGTATAATACGGGAAGGGTTCACAAGGGTCGCGCGGGCATATTCCATTCAGCACGCCAGCCGGTCGTGGGCAGACGGTCGCCGAGTCGCGGAGTGCCTGCTAGGCCTACCTGCTGAACTCGCTTGGTCGCGTTCGGTGGAATCGTGGCCGGTGGAGCTTTTCCCGTGTGTTTGTGGATCCAGCGTTCTTGTTCGTCGTGGTCTGTTTCAAGTACTTTTTACTTTTTTCTTGCTGCTTGAAGTCGGGACGCGTGAGAAGCGCACGTAGAAAAATAAACGTCCGTGGGTCGTCGCGACCGCGACGCTGTCGGCCATGCTGATTTGATCGTAAGAAGTGCGTAAGACGGCTTCGGATCTGTCGTAGGATTTCGTCGTAACCTGCGCAAAACTTACGAAAATTTTGTTTCGTGAATACGAATTTGTTCTTAAGTTTTGTCTTACGGACATTTTTGGCGTAAGATCGTTTCGTGAATCTAGCCTCTGCACTTCCGAAAGTCGCAGGAAAGGTAAGACAGACGCAGACGACGTTGCGGGCAGACGACGTTGCAAAGGAGCAGACGACGCTCAGATAGGGGGTCGCGATCAGCCAATCAGGGCTCGGCGTTCTGACGTCACCGCTACCCCCTGCGCAAGAAGCAGACGAACTTGCCCTCCGCATTGAAATGCGATGTTGTCGGCGTCAGTGTGAGTCCCCCTGCCCTTTTTCGCGTTCGCATTGTTGATTCTACGTCTTCCTGGCAAGGTCTGACTACTTCAGTGGCGTCAGCGAAATTACCGAGGCTCGTTACATCGCAAAACTTCGCGTGAATAATGTGACATGCGGCGATTCATTCCGCGTGGACGCCGCAGAATGTACGCTAAAGCCTGAGTCGCATGATGAGATTTGGCTCACAATTTTCAGTCCGGACGTCGGTCGGGCTGCAAAAGCGTGAACCGTAGCTGAGATGGTCGACGTCGATGCTGAAAATCTCAAGCAGAATCGGACCAAGTGAATCAGGCATAACAAGTCGGTGATGGCCACTGGTAACAATTATCAATGCATCCTTGTATCTACTGTTTACATCGAGCCTGCTTACCAACCTTCAAATTTGAGTCTTTTGAGGCCTGCACTTACTTCTTATCGCAAGTACCGGGCCCACGTTTGGTCTACGGGCCGGTGTCGTCTAAAAGAGCAGACGACAAGCAGAAACGTTTGAAAGAGCAGACGGCAGTTGAAACAGCCAAGCGGCCGTTTGAACTTGAAGACGCACTGAACGTAGTCCGCAGGTGGTCCGTACAACCTCGCGGTTTTCCGCCGTCGATGTTAGAACAAAACAAATACATTTGATGACCAGAAGTATCCGTGAATTCAATCCAAAGTGCTTCCCGCCCAAGCAATCGTGGTCGACGGCGTCTTTTTTTCCCTTTTCACGGCACATATCCACCTTCTCGGACGAACCGAGCACATGAAAACTGGCCTTCAAACCTTTCCCGACTCTTTTAGCACAGCCCCAGTCGCGGCGTTTTGACGAGAAGGCATGTTTTTGTCAGGTTCCTTTCAAAACAACGCAGGAATACACGTCTCGCATAGGGACTTTTGCCCACAGCCCCAGACCGGAAGTGCGACCGACGCGCCACTACCGCGCCGTGACGTAACAGAGCTTTTCTAGCTCGTTCATTATGACAAGACGCGACGGGTTTTGTGGATGGCAGAGCAGGTTAATGGCGATTTTTATACAGGCTTCTTTCGTGAGCTAATAAAGCAGTCATTTGTTAAAGGGGCCATGAAACAATTTTTCTACTTCCTCCTTAGCTTTAATCGTCAACTCAAACGCGAATTGTGAAATCACGTGGTCGTGACATTCCTTCGGCACCGGTGCGATGACTCCTAGCTTCCACCGTGCTTTTTATGCACACCATAGAACTTGTCATTCCCCAGTGACAATAAGTTCCGTCAGGGCACTCATTGGCCACGAACGCGAATCCAAATATTCCTCGACGGATTGATTGTTGACGAGCGCATACGTCCGGGTGACGCAGTTCTCGTGTCCAATGCGTGAGCTGGGCTCTGCTGACGTCAGTTTGGCGCCGGTGACGCGCTTTTGGAACCGCGGATGCATCATAGTGAAAAGGCGCAGAGCTTTCGAAGGCAAGAAGGTACAAAATAGTCCGCTGTATTTTCAAATGTTCGTACCGAAAAGCTGGCTTTTGACTTTCTAGCCTCTTTCTTTTGGCCAACTAAACGATATGCGATTAGTGAAGTCCCAATTTAAAATCATTCATCCCAACCCAAAATTCGTTTCATGGCCCCTTTAAGGCGTGCTGTGCATTATAATTTTTTTTTTCGCGCAAATTAGACTTTATGTGCAGCCTATGCAAGAATAAATTTTCAACCAAAATTAGGGACGGCGCCAGGATCTTCATAATGGGGGGGCAGTGGGGAGGCGAACCAAATTGGAGGGAGGGGGGGGGGGAGGGGCGGTTGCTTTGAGGTGCTGTCGCCCACGGGCTTATGCAAGATAGCTTATGCGGTGTGCTCATTGAAAAGGGAAATGCGGAGACACGAGGAGGAAGACGGGGGGGGGGGGGGGGGGGGGGGGTATCACAGCAGGGACCTCTGCCCCCTGTGCTGAGCCTCACAACCAGGTTTTGCTTCCCTTTCTCAGACAGTGCGGAATTCCCCATAACCTCGACTTTAGCTAAGCTCCCCTTCGTTCACGTCTCCGGTCTCCGCTGAAGATAAGCACCACAGAGCGGAATACGGAGAAAGGCCAGCAGGCGTCACAAAGGGAAGCTGCTTTTTCTAAAGCGCTTGACAGCTTACTCGCCCGCGGTTAGGGAGACATGAAGGCACCCTACCCGCGGTACGACTTCCAGTGGCTGGAAGTTAATAGTAAAAAAAAAATAAAACGCATGAACGGCTCTAAAGTCTGGACACTCGTTGCACTGGGTCTTCAAGCCGACGTCGTAGGCAATTATTTGTGTACAAAGCTGCTTCATCTTGGGGTGGCAGAAGAAATTTTAGGGGAGGCGCCCGCCACCCCTCGCATCCCCTTGGCGCCGTCCCTGCCTGGGAAATATGGTACAGTGCTAATCACACTTGTCTATAACGCGCGAGCGTGCGGCTTTCTCCGGGGAGCGCTAGACTGGTGTCATTCGCGGAAACTAAGCTAGTCACGTGGCGCAACATGGAACGGCCCGCTCGAAGGGTGTCCTGCCAAAAGGTGTCGCGAACCGGTCGCGGTTCGAGTTCGACCAGGTTCGACTTTTTTGAACTTTTAGTAGAAAGTTCGACGAACCTTGTATTGAGGTTCGACTCGTGTGCGCATGCGCGACAGGCTGGCCAGTTGGCTTCGGATTGGATGGTAATGGCTAAGAGATGAATTAAGTGCAGCGCTGATTGGCTATTTCAGTCAATACAGTACTAAAAATTAAGTTATTAACTTCTTCAGTAATTAGAATTAGTTTCTTTTAATTGCAGTTGTTCACAAAATAAAATAACCCCTTGCATAAAAAAAAATTCTCCAAACCTAGACATACTTGTATTAAGGTCTGGCCACACTGTCCATAAAGTCGAACCGGTCGAATTTGGTGAAAAGTTCGAAGGTTCGTCGAACCGGTTCGACTCAGTCGAACACCGGAAGTTCGACCAAAAAATCTGGTTCGACAAAAGTTCGCGACACCCCTAGTCCTGCCCACTCTATCAGCTGGCGGTGAACGCGGAAGGCTGCTTGCACGCTTTTTACAAACATCATTGCTTGAACAATAAACAAACTAAAGCATGACAAAGCGTATCAGGAAACAAAAATATATCATATAGCACTTTAATTTTATCGCTTATCAAGCTGATAGAGTGGGCAGGACACCCCTCGAGCGGGCCGTTCCATGTTGCGCCACGTGACTAGCTTAGTTTCCGCGAATGCCACCAGTCTAGCGCTCCCCGGAGAAAGCCGCACGCTCGCGCGTTATAGACAAGTGTGATTAGCACTGTATATAGTGTAAAACAATTTTGCACCTTTAACAGTGCAAATTTTCCGTGCATACCCAATGCATATGCTGGGGTTCTCGCACCAGAGTTTTAGACGCTGCCTGTTCTTTTCCCCGCTTTCCTTTGCACTTCCCGTTTTCCTACTCCGTCAGGTTTACCATCATGTTCAACCTGCACCAGCTCACCTGGTCTGTACTATTTTTTCATTGTAACACCATTACACTTCTGAGAAGACACCAAGAGTGGACAAGCAACTTGCATTAGACTGGAGTTCCTCTGAATTGCATGTCTCGAATTAAAAGGTATAAATTTAACATCAATCAAGCTCATAAGGAACGCTTTCTTTTCCTTTTCAGTAGACATTTCTGCAGCAACACAATGCCTTGGGGGGGGGGCTTACGTGGAACATTTTGGCACCACTCAGTCTCCCAAACCTGAAGCAAGATATGCATACAGAGGCAGAAAATAAATTTAAACATACTAAATGCCCACAAAGCACGACAGCGTTAGAAGCCCTATCACTCTCGGATCAACCCAACAACTAAAAATCAATCTGAACCACAAAACGAATAAGAGTTGTTTTAAAAACAGTTTATTCAGTTTTCGACACCATGTTTTGCAGAAAGAATTCACATCGGTGGTGAACGAATGTGCTTATCAACAGCAAATGACAAAGATGGGCAAGGTTTCTTTCAAGACATTTAAAGATCCTCAGCAAGGGACCCCAGAAACCAAGTATGATACAGAAAGCAAAAGATGATGTATGTGACGAACTCGACGTCGCACGAGCTTAAGCGTAGAGGTCCTCTCGGTCCATGCCGATGAAGTCTGGCTCCTCCAGGCTGCTGAAGTTGAGGAAGTGCGACGGACGATGGATCTCGTGGTAGAACTCCTTGGGATTGGCTAACTGCAGCTCATACTTCATGTTCGGGTCGTGACGCACACCTTAAAAAAAAAAAAAGAAAAAAAAAAAAGTAAGGCAGATGAAGAAAGGGGCTGTAAAATTAGCGATTCCTCCCCTGAATTGCTACACAGCTGGACTCATAGCCTTACAAAACGTGAGAAATTAACTAAGGTCAGCCTGCACATCCAACTGACCTAGAAGGCCATTGTCAAATTGCTCGATGCTCCATGACTAAGGCTTTGCCACAACGTTCACATCTGATCTTTTGCTTATTGTAAATTATGTTTTACTTTTAGTAAACACAATTGTTCACTAAAATTATTTTACTGTATTCATCCCTTTCCTTGTGATACTGAATCAGTGCAATGAAACTTAATCCTCAACACCTGTTGCCTCTGCTACAAGGACAAAAAACGAACAACTCTTTGGGTACCTCCAGATCACGCATTTTCGAACAATTAGAAATACTTGAAATGTTTCGAGTGACCGTCTCGTTCGAGAACAACCTTAATTTCCCTTCAACACCTTTGAGGGATTTGGACGTGGCCCATACGAGCAAAAGTATAATACAGGATTTGTTTCTTCGCTGTATGTAATAATACCTTCCCCTAGAAAGAACTAACCACTCATTTCACTCTCTAAGAAGCCCCCTTCATTTCTTCTTTACATGACGGCTACTTCTTTTTGAAAGAACTGCTACAACAAAAACAACATGGTTAATAAAAAGTGTCTTCACTACCCTTTATACAGTGAGACACATTTAGCACGAACAAGTGCGCACCACTTTTTCCTGTTCATTACTGCCACGTCTGAGTAAAGCTAGAACGATTTGAGTGCTAATGGCAACAAGAACCTATTCAGCCAGTGCTACAACCCCCCAATGGGGCCTGGCAGAAGACCCACCCATGAAGTTGTAGTTCCAGGGCCCCTGGGCAGGCACCATGAAGAATCCCAGGAAGCGGTCCGAGAGCAGCATCTGGACGCGCTCGTAGTGCGAGGGCAGGTACCCCTTGGGGTTGTTGCCACGGTCCGTGTTCTGGCGGCCCCACTCGTAGCCGCTCGGGGTGAGCTTGTAAGCCGTCAGAGAGCATGAGCCTGGCGTGAAACTGCACAGGGCATAGAAGAGGGGAGGCTTGTAAAGGGGGCACAGAGATTAGGCGATAGCCCTAGAGCAGGGGTGGTTAGGCTGAGCCAGCCTGAGAGACGCAGACAAAACCACGAAACTTCCAAGAGCTGCAGGGGGGGGGGGGGGGGGGGGGTCAAACTTTTGTCCACAGCAATAATTGAAACTACTTTCAATCTATCAGAGTCAAAAGCAGTCCAACTGCACATAAGATAGCAGTAGCACAAGACTACCAAACCGCAACCTGTCTTTCGATTTAAAACGCGTGCGTGCAATTCTTTTGGAGAAGTGCCCGTGTGACCGGGAGGGAGGTGAGGGAAGGGGAGGGGGGTAGGGGAGGGAGCCACGAGCTGCACTTTGACACGCGAAGAACCGCATGCGACTCGCGAGCCGAAGCTTGGCCACCCCTGCCCTAGAGCTTCCCCAACAAAAAGGGGGTGCTTAAGGAGGTTCAGACATAGGACATGCTTTGTTTCAACTTGGAAGAAATGAAGGGAAGACATACCTGCCTATAAACGAACAAACTTCTAGACACATCTAGGCACAAGACAAGATTTGCATCGAGTGGGGTGCAATATGTGCCAAAGGAAGATTGTTCAGGCTTGAGCAACCATTAGCTATTTGGGAGGGCAACCCTCCAGAACAATTAGCAGAATGCCACAAAAGATGCTGTCAGCTTCCGTGGCAAAAATCTGCTGTGCATGAAGCTTTAGTGTGAAAGGATGCAAAAACATAAGACACTACACTTCTCCCCCAAATACAAAGGGCCCCCCACTCTCCAGCGTATCGCCATGTTCGCTAGTGCCATTCCTCGGTGTAGCGTCCAGTGTGAAACCCTGTCGCCTCCAGAGGCTTTGTGCTCAATCAGAATGCCCAGTATTTCCCCTGGTCGTTGGTACTTGGTCAAGCGACACCCAAACATTCTCAGTCTAACCTCAGTTTCCCAATGCATGACGTAAGAATATTACACACTGTCACAGGGGTTATTTCAAAGGACTGAAAATGGGGGGTGTAAACAAGGCCTAAAAACTGAGTTACTGGCTAGAGATTTAACTTCTGAACTACTCAAGTGATCGAAATGAAATTTGCAGGGGACATTTAACATAAGATGTAAGTGTTTTGTGCAAACTTTCAGCTCTCTAGGGCAGTTTTACATACCTGCATAAGAAGATGCATCACTCTTTGTTAAGAAATCTATGATATGCAAATGAAGCTATGAAGCACCATTTTGAATGTCTGAATATAGAGTGGGGGATGTCAAACTTTGGGCTATCTAGTTTTTATAACTCAAATGTAAAATATTTCAGGAAGATTCATTACTTGCATGTCTGTCCTATGACAATTTTTTGAAAACAGTTTTTTCTCAATGAGGACTTCAATTCAAAACAAAATATAGTAGATAGCCCAATTCCTCAGTAAATTTCAGTTTAGAAACATCTCATTTTTGGTATCAGAATACTTTTACCTCCAAACAAAAGATTCCTTCATATGAAATATGCAGCAAAAAGTGGAACCGAGAAAAATGCATTAGAACATTGAACTTCTCTGTTTTGTTACTGCATCAAAATGTGTTGAAAATATTTTATACCAACACAACTATTTGGTGTATGGTTATCAAATTTAGTGTAAGGGTGTATAATTAGTTTCTAAAACCCAAGAGCTCACATTTGAAAAAAAAAAAATTTTTCAAAAGAATTTGAAATTTAGTTTTTTTTTAAGGGGGGATATGGCCTGGGAGGGTCAACTTTTGAACCCTTCATCCAATTTGGTTCAAATTTTGAGGGTTATTTCAGCACTATGAGGAAGGATAATCTGCAAAGTTTTAGCATTATTGGTCAACTTTACAGCATGCTACGGTTCTCGCACTTCAGAAAAAAGACACTTCATTAGGAAGTCTATCGTAGAAAAATAAAATTAGCTGGTGGCAAACTTTTTGCTTTAATGTGAAGAACAATACCCACAGTGCAACCTAGATAAAAAATAAATTGCAAAATATTCAATTATAACAAAAATAAGAACATCCCAAAATTTAAAAAAAAAAAGTAAAATTTGTTTAAAAAAAAAATTTTTTTTTTTCATGAAGGAGTAGATTTTTTGAACTGTGAAGTAGTCTATCTTGTTCCCCAGAAAATTTCAGTCCCAGAAAACCTTGAATGATGTCCCTCTGTATTCAGAATGTCAAAAGATAGCTTTCCTAAAACAAGAATTCCTGCCAAAAAGTGAAACTGAGAAAAATGCGTTTGAAGTTTCAACTTGTTTTTTTTTTTTATTTTCGGACGATGCCAGAAACTTGAAATTCACCCGAGTCATTGGTGGCACCTTCAACTACATGAGCATGAGGAGGGCAGTGCGTTGAGGCCCCCGAAGAGATTCGTGAGCTTTGTGAAACTGATGCCACAGTCTCTTCCAACAACGCCTAGACGTACCGCGAGTTCGTTCTCTCGAAACTTGCCGATTGATGGTGAGTGCGGTGTCGCGACGATGTCTCCGCAAGTCGAGCAGCTAACAACAAACTAAAGGTTGATGTCAACTTCTTGCAAGCTCAGTAGTTTTCCGTGGCACTTGAGGCAGAGTAAAATCGCAACAAGAGTCTGCATGGCGGACACATTGAGGAGCCGTTCAGGGGCTTTTCAACGGGAGCGTCTGTCAGCCCCGGGTCGTCCGTAATCCCCGCGTCGAAATCGCGCAGGCTGAGCTTCCTCTCGAACGTGGTGAGCACATCCGATTCGGAGATGAAGCTGTAGGCTCCGATGTCCGCCAAGCACCAGTTGAGCTTGGAGATCATGACGACGGTGGCGGAGACGGCGACGATGGTGCCGGCGGAGACGGGTCCCCGTCTCCGCCAGCCCTTTGTTTCCGCCGTTGAGAACGCCGGCCAAAGCTACTGCGAGTGCTAACTTTGGAAGCAGGCATTTCTCGGCAGAAAAACTACCGGGAACAAAGAGGGAAAACGAATCTAAACAGCGGCAAACTAGCGATACGATCAGAAGCGATACTGGCGATACGATCAGAAGCGAAAGAAGCTGCCGATAGCGCGCGCAGGCGGCCAATCGTGAGCCCTGTTTCGGGTCACAACCAATGGGATTGCTGGTATCATAGTTCCCACGTTTTTTCTGCTTGTATGTACGGGGTTCTCCCGGGACACAGATAGCCTCAAACGTAGCAAGCTTCTATGGGCAGAAACTAGAAGAAACGGCGCTTCCAACGAGGGTAAGATATCTCGGCTGCGTCGAACGAGCGCGGAGTAGGCCTAATTTGAAAAGGCCGAACTTCGCCGTCTGCTTGCTCGGCGGGTCGCCGCGCGCGGCCGCGAGCTTGCCGAAAATAATTTTTTGCGAAATAAATACTGCGCATTTATAAATAAAACTTTCTGAAACTATGCTTCAGAACATAGTGAACCCAAATATAATATTTTTTGAAAATGCATTTTTTCGGAAAAAAATGGAATTTCGTGGCCGTATCCCCCCTTAAACAAGGCAATAGAGGAAGACTAAATAAGATCTGGAATTCATAGATGGCATCAAGAAAGCTTGTTGGGCTAGTTGGTTACTCATCATACTGTACTATACGAAAACAACACTGACAAGACGGAAGAGGTACACCACACGACACTGCTAGCACGAATCGGACATCGGTGCTTTTTTGCATTTTACATCTAAAACAAATTGGAGGGCAAAAACTTTTATGGCATAGGCTAGTGTCCCAAAAGAGGACTGTCTAGCACACTAGTCATTTTGACAACAACTCTTTAATTCTAAAAAGGAAAAAAAAAAAAAAAAAAGAGAACAGAAAAATTCACAATTGCTTGTTCGTGCTGACAGTGTCACGCTTTGTATATTGAAGGAAAAATATGTCCTTTATACTTTTTCCTTGAGGTATACCATGCCGGAAATTAAAAGGGGAACCGACCTGCAGGTGATGATAACAGTCTTCTCGCCGTCCCAGGAGGGGTTGTCGGCCATGATGCGGGCATGGGCGCTCACGTCCTGTGGGGACAGCTGGGGCAGCTCGTTCGGCTGGGTGTGGATCCAGCCCAGGGGTTCGAGCTCCCGTAGGTGCTCATGCTGGGGCAGGCCTTGGGGCAGCTGCACCCCTTGGTGGGTGCCACATTGGGGTCCCACCACGATGCAGCGGATCTCCTTCACCTGGGGGTTGTCCACGGGGCTGGCCCCGTACAGGTAGCCCGCTATCTGCGCTCGTTTCAGAAGGGGGGAGAGGGCACCGTTAACCTCGCTTCCCTCGAAACGAAAGAAAAAGCTGGACCGGGGGTTTCTCCAACTTTCTCAACTGATGGCTGAGCAACGCCAACGCCCCAGCCCCCCCCTCCCACTAGTCCTTTGAGGCAATGAAGCAAAAAAGTAGTGCAGAAGCCTATACGTAGCTTGCACTGACGTCGCTTGATGGACATAAAGGGGGAAAGGGCGCGTCAGAGGGTAGCTTCGGATGCGTTAACGAAACATTTTTGACCACCAGAAAGGGGTGCGGACCAGGGGGAAAGGGCACGGGAGAGTGTAGGCTACGCCGCATTAATGAGGCACTTCTGGCCACCAGAAAGAAGGGCCAACTAACGTCGTGTGCTAAGCCATGTGTAGACCTCGAAAACAATGCACATGTTAAGAAGTGTTTGGCATTGTATATACACTCCGTGCGACGTGACCGGGGCGCCGCCGCGCGGCCGTTACCAAAGGTAGGCAGTGAGAGCCCCAGCAAAACGAAACCACGCCGCGTACATTGGTACGCATTGAAGTCGGAGCAGTGCGGTTCCGCTGGGTTGACAAGATGAACTGCTGCGTCGTTTAGTGCTCCAATAGTTATGCGTCGTATCTCGTGGGGACAAAGTTTCACAGTTTTTCACCTTGCCGATGTTTTGTGGGACAACGACAACGATGGACCCGTGCCGTACGACGCGAGAAATTTGGTCTCCCGATCATGTCTGCCACTGTGTCGGCATGGCTGACATATTCTATACTGCCGCTTTGTGCTCTGTATTTGTTTTCGTACCAGTAACGCCTACATATCTCAGCTCGAACTGAAATGCCATCCCACACTCGTGGGTATGCAGTGCAAATTTCGTTGAAGGAATGCCCTCCAAGGAAGTTTCGTCCCCATCGTACGTGTCGATGATATTTCCGGACCAGTATGGCACGCAGCCTGTACTTCATGAAGAAAGATTCGGACGGTACAAAAAGTGGCAAATATGAATCTAAGGAAAACTACAATAAAACTTGGAATCAATGGACAATCGATGTTTGAATATGGAAGTTTATGTGGTGTGCTTTCTTTTTTGATCGGCCTCCTTTTGGATGTGGAAACGCTGACACCCAGAGTTTTGTAGACAGCAATTTTTTTTCTCAGCTTTAGAGCCACCTATCGCAAAGTTGTACAAACTGAAAGTACCGTCCATTGGTCCCTTCCTACCTGTAAAGTGTGCACCTCCCGGCCATGATGAGTGTCATGGTCAAAATCGGTTCCCATTTAGTTACGCCGCCCAAAAATATTTTCACCTGGTTAAACTATGCCACCTCTTTTAGGTATAATACATGTTTTGTCAAGTTCCGGTTGTCCAAGTACCTGTGTGCTGAAAATCAGCACCTCGCACAACCAGATTACGACACAACAGGTGACCGCAAAAGCCTTTGACGGCCAAACCGTGTGTTGGCCGGCCAACTTGGTTTTCTCGGCTTTGAAGCCACCTTTTGTTAAGGGGAAACACTGCTTCTTGAGCTTTTTTTTTTATTTATGGTCCAATCCAAATGAAATTTGTAGAGCATAATCATTTTCCCATTCTGATGACAAATATGTACTTTGTTTTAAAATAGCTTGGTTAGTTTTGATAAAATAAGCTATTTTATTTTAATATTTTATAAGCGAGATTCCAAAAAAATTATAAAGAAAAAACTCAAAAAGAAATATTTCTCTGTAAACTAAAAGGTCTACAGAATCCAATAAGGTATAAATGAAGGCTCCATGGTTATTTATAACATTTTTACGGCATTTCTAAATTATCAGTTTATAAATCAAGTTTTACAATCTATATTGGAGGTGCTAACAAAAAATACTGATGCCTAGGTTGATGCAATTACAGTAAAACCTCGTTATAAAGAAGTTGAAGGAGCGGTCGTAATTACTTTGTTATAACCATTAGTTTGTTATAGCCAATGTCCATTTCTTCCAACTATTCAAGCAAGGGGAATTATGATTGCTTTGTTATATCCATTTGTTTGTTATATCCCATTTTGTTATAACGAGGTTTTACTGTAGACTCCTTATTGGATACCCCACTTATACACCTACCAAAGAAAAAAAGAATTAGGAAGATCGGTTGTGTACAGGCTGAGATACGGCTTCCGCAAAATAGCAAACTGCGCAAAAAGTTCGTTTCGAGAAAACAGCAAAAAAACGTTCGCAGACAGATTTTTACTGCTACCCGCGGCGAACTCCACTCGGATGCAACATCCCCACAGATCTTGCAACATAGCTTGAGTTTTACTGCAAGTCCATACTCGCGATCGCATTTTATGAGTTTGACATCGCCGCAACAAGCTTTACACTTCGCGAGTTGAAGAAGCGAGTTCACGACGTCGAGGCTTATGACGATGAAACTCTCTGTACTCTCGGGAGCTTCTTGATCGGCGCCCAAGACGCCGGCCATCAGGGCAGCTTTCCACGTCAGAGCGGACGTCGACGAAAGTTCTTTAGAGTTTTTCCTCGGCTTTTTTTTTTCTTTCTCGTCAATCTCGGAAGCGCGGAGCATCACTGTGTCGAGCCGCACTCGCTCGCTTGAAGTCACGGATGTCGACGGCGCCGTAGATGCGACATCTTCGTGTTCGGGCTCCCGCACCTCGTCGTCGACGTTCAGGCTCGCGGGAAGTTGAACTGCGCCATGGATTAGCTTCCTCGGGCCCTTTTTTAGTTTTTTTCCGAACTTGTGAGCCGCGCGAAACTTTTTCTGTGGAGTTGTTGTGATCGGCATGATCAGAGATGCGCACGAGAATCAAACAAGATGGCGGATCGGAAACAACGAGCAGACGCTTCGTAACCCTAACGGCCAATGAGAAAGCACCATTTGCACACATGATCCGAAACAGCCAAACGCGTGGCAAGATTTAGTTTTTTATTTGTGCTTCGCTCTCGGCGGCCAATCGCCGTGTAGCATCGTGAAAGGCAGGAGAAGAAAGAGCGGGAGCGGAGCTTTCAAATGAGACCAAGATGTCCCCCTTCTATCGCGTTGTTCTCGAGCTACCGGCATTCAAATTGTACCCTTTTTTTTTGCTTTTTTCGGAGGAAGCATCTCCGTTTAGATACTTCAAATCAATATCCCAAAATAAATAGGGCGTATTTTGCGATAATACTTAAAAGATGCGAAGATACCTGTAGATATTAAAAAACATAATTTCAAAAATGTGATTTTTTTGTCATTTGTTTGTTTCAAGGAGCCGTGTCCCCCCTTAAGTTGTTTGAATTGTAAGTACAGTGCACTAGTCCCTTCCTACTTGTAAAGTCCCCATCTCCCACGAGAAAGTGGTATTCTCTTCACAGCCCTTTCACGGTCAAAACCGTTTCCCGTTCAATTATGTCGCCCAAACCAAATTTGCACCTGGTTTCCCTATGCCACCTATTTTTGGTTCTCTAACTGTTGTGTCAAGTTACGGTCCAGTCCAAGAACCTGTGTCCAAATCTGCACTTCGCACAGCCCGGTTATAACACAACATTTTGGATCCAATATTGGATATTCCTGACAGCCCGATTCCTTTATTCGTTAGAACCTTAACCACCTTAACTTTCACACAATGCTGTCTTAAGGGGGACATGGCCTGGGAGGGTCAACTTTTGAACCAATGTCTCAAATTGATTCAAACTTTCAGGGTGAATTGAACCCCATTAGGAGTGATGACATGTAAAGTTTCAGTCTTATCGGCCAACTCTACAACATACTATGCTTAACAAGCTCCAGAAAAAAGTTACTTTAGAGTCGAACCCCGATATAACGAACTTCAATGTAACGAAATCCTCGATTTAACGAAGTATTTTATTTTTCATAATTTCTTGCCCATAGACTCCATGTATTTTTAGTCTCTATATAACGAAGTCTATTTTGCTGCTATTTCAATATAACGAAGCGCCATTGCCATAGAAGGCAATAAATAAATACTCTAAAAAACAACTTCGCAAAAAAATTGAGGTTAAATAAAAAAATTATGCGCAAACGCGAGCGCTTGCTAGGTTACTTCACGGGGACAGGCCTTCCAACGTTCCTAGGCTGCCCGAGGATGCGGCGCCGGTAGCGCCGGCGAGGCGTGGGGCAAAGCGGATTCCGCGGGGCTGGCCAGAAAATGCCGAGCAAAAAGTTAACACGGCATAGCAGCATCACCACTGACATTCACTGATCATCATAGTTCACTGTACCGCGGGTAGCGCGGGAGCCAACTTCAGCGGGGGAGCGACGTGATGGCGCGACCGCGCGGGCAGTGCCATCTAGGAGAAGACAGAGAAGACCGATTATCGTCTTGCGAGCGTGATGTAAAGCAAAGGCGCAAGCACACTGTGGGCGCAAGGGTACAAGTAAACTGTGCGGTCAAGAGTGCTGTGTAGGTTGGAAACATTGGCACCGCCTAAGCAACTTTATTTTTCAACCGGGCGGTTCACTCACGTGCTTGCTGCCTTAGGGAAACGTAAAGTTCTTTCTTTGGATGTGAAAGCAAACGTTTTGGACGCCATCCTGAAGAAACTGCCGAGATCACGAGCACTCGGGAAGTGCTCGACGCAACGGACGTACTGAGGAGGTACACGGCGTCGCATGGGCAGCAAGATGCCGTGCAAGCGCTATGGGCGCTCGAACGCCGTATGACGCCGCTGCTACTGTCGGACAAGGCGCAAGCAAAACTCGCGGACTACTTTGCCCCTAAATAAATGTCATTTTCGGTGAGTTTTCATACCCGTAAAATGTTTCGGAATTTTTTTTTTTGCATGCTAAAGCCAAATTTCGATTTAGCGAAATTTCAATGTACCGAAGTAAATTGCGAATTTTACCGACTTCGTTACATCGAGGTTCAACTGTATTAGGAAATGTATTTAAGAAAAAAAATAATTAAAATCCACAAAATGTTTGGTTTAATGTGAAGTAAAATACCCATAGTGCAAGTTAAGGCAAAAATTAATTGTATAAAATGCAATTCTAGAGAAAAACAATAACACCCAAAAAGAACAAACGATTCTAACAAATTTCTGAGTTTTAAAATATTCAGTTTTGGTCATGAAGAATTTAGCTCTTTCTGATTATGAGTACCTTAACTTGTTCCTCAGGAAATTTCAGTTCAGGACAGCACTGAATGAAATCTTTACACTTTCAAAATGTCCAATGATACATTTCCTCACACCACATTTCCTGCCAAAAAGTGAAACTGAGAAAAATGCATTTAAAGATTCAACTTTAGGTTTCTTTCTTTTCTGTGGGTCCGAGGTAGGCAAAATTCACCAGGCGCATTGTTAGAACCTTCCTCTTTGAGACTTCCCTGTTCCCCTGGCAATAGCTAACAGTTTGTGTTGTTTGTAGGCTCGCTAACTTTTGTAGCAGGCATTCCCTGACAGATAAACTGGCAAGAACTAAGAGGCAAATCACACTGAGAAAGAGCAGCAAAGCAGGAATAGGATCTAAAATGGGAGATACTGTAAAGGGGCATTACTGAAGACGACACAACATCACGTCACCGGAAAGGACCAATCGTAAACCCTGTTTCAGGTCTAAACCAATAAAATTGCTCATACCAAATTTTCAGAATGTTTTCTGTTTCGATGTATTGGGTCCTCCTGGCCATTGATACTTGTAAACGTTGAAAGCTTCTACGGGCTAAATCTACAGTAAATGGCACTTTCATTGAAGGTGAAATGTTCTGGCTAGGTTAAATGAGTATGAAGCAGCGCTAAATAATAAACACAAAAAACTTGCTCCCTGCTGACTCGGAGGGCTGCCGACATGTTGAAAATAATTTATTCTGAGATAAATCCTGCATGTTGATAAATGAAAGTTCCTGAAACCATTCTTTGGAAGTTAATAAGCATAAACATATCATTTTTGAAAAAAACGTTTTTTTCTGAAAATTTTGAATTCCGAGGCCATGTCCCCCCTTAATAAAACTTGGCCCACTTAGTGCACAAACTTAGTGAACATCTCACTCGCCTCCAAATATCATCGTCCCAGCAGTCCTACGTTTACAGCGACGAGCGAAACAAATTTCACACTGAGAGCAATTATGGTGGCGGCCGTCTTGCTGTTTGGAAAATTGCTCAAACCCCTTTTTCGACCGCAACTACAGAAATCACCCCTAATAATGACTCAAACTCAATATATAAGAAGCGGAGAACAGCTAAATGCCGTTCTTAAGTCTCTCCCAGCATTCATGGAACGTCACCCCCAACTTATCGGCTTAAAAAGCAAAAGTTTTGTCCGTGCGCACTTCCGCCGCCTCAGCTTCGCACGTGAAAAGGCGCCTGCGCCGCAGGCTGCTGAGCATGCCTCACTGTCGAACGCCAGCTCCTCCGCTAGCGGCGCTACGCGCATTTTCAAAGCACCCCCCATAGTTCCCGCATGGAGCGTATAGTTATGCATCAAAGAATACCTCATACAAGCTAAAATAGCGTTCACATGTTAGAGGGTGCTTAAGTCGTAATTATAAACCAATGGACAGCAATGTTCTGTTAAAATAGTGCATTAAACTGGAAAAACACTTTACTTAGAAACAGGGACTGTGAAGGGGATTTCAGAGCTTCGGGAACCCCCGAGGGTATCCTGAGAAACCCCGTTTGAGAACCCACAAAGTAAGACTACAAGTTTCTTGTAAATACACTAGTCCATATGCAATAGGTACTCCATAAAATCAGAACTCCGGTAACTGAAAATTTCTAGATAGGCAGAACTTGCGAAAGTTAAAAATACAATGTACCATGTACAAGCAACACAAAAATTAGAAAAAAAAAAAAAAAGACACCCCAGTCAGGTGTCTACTTTCATTCCTTCTTCCTGTAACGGTGTGACCACAAATAATGCTTCAAAAGCGGCGCACCTGAGTCCTGAGGTCGGAGATGATGATGAACTTCTTGAGGATGTTCTTGGGGAGGATGTAGGTGTACCCAGCCTCCTTGATGTCGTCCGACGACACATAGATGTGGTTGGTGCGGAGGTGCAGGTTGGTGGCCGAGATGGCACGCACGCGCCACTCTGTCTTGGAGGCAAACGACTGCGTCTCGTAGTTGCTGCAGAGGAAACACCACGATTATTCAAGTGCAGCAGTCTCCTAAGCGAGTTTCACGATTCTGGGGCCGTACAAAGGAGGCAAACTATCATTTCCGCCAAGTTGTGCAGAGCAAACGTAACAAATGCCATTTTAGGGTTGTTCTCACCGACAGATGACCAGATAAGTGGAGATGCCTGTGACTAAATTTAATGCATGTTTCCTTTTGTTACACACTTAACCTTGAAACAAGCACCGCACAGCAGGAAACTACTCCAACTTTTTAAGGGCTAAACCAGCAATATTGAAGAATAAACCATGTAATGAACAACAAATTCAGCAGGGTAAATATTTGCATGCACAAACTTGTTCTAGCATATAAAAATAGTTATATTTCTTCAGGTGACAGGCTGGAGCACTGTGATGGACACTAGATGCCATAAATGAAGAACCAAAGAAAATGTGACAAAAGGTTAGACCCAAACGTGTAGGCACATTGGCACAATAGGAGAAGTAAACACATGCGTCCAAAATGTAGCTTCCTGGCAAATTTGTACGCATCAATCACCCTAAATTTGTGAGGTATTTGTGTAGAGAAAAATTGAGCAGTCCTGCGTTAATCCACAGTACAGTCACGGCGATAATTGTGACATGTCACGGTGGAATAGTTGGACATCAGGGTCGTGTTCACGCACTGGTGCTGCGTGCACCAAAGCATTTGGAACGAAATAGACATCCGACCGCTTTGTTTCTAATGCCTTTGTTTCCTTTTTGTTCCAGAGTGCGTGAATGTGTCTCCCGGCATGAGCTTTTGGCACTGACAGTGCTACGACAGCATTTTGTAATCGTCTTTTTCTTCTCTAGAGAGTGCGTGCAGTGGGCATCAGGTACTACAAAAACTCAAAGTATAGAGCGGATCATTATTGTTGTAGTGTAGCTCAGTGGCAACGTCTCCACTCCGCACGCAGCGGACCCAGGTTCGATTCCCGCGAGGGCAGCGGGCAATTTTTTTCAAGGATTTTACAACATCGACAATAGATGCCCTATATCGCCAACTACAACATCATCAACAACTAAAACGGATGCCATTTCCAGTGGTTGGAAGATCCCTTAACAGCAACCACTGTAAAAGAAACAAAGAGGGAAAGGATACAAAACCTGGTGGTGGAGGTGATGATCTCGTCGCCGTGCTTGTTGACGGTGCGGGTGGTGGTGGCGGTCAGCTGGGACTGCTCCTTGGTCTGCTTCTCAATCTCGGCAATCTGCTGCCGCTGGGCCGACGGGGCAGAGATCTCCATGCCCAGGATGATGTCCCGGATCTCGGATTGCGTCAGGGACGCCACATTGACGCTGCAAAAAGCACACAACCGCCGTGAGCGTTTTCGCAACAACTGCACTCATCTAGTGGCAATTACTGTTAGCTGAACTTTGAAGGACAAATCCAAAGGAAGAAAATGATGGTTGTTACTGAGGTGTATCATGTATCAATGCACACAGGGAGAAGTGGACCTCCCCCATGTGATTGAGCAAATGCCTCAATTTGAAAAAAGTGAACGGTGCAACTTCCTTTTCACAGTAGAGTCGCAGCCATAGCCGTGATACGTCATGGTGAAGTCATTGGCTACTGGCGTCTCATTCATGCACTGTGCGGTCTGTGAACAAAAGCGTTCTGAAGAAAATGGACATCTAACCATTTAGTTTCGAACGCTTGTTTCTTTTTTGTTCCGGAGCGCGTGAAAGCTTGTCTCTCAGCATGAGCTCTTAGCATAGACAGTGCTACAACAAATTCTTATTGGCTATTATTATTTTTTTTATCCATAGGGCGAGTGCAGTGGGCATCGCGTGCCACAAAAACGTTATATATAAGATGGGTTGTCAATGCTGTGGCGCGGGAGGTAACGTCTCCGCTTCGCAAACGGCGGACCCAGGTTCAATTCTTGCAGATGGCGGGCTGTCCCCGAAAATTTTGTCTTTATAGCGGAGGGTCACACGGAGTAGCCCTGTCCCACGACCGGCGTTTTGCAGACATTGGAAACACCAGCAGCTGCCCTTGGGCACAAATAGGGCTTTCCCGGAAAGGAAGAGTGGGGACCTACTTGTTCTTCTTGCCGTAGTCGGCCAGGATCAGGTCCTTGAGCTGCACCTCCACCTTGATCCACTCATCGTCCGTCAGGGTGGGCCAGATGTGGTGGGGCTCCGTGATGGTTGTCTTGTCTGGCTTCAGGATCACCTTGGTCCGCTCGTTGTTCACGTGCAGGGCACGCAAGATCAGGATCAGCCGGGAGAACGCCTGGAATGCGCACATTCGTTCGAGCCACCATTGAAGGAAGACACTTTGATGCCAGGCGCTTCTCCCCCACTTTATCGAGAACTTTCCTTCCAAACAAGGGCACATAGTGAACGTGCACCAACGTCTGTAAGAGTAACGTTTGCAGACGCCCAGTCTGCCAAGGTGGCCGGGCATATCCGCTTGGAGGAGAAACTGTCGGCGGTATCATTTTGTCATTCTGAAAGGCTGAAGCGACAAGACCAAATGCAACGATAAAAAATATGCCGCATTCATAAAATACCGAGCGATCGAAGTCTGTTTGGCGTCTTGCGGCTGACCTTGGAACAGTAGGTGCCCACAAGGTGTCTCGTGTCTCCCCGTTTCCCACTTGGAACAATGGCAAAAGGCGGTGCTCATGCCCATCCTTTTCCTTTTTTTCAAAAATCACATCTGCCAAGTGAACTGCAGCTTCTGTTCCAGCATTGCAAGTGCACACATACAGTGCAACACACTTATAACAATAATGAGAAAACGCGAAATTTCAATCGTTATAACCGATTACTGTTGTGTCTGGACTAGAAACTGATCGTTTCCAGTCTAGAAACTCTAGAAACTGATCGTTATAAGCGGTACATCGCTATATATGGTATCATTGTAAGTGGGTTGCACTGTACTGGGACAAAGTATCGGTAGCTGCAATTTCCAAAAACAAACGAGAGGGCACCGGCACTGCCATGGACAGTATATTATTGGTACTTTCTTGCTATTATACTCATTTCCACAGTCGGCGAAGCCTTTTTAGCGGGCAAGCATTTCTTTTGGGAGAATGAACTAATATGGCTAAGAAGGAGGAAATGAAAGGTATGGCATCACAGAGGCACTATATCCCTAGCTAGGGAAGGAGAGGAGTTGTATTCCATTCACCCCTGAGCTGAAGCTGCAGTGGAGACTGCACGCTCGCTAGACCAGTTGTCCGTCTATCTTTTGTCACCCGATCACGCTTCCGTCTGTACCCACGCGCCACAGGGAGCGGGGTCGAGCGAGGAGAGGGAGGCGGTCGATTGGTCCGACTCACGGCGGCCACGAGCGGAACGCAAGCATAGCGAGGCTCACGGTGTATGAGGAGATGGTCTTGAGCCAGTCGTCGTAGAGGTTGAAGAGCACCATCTGCGGTTCGGTGGCCTTCAAGATGAGGTCTCCAAACTTCTCCACCTTCAGGCAGGCTTGGAAGGGCAGCTGCAGCTCACTGCCCTTTATCACAATGTTGGGGAAGTCCAACAAGTGCACCTGACGGAGACAACATGCACCCCAATAAACTGCCAGACTTGCACAAAAAAAGAAAAATTGTATGGCAAATTGCTGGGTAATTGAGTTGGACACATGAAACGTTTTCGCCCCACAAACGTTTAGCTATACTCAGAGTTTCCAAACATCTACATTCACGGCGCTCTTCGTCGGAAAACGCCTGGTACGTGTGCATCAGATAGTTGTTCCCAGACGGACTCGCCGCTGCTTCTTCAGGGAAAGCGAGCGTACTGTGTGACAAAATTTGCCATCCAAATTGGTCTACTGGGAGCAGCTGCACCTCGTGGCTACACCGATATGCAATCAGTGTCACGTAATATAAATTTCTTCCTAATTTTGGCGGGGAAGTTGAATTGGTATTAAGCCACGTGACTATTTTCCCGCTAAATTTAAGGCAAAACTAAACTTATGTATAGGTTCCGCGACATCGAATTCCCCCGCTAAAGTGAATAGAGAAACTAGACTGGCATACAGGTCATGTGACGTCAATTTCGCTGTTAAATTTAGCGGGAGAAACATAATTGCTGTGTAGGTCACATGATGCCGATTTTCCCCAATATTTAGCGGGGAAACTCAATTGGCCTATAGGTCACGTGACACCATGTTATGCAAATTCATTGCGACATCACAGGCCGCGGCTCCACAAAAGTCGAAAGTAATAAAAAAAAAAGAAAAAAGAACCAGTCTCCTCTTATTTAAAATGCACAAAGTTCTACCCCCAAATTTCACATGTACGATTCATGCACAAGCAGGCACAAATAAACAATGCTCACATAAATACCTATATTACTACTAAAAAAAAAAAGTCTCAAGCTTTTAGCACTTTTTTAGCCAGACCAAGAGCATTGAAGCATGCCATCTTTTTGAAGTGTACTGAAACATACCTCACTTCATTCAGAAATGCTGCATCTCAAATTTATTAAATTAAAAAAAAAAAGAAACAAAAGCTATTCCACAGAAATGCGGAATAGCTTCTGCAGAAATGCGGAACAGATAGGCACTTAGGAGAATTAGAATCACGATTTATGGTCATTATAAAATACTGTATAAGCTCGAGTAATAGCCGCACTTCTCATCAACAAGGCCTGTAGGGCTGCTTTCCCACAGAGTATGGAAGAGCGAATCACCACGGTCAACAGAAAAATGGCAGCGATTTACGGGACAGAGATGACATCTTCACGTGAAAATGCTATCTGCTCAGATCACATTTTTATATAGAATCACGTTCTCGATATTGTTATTCATAGCATTTTTTATGAAGAACGCGACAATTGGCTGTATGTGGACTCTGCAGGAAAGTAGATGCAAGGACTTGTTCATAAGTGAGGCTATTACTTGAGGAAAAAAACGGTAACCTACATTTAGCTGCACTTAAACACCATACCCAAAACAAGTCCAAAAGTTAGCTGAAACCGGGAAAGCTGATAGATTGCAAATGCCGTTTCCACAAAAACTGGTTACTGAGAAAGCAGGGCAGAGGGGAGGACTGTTATGGGGCAGCCTACCTCCAGTGGATCGAGCATGCCCTTCCTGGTGACAATGATCTGCTTGGGCTGCTCCTCCACGGGCAGGGAACGAATCAGGGCTGCTACCTCCTCAGCTGTTTTCCACTTGGCCAGCTGGACAGTAGACACAGAACCTCACATTGGCAATAGCAGAAACACCACAACACACTCTACACACCTGACATACACAAGCTTCTATCAGTGCTTTATTTATTTTGTCATTACTTCCTTCCAACTTCTACATTTCATAACCATGAATTGGTGGGCCCATATCTTGAATTACAATCTCCATGGCCTTTATATATCAAATGAGGCTCCCACCCACCTAGCCATCCAATTTTCTGCATAAACCATTCAGGAGCCTGTCAGCTAATAGAACACAGAGATTTGCTTTGTTTAAAAACAATAATCAAATCTAATAAGAACAAGCAGCTACAAGGACATAGTCTTTGTCCTTATGTTGCCTGACGTTCCCAAGTGATTCCATAAATACCGCAATTTAGTGCTGTGAACAGACGAAAACTTTTCAGCCCTCCCTCACCTGACCAAGACGCTTCTGTCCTGCCCAGACTGACGTGTGGATGATCTTCAAGAACAGCTGACCCGTGCGAGGGTTGAAGATGAAGATGGCCCCGTTGATGGGCTTGGTCGTCAGGTTACCTTCAAATGTCTTGGGGACAAAGAAAAAAAAAAAGAAAATCAAGAATGAAGCAACCACTTATGTGAACTACATGCAACCCCCTTACAACACCCAACCCCCCCCCCCCCCCCCCCCCCCAAAAAAAAAGAATATGGAGTAAAATAAGGCATGGCAAAGAACACTGCCTCAGTAGTATAGTATGTTTAACTAGCTTACAGCTAATCCATGCTTTATCTTTGGAAAGAAAAATGGAGCTGTATTTTTATTTGGTAATCAAACCACTGTATGCAGAATTGCTCACCTTTCCCAAGTATGTCCTGCCTTCTTTTTAGCTACAACAGGGGAATGCACAGGTGCACAAACCGAGGCCAGGGATTGTTCTAACTCTTAACGTGTTGACATGCGACACGTTAAACCATGCGCAGTCAGTCGAAGCTGCGGGGTCTGGCAGGCATCCAGCTCCACCACCCTCCACTAAAGCATGTTTCAAACGACACAAAATCAAAGTTGGCTTTCATTAGAACTTAAAATGCAATTCTGCATTAAAAATCCTGAAGCAGCAGGTGCAAAACACTTATACAGTACTTGAACAAATGTAAAACTCTCGGCTTCCCGAAAGAGCGCCATGTCGCGCACCAGGCACCCCAAACCATGGAGGTAGGAAGCTTCTGGAGGCGACATGAGGCCATCAGAGGAGAAGCCAGAAGTGTGGAGGGACATGCAAGCCCCCAAAGGTGATTAAAAACCAAGAGATGCCTTCCCACCAAAAAAAGAGCTGACCTGGCACCAACAGCTGTTTTGGTCACTCTCGGGTGACCCAAACAGCTGCTGGCGCCAAGTCAGCTCTCCTTTTCATCCAATGGCGTCTCTTGGATTTTGATCACCGTAGGGGGAGTGTCCCTCCAATCTTCTGGCTTCACCTTTGGTGGCTTTCTGTCGCTTCCAGAAGCCTCCCACCTCCATGCCCCGAACAGATGGCGAGCGTCCCCACCTTGTGGATGGTGACTCTGTAGACGTTTGTGTCGTCCACGAACCAGATGATCTGGTTGGAGAAGAGCTCCCCGTAGTTCTGGGACGACAGGTAGGGCTCGGTGGGCTCCGAGGAGTACAGCTGCAGCCCCTTGCGGATGCGCTCGCGCAGCACATACAGGGCGGGGTTGGCCTTCATCATCTTGGCCATGGCCTGCTGGATCAGGGGCTTGCAGCCGGGGTACCAGTTGCCGTATGCACTGCACGACGGAGCGGGCACCCCCCTGTTCTGTCAACGTCTCCCAAGTAGGCGACAACTATATCCGGTGCTAACACATTTACTCTAGTGGTATAGTCAAAGAAAGGACGAGAACTACAGGGAAGATTTTCAGTTGTCCTGCCTCCAGGGCAAGCGTCCTACCTTCGATAACACTTTGGGTGTCTCTCGCGTGTACGTGCAGGAGGCAGTGTGTTCGAAAGGCACATCCTGCCCTTTTCATCTTGTCAGGGGCTATAGCTGGAGTGTTATTTCCTACACAGTCTAATGGTTTAGCAAGATGAGCTGCACTATAGGATATGATCAGTAAAAGGTTCCTCAGCCTAGAAAAATTGACAGTTCTACGAGAAAAAAAGAGACGGACAAAAATGGTGTAGATCATCTCAATTGCTTCTGAAATTGCTAAAAACAAATATGTGGCATGAATATTACACTAAAACCTCGTTATAACAAAGTTGAAGGAGTAGTTTATTATACATTTAAAAGGGACTTTATAGGTCCCTGGGCCACATGCTCACAAGTTTCAATAAACAAAATTATCCGAACGCGTGTCTCGCTTGCAGACAGAAAAATATAAAATAATAGAGTGACAAGCACGAGGGCTGGCAAGAGAGACCGAGAAGGAAACAAAAGACTATTGTTCCCGTCAACATTAATCCTTTCCTCCTCACGCAGATTCTGGACACATCCGAGCCAATGGCAAACCCCGACTCCCCACCCCAAAGAGGACGCCTGTAACTGAGGCAGATGGGTTTCATACTTGAAGCAAGCATCACACGACCTACTTTTTCTATTCCTTTGCTTCTCTGCCTCTCGATCACTCTTCGTACACCGAGAAGGCGAATCTTACTTTGATCGCGTTTTTCTAATTTAACACACACACTAATAACTTGCACTCTCCGACGGTTCTTCGGGGATGTAGCTCACATCAACACCTTAAGGGGAGGCACTCCCTCGGAGGGTCTACTTTTTAAGTATTTGTGCCAGGTCAATGAAATTTTTAGGGTATGTTAAACGTCAAAACTTAGGAGGTTACACCAACTTTCAACCCAAAAGGTTTATTTTCTGGCAAGTTACAGCCTTATTCGTTGAAAACAATGTACATGTAGCAGTGCCAAAGGAAAAAAACTATTGTTTCAAAATATGAATAAAAAGGCACAATTTCTTTGTTGGGATATAACGCTGAATGACTAAACTAATCGGTAGTAGGCTTGAAATAATTTTTAAGGCCATATTTCACGTAAAAATTAACTTTCAATAACGGTATGAATTTTTAATTTTTTTCTTGTTTCACAAACGTCAACATTTTTGTGTGAAGAAATAACAATTTCCAAAAAGTAAGCGCATAGCCGAGTTCTCCAGTAAATTTCATGCCAAAAAAGCCATACATTAGACTTGGGGGTCCTTAACTTATCAAACAATTGTTTTAGAGCTGTGAAAAAATGGTGAAAACATGAAGCTGAGAAAAATGGGTTTGAAAGTTCGAACAGTGTTTTAGTTTAGACGGGGCTTGCCATTTCATCTCAAATGCTCCGGGGGCATATGTCACTCCTTCCTCTGCACGGCCCCTCTGTGCCTTGGCCACAGCTTCCATCTTCCTTTTTTTTGTGGGACATCTTGGAGGACTCGAGCGCTTTCACTTGGGCCTTCGCAACCTTCATCTTGGTGGCCCTCTCTCCGTATGACGCTTGGTAGCTCCCTGGCTGTATGCCCATTTCCAACAGAGCTTCCTGATTCGCTAGGACGAGCAACGTCACGTGGCTCGTCCTAGCGAATCAGAGCTCTTGTTTCGCCAGCTTGACCAATAAGAGCGTGCACAGCTATGTTTTCTACGGGGTTTTACTGTCTGTGAGCACGATATTGCGAACAATGCTGCGAACAGAACGAAAGAGGGCGAGACGCTCATTCCAACGAGGGGGGCATGTCCATGCTAGTCCTAAGAAACGCGGAGGGAGCGCGCTTTGAAAACGGCACATTTTCGTAATCGGCCGCGTCGTTGGCGCGCACGTGCGGCCGCCAGCACTTCGAAAATAATTTATTTCGGAGTAAATACTTTACTTACAGGAATAAAATTTTTGGACAGCATTCTTTATGAGTTGTAAAAGCTGGTCAACCTATTTTCCAAAAATGTGACTTTTCTGAAAAAATTGCGATTCCTAGGCCGTGCCTCCCCTTAAAAAGATGAGGAGAGAGCCTCTTGGATCTATACCTCTCCCTAGTACCCTCTCAGGTTTCCAACCAGCAACCCAAGCAAGACGTGTCTGCCCACCTGTGCAGGTTGTAGGCCAGGTCGATGGCAATGAGCACGCCCGTGGGCGATGGGTAGATGCTCATGTTGTCCGTGGTGTAGTCCAGGAACTTGGCCCGGGCGTAGCGCTCCACGTCGTGGGAGTCGTAGTCGCCCCACCGCAGCTGCACGTCCATCCAATACTTCTGCGTCGTCGTGCCGTCCATTGTGTCTCTGCGTCACAGTTACGGGGGATGGGACGTTACTCCTATGCCACTAGTTTGCCGCAGCTCACTTCCGGACGAAATGTGGAGATGGCCTTGCACATTTCTTCGTTAGCAAAATAGTGGTGCCTTTCAGCAACTTCTTCGATGCAGAAAAAGTAGACATCGATTATCGGTTACGGTTATTTGCCGAGCAACATCAGGTTAAGTGGAATAAGTAAATAGAAAGCATACATTTACAAAGTGAAGCAGTTTTAGAGCAGGAAAAACTTTGGTAACATTCTCTTGTAACAGGTGTAAACATAGTAATATTTTTATAGGTTAGCATTTCCATTAAAAAGAAGTAACTTTTGCCCTTAATTTTAATGTGCATGACAAGACTCAAACGACTGGTGCTGTTTGGTCTTAGCTGGTTTCACATTCCCTCTCCCAGTAGATGTATGAAGATAGCTTTCATTTCAACTAAAACTTGACAAAAAGCGGCAAAAACAACGGAGAAACTGACAAAGCAATAGCCACAATTATCCGAAGAGGAGAAACAAAACAGAAGAGGGAAGTGGTACATACAAAAATTAGGGAACACTGACAACTAAACACAGTAAGAGCAAACCTGGAAGGATGTCATTATACAGAGTCCTGTTTGCTTCAAATGAGCCTTCTTTGCCGAGAGAAGCATTATGAGGCTGGCCTTGGGAGACCAAAGAAATGACAATCCAGAGAATTTAGAAAACTCAAGTAATAAATGTCAAAAAAAAAAAAAAAAAAAAAAACGAGGATGGCTAGAGATTTTTAGAAACAATTTACTGCCATTCTCAGATCCTTTAGGGCTGCGAGAAACAAATTACACCAGGAAAACGCAACAAGCCTCACTTGGAGTCAGCCAGGAGGGATGGCCGGGACACGTTCCACTTGTAGGTGGCAAAGAGGAGGACGTCTGCGCACGAGCTGTTCATCTTGTACGACTTCCTGGGATGGATGGTCTCTTTCTGGACAGTCTCAATCTCCAGGGCGTCGAGCTCTTGGTCAAACACCTGGATGCGTAAACGACAGCATTCTGTCAGAAAAGTGAAACAATCACAGGCAACGGCAAAAGAGGACCGGCCCCACGCACCTGGCACAGGTCCATGACGATGCTCTCGTGGACCTTCTGCCAGAGATGGGCACGGAAGATCTGGATGAGGGAGATCTTCAGTGTGGGGATCTTGCCGTGCATGAAGATGCCCGTCAGATCCAGCTGCACCTGGAAACCGACGTAGACCTGCGGAGAAAGGGAAGGGCACAATGTGCCGGGTCACGATTGAGGCTCAAAGCACCAAATGACTCGTGGCGGAACCCGGAGTCTTGAAGGACGGTGTTGTATATATGCGAGTATTCTATGTTCAATTTTGGTCAACATTATCTCAACTAACAGCAATGGCACCAAAGCTAGTACTATTTCTTACGGCAAATTGGCTCTCCTCTTATTCACAAACATTTCCTTAGATATGGTTATGTTTGCATACTTCACAACTCCGATTGCCAACGTTGACACACAAACGGACCTTAGAGTTGTAAGCGGTCTGGTCTCTTCCCTGGTAGAAGTCCTCCAATATCTACCAGAGAGCTTGTTTCACCTCCCCCACAAATTGTTTATTGACTTCCAGCAAGGAATGACACTTTTCTATGGCAGCACAGTTTCAGCAGGCATTTTTTTGCATATTCCATTACAGTCGCCGACTGATTTTTTGGACTTCGCAGGGACCAAAAACACACACGAATAATGGAGCAGTCCGAAAAATCAGATTAAAAAACTAAAACTTGCCTTTATTGTGTCTAAGCGGGCTTCAAAGAGCCGTAAATAGTGCCTTGCTTCAGGTTACGCCTCCGTTTGCGTTCGGCCACTTTCTGTTAGCCTGAGAATCGCTGCCTTCTTTTCTAGCGTTATGGTTGAGTACTTTCAGTACTTCTAAGTGACACATCGCAGCGGCAGAAGAATAATCTATTTGCACGAATATACCGCGAGTTTTTTTTCGAAATTATGTGCTCCAAAACGCACCTCGCGTTATATTCCGAATCGAGTTCAGCCACGAGGCGAGCGAGTCTGGAGAAAGCCATCCCTCCGGCTTAATGCAAAATTTTCGGAGGGAAAAGAAGTAGGGGTGTGGAACAGAATTTATTAGCTATTGGGCCATGTGAAGGGGCAAATAGAAAACATAAAAAAGCATTTTTATTGATTTTGTGTTCGTACGACGCCCGCATGTCGCAGAAACCCTGCGGGTGCGCGCGTTATGCGGAAATGCGGGCACTGGCCAATTCGAGCAGAGGCAAGCCAAGCCGGGCCAAGTCAAGTCAACACAAGCCAAGCCACCAACCGCGTTTACGCAATCGTGCAACACGAGGCATTTGTTTAGGCAGAGGGACCAGAACAAGAAGTGGGATTGTGTATCAGATTCAGCAGTCTTTTTTCTGCCTACGCATTGTTTAGTTTCTGCTCCAGAGTGATTTGGTGTTTGTGTGTTGGTGCTTCTGCTTCGTGCCTTGTTTTGGTTGTGAGCTGCTGAGGAGGAGCTCGCACGCAAGAAAAAGAAACTACCAGACACGCAGGTGCCGTGCTGCTGCTTAATCTGCGTAGTGGCCAAGTGGATTGTAAACGGAAGGACCTGAGCAGTGAGGATGAGTGCAGTCAAAACATAAACTGATATTTCTTCTATTTCCATTGACTTTTCACGTCTGCTATGCCCCCCGAGTGCGAGAAACTGACGGGGCCTCGGTTCGCGTTATAATAGTAATATTTTTTTCTCTTCTTTTTGAGGGCATCAAAACCTGCCCTTGCGTTATGTTCATGGTCGCGTTATATTCGTGCAAATACGGTAGATGGGGCAATGTCGTCCAAGCCAGCGTAGTCCGAAAACATGATCCACTGAGATGAGATGAACAAGTAAAAATGGAAACAACAATGATGATGATGATAATGACGCGCAGCACGAGAAAAAAGCCGTACAGCGTCACCAAGCAGCAGGACTTGGCAATATTTAAGTAGTGCTGCCAAACCAAGCCAATTCATGCACAGACAAAATAGAATCCAAAATGGCCGCTTCTCTGTGATGTTTACCGCTGATCGGTTGTGACAATTTTGTCCGAAAAATTAAACTTTCGGACTTCAAGCTGTCCGAAACATTAGTCGTGAATGTGCGCTATTTCTGTCGGGTAGGTCACAGTTCCTCCTTTAGGTCCGAAAGATCGAACAAGTCAGAATTATAGGCATCCGAAAAATCGGTCAGTGACTATTTCCATTTTTATTTTTGCATTGTCATCAAAAACACAACTTTTTCTGTCTGGACATTTTGTTGTAAAGGTTTAATTGCGAACACTGACTATATGTCGCATGGTATTTCACAAAAGATAACATTCTTTTAAAAGTCTCATGTATATGGTATTAACTGAAGTGGAGAGACTCCTCTGCATATATAGGGAGAGACCGGCTGCAGCACAACATGATGCACTCACATTGGCCCTGTTGATGGTGGGAGACCACCAGAGGGTGAAGCGTCGGTTGGGGATCTGGTTCAGGCCAGACCTCTGGGCATTGGTCAGCTTCTTGTACTTCATGGACTCTTCAAACCCACTCGCTTTCTCCCTGTGTTCATGCAACGTGAAGTGACAGAAAACAAATTATACCTCCACATCACAGCGAACTGGTAGAAGGGAAGGACTGTTTTCTCCAATTGCATAGCCTTTTTTCTTTTTTTCAGTAAACAAAAGCACTTTCCTTTATTTCAAGATAAATGAAACTGAAGCCAAATCTATATGTGCACAAACATCACAGTGCTTCTGTATACAGTATAGACCACTTACAACGTAACCGCTTATAGTGCAGGACCGGGTATAACGCGTTTTTTTTAAACCACCGGTTCGCCTCCCATAGAACTCCATGTAATTACATACCGCTTAAAATGGAGGCGCGCGAAGGGAAATACCGGTTATAGTGCGGTTTCTGGCACAGCCCGCCGACCGCGCCGACGACCGGAGCAGCGAGCACGCTTCCCTGTGCGACACTAGATAACGGCGCGAGCCGCAAACGGCACTCGCAGGGCAAGGAGGTTGCTCGAGGAAGCGAAGAGAGAGGCTTCATTTGCCATAGCGACGGAAGGACGCACGCACGTGTTGTTCATGTGCGTGCGTCCCTCCGTTGCGTTGGAAACAAACAACCGAAACGACAGACCAATCGCAGGTCGAGAAGTGTTCGCGCGCGTTGCATGCCAATCGCGGGCCGGCGGCTTCTGTCCGCAAACTTGGCGTCGGTTGTGGCGTTCATCTCATCGTTCCGCGTAAAAACGCTATCCTTGACAGTGAATTTTCGTTGTGTGTCGCTATGATAACCCAGCACGTATTAGAAGGGAAGATCAACCTACTCGTGCGGCGATGTGGCGGCGCTCTCAAGACGGCAGAAACGCCCGTGTCGTCGTGTTTGTTTACTTCGGCTAAAGTGGTGCTTTCTAAGCATTTGTGTTTTCGAACATCGTCCGGATTTCTTATTTGGAGCATTTCATGCCTGTGCTTAAGTTCAAGGTATTACTGGCGCATACCGTATGAAGGATGCAAATTATCACGCGTTTTACTCTCCGGAGAAAAGTGATTAGGGTTAGCAATCCTGAACGCTCGCAACGTCCGTCCGCAACCCGCGACGCCGTTAAAAGGCTGCGCCAGGCAAAAGCCGCTTATTTCTTTCAAAATGTGTGACACACTTGAGAGAGATGTGTACTAGTCTGGTGAAATAAAGACTTTCCTCAAACTAAGCTTTATTTTTCATCTAACATAAAATAAATTATTTTACAAAGGTAGGTTGTCTCATGGCATGTATTTTGGCCTGAAAAATTGATGTTTTGGTTATAACGCGGTACCGCTTATAGCGCGGATTTTCGCGACATACGTTATATGCGGTCTACACTGTATTCTTCGCTCATGCTTGCGATGAAACATTTGCTCTCATGAATATTGTGCCATCAGATAATACGTTCCAAACTCCAGATTCACTGTCTCGAGTCTAAAGAGTTCTTTCCAGCATACTGACAGCTCAAGACCAAAGATGTTGAACTATTGTGCAAAAAGCACGGACAGATCAGGTAATCTCTTCTGCAACCTCAGCCGCGTCTTTTGGCCCAACTACTGGCCTCTCAAGTCACCGCCAGCTTGCCCCACCCTCCATACCTTTCTCTCTTGCCCCTCTCCAGGCAAAAGGAAAGAGGACAGGTAGAGCAGGCAGGTGCAAAACAATAGCCTGGCTCAGACGCTCCATTAAATGCAACTAAGATGCGATACCACTAGACAGGGTTCCTAACGAGCAGCAGATTAAAATGCCTTGGTGCCTCCTAAAGCATTCTACTAATACGCAGTTCCTACCCTTCTATGCAGCCTCCACTCCTACGCGGCGGAGGGGGAGTAGAGAAGCACCCACCAGAAGAGTCCCTCCCAGGTGGGGAAGTAGGTGCCCTTGAAGAGGGTGTGCTCCAGGATGCCCTCCACCCCTCCCAGGGCCTGGATCATGTCCGTCCGGTAGTTGTTCAGGTTCCACAGCTTCCCGTCGTGCCGCTGGTGGGTCCACCAGAATGGGTTCTGCTTCAGCACCTACAAGGGGGAGCATGACGGCCCAGGGGTGAACACATGCATGCAGCGCATGGACATTGCAGCGGTAGCACCGACGTGACAGACAAAAAACTAGCAGCAACTTCTACACTGTGTATGTAAAAAAACAAGGGGGGGAAGGAGGGGGTGGGGGGTAAAGATGGGAGCAGAACAAAGCAAATCCTGGGTGCTGATGTCGGAGGTCTTGAAAGAAAGAACGAGAGAGCTACAGAAGAGCAGAGAAAGAAAGCAGAAGAAAGGTTAGGTGTGTCTGTTTTGCTGCGATGAGTTGAAGCTGCTGGACCGCTTGTCAACTTTATTTAGTTTCATACAATGTTTTCCTGCAAAGTGAGCTAGAAAAGAACAAGGTACAGACGTTACAGGTGATGTTTTGCTGCTTCTATGTGCACATTAAGAGGGAACACTGGTCCTGGAGCTTTCTTCTTTATTTTTTGGCATAGCCCAATGAGACAGCACAGGCTTGTTCAGACTTTTGTGCTGATTTTAAATATCTGTTGTTCCTTTAATTAGTAGGTTAGTTCTCAGGATAATTATAATTAATCAAATGTTAGAAGTACTTTTTAGATTTAACCATTATCAGTGACACACATTAAGTTCAGTGCTCAATGCGTGGCTACCAAGCAATAAATAGTTTATACTTCGTTTCAGCTTCGGTCCGAGCGCAGCCGATGTTATGAGCCGAAGGGCCAATCAAACACCGCAAAAAGCGCAGCGTCATGGCGTGCTCTCTGCGCTTGATAAGACTAGCTGGCGGAGGAGCACGCGCAAAGAGACGGCGGATACCGGCTGGTCCTACGAACTGCAGAGAGCACGCCATGACGTTGTGCCTCTTTCGCTGTTTGATTGGCTCTTCGGCTCATAACATCGGCCGCGCTCGGACCGAAGCTGAAACGAAGTACAGTCGAACCTCGATATAACGAACTTCAATGTAACGAAATCCTCGATTTAACAAAGTATTTTATTTTTCATAATTTCTTGCCCATAGACCCCATGTATTTTTAGTCCCTATATAACGAAGTCTATTTTGCTGCTATTTCAATATAACGAAGCGCCATTGCCATAGAAGGCAATAAATAAATCAACTCTAAAAAAAAAACTTCGGAAAAAAATTGTGGTTAAAAAAAAAAATTATGCGCAAACGCGAGCGCTTGATAGGTTACTTCACGGGGACAGGCCTTCCAACGTTCCTAGGCTGCCCGAGGATGCAGCGCCGGTAGCGCCGGCGAGGCATGCGGCAAAGCGGATTCCGCGAGGCTGGCCAGAAAATGCCGAGCAAAAAGTTAACACTGCATAACAGCATCACCCCTGACATTCACTGATCATCATAGTCCACTGTACCGCGGGTAGCGCGGGAGCCAACTTCAGCGGGGGAGCGACTTGATGGCGCGACCGCGCGACCGCACGGGCAGTGCCATCTAGGAGAAGACCGAAAAGACCGATTATCGTCTTGCGAGCGTGATGTAAAGCAAAGGCGCAAGCACACTGTGGGTGCTGTGGGCGCAAGGGGGCAAGTAAACTGTGCGGTCAAGAGTGCTGTGTAGGCGTGTAGGTTGGAAACATTGGCACCGCCTAAACTAAACAGCTTTATTTTTTAACCGGGCGGTTCACTCACGTGCTTGCTGCCATAAGGAAACGTAAAGTTCTTTCTTTGGATGAGAAAGCAAACGTTTTGGACGCCATCCTGAAGAAACTGCCGAGATCATGAGCACTCGGGAAGTGCTCGACGCAATGGACGTTTTGAGGAGGTACACGGCATCGCATGGGCAGCAAGATGCCGTGCAAGCGCTCTGGGCGCTTGAACGCCGTTTGACGCCGCCGACGCCGCTGCTACTGTCGGACAAGGCGCAAGCAAAACTCGCGGACTACTTTGCCCCTAAATAAATGTCATTTTCGGTGAGTTTTCATACCCGTAAAATGTGTCGGAATTTTTTTTTTTTTTTTTTCGCATGCTAAAGTTCAATTTCGATTTAGCGAAATTTCAATGTAACGAAGTAAATTGCGAATTTTACCGACTTCGTTACATCGAGGTTCAACTGTATAGTTAAAAATTTTCCTACACCTATATTGCAAAATCTGCTTCCAACATTGTGTGGTCTGCACATTTAGCTACATGTTGCTAGAAGAAGTTACATTTCTCTCTGCCCTAGATCCTAAGATATCCCCCCTGAAATTTTCTCTATGGAATCCAAAATTTGGGTTTTGAGAAAGTGTTCTTTTAGCATCAGTTTCAGTGCAATTTCAGTCCACATGGATATTATAAAGCGAGATTATGGCTAAAATATAATTCTTCAAAATAAAACACTTAACAAATAAAAAAAAATTAAAAGAAAAAGCTGTAGATTCTAAAATTTCCATTTTACAAAGAAACATTTTGTTGGGGATTTTTTTGCTTCAAAGACCCATGTCTCTCTAAAGCGCCGCCAACGATATGGATCTATCGGTAACAACAAATGTGTCTATGCCCTGCAGTTCCCACACGGCACCCATGTGTCTTTCCCTCTAGATTATACTAATTCTATGCAAAAAATGCTTTTTATCTTGATTGTATGGATGAAGTTGGTATACACAGAACGAGTTTCTTTGGCGTATTTAAAAGTTTGCAATAAAAAATCTATTTTTTTTACTTATTTTTAAATGCATACATGTTATTTTATTCCAAACTCTCCCCTTTTTTATGCAATTGTGGGCACACCTTGGGTTCAAACGCGAATGCTGAACACTGAATGCCAAGTGTCAAACCCGAACGCCGACGATTGGCATTCCAACAGTTAGTAGAGACCACTGTGGTAAGGACAGAGGCAGGTAACTTCGCACCAACCTACTAGTTGGCACAGTGGCAGAATGCTGAGCTCACAATCATGGGGTCGTGTGTTCGATTGCCATTGGGGCACCTTTAGAATTTTGCTCCTCTCAATTTACCACTCTTCTGTAGAGATCATCCTCTGAAGTACAGGCTACATGTTTCACAACAATTTCTGTGGCGTTTGGCGCTCCGTCAAAGCTTCCTCGGGGATCCCAGCCTTTAAGACACTATCTCCACTAAAACCTGAGTCTTTTATGAGCTTAAACTATCCTTTCACAATTTCTGCGGTACACCATTAGAGATGCAAGCTACAACAGAATTGACCCTATTCCTATAAAAGGCCGAACGTGTTTCCAGCATGCCACAATTTCATTCTGACGGTACTGGCCGACGTCCATCGCGGCCGGCGTTGCACAACATAGCGAAAGGACACCCTAGAAGGAGAACAATTCAATTTCGAAGAAACAATATTTTTACAGCAGAGCTGTTAAGCGCTAGGTTCCCCAGGATCGTGTCCGGTATGTCGACACAAGCCTACCTGGATAGCTACTGCCATCTATAAGCGACAGCGGCAAGCACACAACCAGTCTGCTTGCCGTCGTCGATGGTAGTGCGGCAACATTTCCAGCTATCATAGAAGAATGGATAGTTGGGCGCGTTGGTGGGAATTCATTGCAAAAAACAGCGCGAAAAACAGACGACGACAAAGAAGAAGCACACGTAACGAGCACAGCGCTTGTCACGTGTGTTTCTTCGTCCTCGTCTGTTTTGCACACTGTTTTCTACGCTCTTATCAGTTTCGGTTTCGACTTAGGATGGGTCGGCCGCGCGCCCTTCCGGGAAAAGAAGACTGGAGAGCGGCGACCCACGCAGCACCGCGAATGGCGCCGCAACTGCCGCAAAGCCGCTGTCGCCTCGACTTCTACTGCGTTGAGCGCTTCAGATTACCCTGCCAAAAAAGAGCACATCGCTCGCCTGGAAAGCCTCCGCCGAGAACAGAACCAGCGATGTAAATGGCGCCAACGGGCCAACGCCACGGACGAAGATCGTGCCACGGAGGCCAAGCGCAAGCGCGAGGTTTGGCGACGACTGCACTCCACGCTGGCTGAACAGTTCCCGAGCGCGACGGCGAGGATTCGAAGGGAGTTTGTGAATTACCCGTTTGGCGTCACGTGCGTCGCGTGCGCTTCATGGGACACTGGTTCGTCGGAGCATATCCACGATCGGCGGCGCGTCGAACGAGAAGAAACGGGAAACGGGCGCGTGCTCGTTGTGGCAGTGTATTGAGTACAGCTCCGCTGATCCTTCTTTTTCACGAGAGTGGGAAAGCTGAACGTTTTTTTTTTCTTAGAGCTCAGTAATTGTTCATCGGGACACAATGCACAAACTAGACGAGGTGGCTATTGCGACATAATAAACGGTGGCACACTTTGAAGCGAAGAACAGCAACACACCTGGTACTGCTTGAAGTCTGTGCGCACGCGCCACCCCTTGTCGTAGGCCAGGGTGTGCCTGTCCTTCTGGAACAGTGTGTTGATGCGAGGGATGCCCCGGTCCCAGCTGTCCTCCAGGTCTTCAAGGGTGAGGCGCCTGCACACCCAAATGCGCAGTGAGTGGGCCAGCCAACACAAGAGTTCCACCGTCCCCGCAGAGAGGAGGCGCTATTATGAGGTCAGTGGTGTCACTCGGTAAAACTTCCTTCTTTTAGTCCCTAGACGCAGCGAGACATCTTCAATTCCAGCTAAGCTTGCGAAAAACTGAGTTATTTGAAAATGCATAGACACAACAACAAGAGCAACATTAAACGCCTTATGGTCAACCTTCGAAGCTCAAGGAGGGACACAACCTGGGGATGTCAACTTTTGAACTGGTCACTGATATTTGCAGGTGGTGTTTGTAGCCATATAGAAGGAGGGCATGCATGCAAAGTTTCAGCCCTGCGAACCAATTTTATGAGGTACGATACCCCCAGAACGATGTAAAGCATAGCTTTGCATGGAATCTGCTCAATGAATCTATCGCTGATAAATGGTGTTGATAACCACATAATTTTATGATGGAATACATACTAGAATACCTGTTGCCAGTTGCTATGAAAAAAATTTAAAAGAATATTCATTTTCCAAATTAAAAAATGCCTGAAAATTTTTTTTAACACTTTTTAGGTTTTGCAAATAACAATTTTTCACAATAAAGGAACATGAAAATGCAATATCTAAGTTCATAGTAACCGGCTCTATAAAATTTTGGCATATAACCTGCAAATATTAAGTCTCAATAGTTTCATACTGAAATTAGTTTTTTTAAAGTGAAATTTATGCCTAAAAGGGGAACGGATAAAAAATGAAAGCCGTTTTACAAGTCCCTGTAACGCCAAATTAGAGTGCAGCTCTTGAGGAGGAGGGTACGGAGAGGAGGCGATGTCCCTCCTCCTCTCCTTCCATTTACATAGGGAAAATTTTTCAGCTAGATTTAGCGGGGAAATTTTTCTGCTAGATTTAGCAGGGAAGTTTACCCATAATGCATTGCGCAGTTACGCCGACAGCGACGTTGCTCAAGCCGGAAAGAGGCACTGAAGAGCTGCGCTCTAAAAGTCCGAGGACACCTAAGCACTTCTGAGTTATGAATGCAAAAGCAGAAATGTCATTCTTCCGCTCCCTTAGTTTGTCTGCGGTGTAGCGGCATGGACAGCCGAGCGTGTGCTCTCTTGAGGTGGCCACGCCGTGCTGAGCTCTGCCCTACAGCCTCTCCGGAGTTTGCCCGAGCAGGCTGTGCGCCAGCCAGTGGGAGCCCATCCCTCAGATTTCTGCTACAGACGACAGGCTTTGCTCCATTTGGACAGGGGAAGGTGCCGTTTGGCAAGGCTTCAAAGCTGATGACGTCGGTTCGCTCCATGGGACAGTTAAAGCTTTCACATTGAAAACACATTCAAAGTGCTCAAACCTCCAACTTTTCTATAGCATCGCTGAACTGAAAATAATTTATAAAAATTATAACTATGCAGTGTAAACAAATGAAACTTTCTGGGAATACAGTTACCGACGGAATTATCGGACTCCGAAATTACGGACTTGCTTGTTATTCCGGACATCGACGGGGAACCGTTACTTCCCCGATTGAAGTAGTACATATTAACAACTAGTTTTGCGGACAGTTTGCGGCCCGAAAGTTCAATTTTCCGGACTAAAATGCGAGCGGCGGCCGCCAAAAAGGCTGCCATTTTGAATTTTTCGCTGGCTTGACCGTGGGCTTGGCTTGATTTTGTAAGTGGATTTGAATAGGCCGAATCAGCCGCTAGGTGTCCTAGAGTACGTTTTTGTTTTGTTTTTTTGTTTTGCTTCGCATCATCATCATCGTTTTCGTTTCTTTGTTCGGTCGATTTTCCATCTCCAATCAAAGCCAGTCGCCATTTGTAAAGTGTGGAGCACGCCCTCGCTGCGTCAGTACTATCGTCCTTTCACGCTCCGTCAACACATGCTTTCGACCTCATGGCCCCACCTCTTGCACCTCCGCCAGTTGCTCCGAAGAAGCGACGCTCTACAATGACGCTGGAGAAGAAAGCGGCGATTCTGAAGCTCCTGGATAATGGACGGAAGCAAGCCGACGTCGCGAAAGAGTTTCAGCTGCCCAAGCAGACGTTATCCGACTACGTGAAAAACAAGGAAAAGATTTTATCTGCACTTGAACGCTCGCACAACAAGCACCAAAAGAACGACCGAAAAGGGGAACATCCGGTTCTGGAGGAGGCCCTGCAACTTTGGCTTAAAGGAGTTCTTTCCAAGAACCTTCCAGTGTCTGGTGACGCACTCAAACAAAAAGCAGAGACTCTTGCTCTGAAAATGGACATAGAGAACTTCAAGTTCACCGACGGATGGTTGCGTGGCTTTAAGAAGCGACACGGAATTTTGTTTAAGAAAGTGTGCGGAGAGAGTGGAGCCGTCGACCAGACCACTGTCGCGGACTATCGCTTAAACAAGCTCAAGGCGTTACTGCAAAAGTTTGCGCCCGAAGATGTGTTCAACTGTGACGAAACCGGCCTTTTTTTTAAAATGCTACCGGACCGGTCTCTGTGCTTTGACGGTGACTCTTGCAAAGGAGGAAAAAACAGTAAGGATAGAATCACCGTCATGGTGGGGGCGAACGCGGTGGGCACCGAGAAGTTGCCGCTCCTCATCATCGGGAAGGCGAAAAACCCCAGGTGTTTCAAAGGCATGAAAAAACCTTCTGTCGGTGACAAGGAAGTCCAACTCGTCGTTGTCGGCTCGACAAGCGATTCGAGGAGTTTCAAACATACAGGTCAGGTTGCCGTGTGGTATTCCAGCAATACCAAGGCGTGGATTACGCACCTGTTGTTCGAGGACTACTTGCGCCGTCTGGACAGGGTGTTCGAGCATCAGAAACGACGTGTGGTGATCTTTGTGGATAACTGTGGAGCCCACGACGCTGTGGACAACCTCAAAGCCATCCGACTTGAATTTTTGCCCCCTAACACTACGAGTGTTCTCCAGCCAATGGACCAGGGCATCATTCAGAATGTCAAGGTCCACTACCGCGCTCGACTGCTGCGCCGCACGGTCCTCTGCTTAGACAACGGGAAGCGTTATGCTGTGGACCTCCATGCGGCAGTCAAGATGTTGACGGATGCGTGGATCGCCGTTCGGCCATCGACAATTGCCAACTGCTTCAACCACGCAGGTTTCTGTGCCAGTGTAGAGTCACTAGCTGACAACGCAAGTCTGGACCATCAAGAGGCCGAGGACATCGCCGCAGCAGCGGATGTCGACGAGTCTCTGTTCGCCGACCTGCGCGACAGTGGAATGGACATTCCTGATGCTGCTACATTCAGTGCGTTCGCGGATCTTGACAGCAACCTCGAACTGTGCGCGGAGCTTACGGACGAGGAAATCGTGCGCCAAGTCCTCGGACAACCTGAAGAAGACTCGGATTCTGACGACGACGATCACCACGCGCAGCCGTCGACAGCGGACATAACGAGCGCGTTAACCTTGCTGTCCAATGTGTACAGCGAGAATATGACGCTGGCGCAGATGCAAGCGGACGTGATCTCCCGCAGGCGGAAGATGAAACAAGGTACCCTTGATGACTCTTTCAAGTCCGCCTAGGCTCAATAAAGCCAAATTTTGTGATCCGAGGATTTTTCGGACTGCTTTATTTATCGGACGTTTTTTCGGTTCTCACGAAGTCCGCAAAATCGGTCGGCGACTGTACTCTCTAGATGTTGGTGTTTCTTTTTTCTGGGTGGTGTTCCCCCTTAAAACAAGTTTGGATTCCTGCTAACAAATTCAATTAAACGTTTGAACGACCGAGGACACTGATGAGAACACACCTTAAGAACAAAGCATTTGTCTTTCCACAAATAATAAAAAGAATGATCCAATACATCCCACTTGCCTAAAGCTTCTCGACTTTCAATGCATTAGTTGAAATTTCCAGGCTCTAGGAGACATGCCAAAATTTCTCCAAAGTATGACAGTTGGTTCGTTTTTAGATTTGTAGACTGGAAACAGCCTGACGGCTCACCTGTTCTGGGCGAGGGCCTCCTGCCGCTTTAGGGCGTACTCTGCCCAGACCCTCTGGGAGTCGATGAACTCGCTCTCCCAGGGCTGGATGTAGCGGTACAGGTTAGGGATCACCTGGTCCTCGTCGTGGCTCATGCCCGACCGGAAGTGGGTGATGCCCACGTCCGTCTGCTTGGACCACCTGCAGAGGAGATACAACCGTCATGTGGCATCCGAGCAATCCAGCACCACACTATGCAATGACCAGCGGCGCTTTCCTGCAACATTTGCTAGGAACAAGTTAAAACTTATACCAGACGCTTCACACCAGGGAAACAATCCTGAGCAATTAAAATCTCAAAATAGCTCAAATGTAGAATGTCACATCTGAACATCCATCACCTGCTTGCAAATCCCAAGTGGCATCACTTGAATGAATATTTCATGTTGTAGATCATGGGTTTTCAATCCGAGTTCCTAGGAACCCAGGTGTCTTTGCGGACCCCCCCGAGCTCAAGCTTCCTTGATGGTCCCTGCTCCCAAGTAAAGTGTCTTTCCAGTTTAAGGCGAGACACTGGTTCTAAAATGGACTATTTTATTTTTGCAGCTATACTAATGAAAATCACTGTGCATATGTGTTCCTTCTTCCTCACTTCAAATATGAAATCAGTTTCAAAATATCTCAATTAGTTTTCAAGTTATAAAAAATAGTGTTGCCTAATTTGGTTAATTTCTTACGGGTCGTTAAGGCCATTTCGAACAAAAATATTTTTTTTTTATTGATGTAGATGCATAGCTAAAGGTCTGCCATGCATTATAAAGCTATTTATATTTTCACAAAATTACATTATAATACAAAAATGTACTAATTATGCTAATTATGACACTAATGAGGTCGCATTATTTATCATAAAATTTTCGTTGTCATTATAAACTGCAAAAAAATAGCTTTACTCCATAGTCCAGTCATTTCTGAATAAAACGGTATAAAAAGTTTCAAAATGCTATGATAAAAACCTCATGAAAACCCCCGTAAGGCTAAGCACGTTGACAAAAAACATGAAGATGAGAAAATCAAAGTTAAAGTTTTGACATTGAACATAGAAAATTGTGTGAACAATGATAAATAATAATTGCCACCAAGGTGTAGTGTAAGTCTTCATGAACAACTTGACATAAAAGATGATGTAATCCATTTATGGGAACATTAGGAAAAAAATATGAAAGAAGTAAAGAATGTGTGAAATGTTGATAAAAATCACATTTTCCTGTTTCGACGCTGACTACAATAAATTATGTGAAAACCCTTATGCAATAATAGTTATCAAGATGTAGTGTAGTGCATTCTGAACAAATAATTTTAAAAATTGCAATAATTTGTTTTTGAGAAGATTGCAAAAATGGTGAAGAATTACTGATATAGGCTAAAAATTGCTTCTAAAGTGATGAGCCGACAACTTTGGACAACGGGAGAGGCGAGCAAGAGTTTCAAGCTCCAAACGTAATTTTGTTTGGCCCTGAAAAGGGCCTTTGTTCCACATGGCACTGGAAAAAGCCATTACAGCTGTCCTGGGCTGTAATCTCGTGATGCTCCTGCCTGGTGTCGCTTGGAGAACCTTTCCTTCACGCTACTGCTGCTCTGGTGCACCGCGTTTGCTTTACGTAAACGGAGACTGTCCTTTTCGATGCTTCGGCGGACAAGGCAGTCACCGGTGGCGTAGCCCAGGCCTGCAGCAATGGACTCGTTGGTCGCTCTCCTTCCCTGGTTGTAGACAGCAACAGCTTCAGCCGCAGCCCTCTTCACGCTGTCCAGGGAGGCATTCGCATTCTTTGAAGTCTGCGTCCAGATCACCGAATGCAGGCTCTCACTGGCATTCTGCGTCTTTCCCTCACTACACCGTGCCAACAGGTCTTCATTGCTGAGCCTTTCAAACACTGGCTCCAGTGCAGCCCGAACACAATCCGGAAGAGGATTCTTGTGCGGCGGCGGAGGCTCACTGTTTGCCAAGGCCCTGTTGTACTTGCACCAGGACTCCGCTCCCTCGGGGCACTTGCTGCGGTCTGGAGCGCCGTCTGTGGAGGTCATGTGCAGGAGTGTGGCTTCCACCGCCCTCTTCATCCCTGGAACGTCATGGCTGTTGCTCCTGAGAGCATAGCCGTAATAGTTAGTGATCTTCTTGATCTTTTCCTGTGTCAGCTTTCCTCTCCCACCAAGTGACTCGCCTTGTGCCTTCTTCTTCTCAACAACGTTGCGCAAGGCAGCTCCCATCCGCTTGTGGACGTGGTTCACGCAGTCCTTCTTCTCTATCTTGATAAAGCCGTAAACCTTCGCTTCAGACAAGGCATGGAATGTCCGGCTGTCCCCATCCGAAAGGACGGTGGTGTAGCGGAGACCATGCTTGGTCAGAGACCTCTGGAACATTGTGAGCGCAGCCTCCACCTCCATACGGCCAGCATTGCAGTCAATGTTCCTCTGGCAGTCGTGGGTTGCGCACCAGTCGCTGTAGCCATCGTCCTCGGGCTCCGGTCCCAAGGCACATCCAAGGCAGAAGTTGGAGTACACAACATGGTCGATGACGAGGCCAGAGTACAACTCCACAATGCAGCCTACACCAATGTGGGAGCTGCGTCCTCGGGTCATCCATGATCCGTCGAAGATGACATCGATGTTGCCAATGGGGTTCATAAAGCCTGTGTAGAGCCCCTTGACGACAGCAACACTGGCGGCTTCACTGTCGGTTGCTGCATTCTCACATGCCCGCACAAGCGTTTTCAGGTGTCCCTGGTACGTCTTGTGGTGCAGGCCCCGATGAGAAATGTTCATGGAGGCACAGAAGTCTGCCAAGGCTGTCACTCCTTTGCCAATGGATTGGATCCCCTTCATGGCCCTCATGTTCACTTCAAAGGAAGTGATCTTTGCTGTTCCAGCAACCCTGGGAGAGGAGAACTGGTTCTTCTGGAAGTCGCAAGTGCTGCAGACGAGCACAAGCTTGACGGCCAAGCCGTACTCCTTGTCCGCGGCCTTGCTGAGCGTGAGAGATCCCACACCGCAGCTTCCACACCTCGCGTGCGCGAAGAGGTCGTTGAGGACTTTCATGTCGACGATGACAAACTGGGTCCCGGCATCGCTTGTTTGGCATGATCCGTTGACTTCAAGCAGATCGAACTTCCGCTGGGTCGCCGACTTCTCCGATAAAACGCGCTTGCTTTGCTCCGATCGCTCGGCGCGCTGCGCTTGCTCGGCCGTAGAGTAGTAGGTAGAGTCGACGCGAGTGGTGCCGGCAAAACTTGAGCCATCCGGACCAGAGCTTGAGGCCGCAGCATCGTCAACGGGAAGGCTAGCCGATGGTCCCGGCAGATCCAATGCGTTCGGCAGTGGCGCAGATCGTAGCGGCGCACTTGCAGGTGATGTCTTCCGCTTGTTCCACGCACGTCGCGTCTTCCTCCCGAACGTCCGCCGCGTACTCTCTTTCAATCGAGAGTCCCCCGACTCTCTTTCAATCGAGAGTCCCCCGGCATCTCGATCGCTCGAAATAAAACTCCCGCAACTTCGTAGCGAGAAACCAACGATGTCCGACGCGAACGCGCGAACGTAAACGATTTCGAAACAACGTGCACTCAGCCGCGGAACGAACAAAGCGACAGGCCAAAACGAAGCAGACGACGCTTCTCCACGCTCTCCTTGCGCTGCTGGAGGCGCGCGCGCGCCAAGAGGAGGAAAGTAGCAAAAGTGGAAAGGGGCGCGTCTTGGCCTATGACAGGCGCGCGCGGCACGACGTACCCGTGACGTACGCGCGCGGGCCAATGAGCAATCGTTATTCCGGTCGTGAAAACCCGCGGAATGCGGACGCTCTCCAAGGTTGTCGCGATAGTGAGTGGGATGAGGACGTAGGGAAGAGAACCAGCTCCCCAACAAGACCAAGATGGCCGCGATCCGACGATCGGTCGTGAAGCGACGCGGGCGCGCAGTTCGACTATTTTTTTGCGTTGGATTCGCGATTTGAGCGTCGCGGAGGCATCGTATTTATCGTTTTTTTTATACTTAGACGTCGAATAGGACATTGAAACTTCGCAGGCAGGTACTTCAGACTATATTCTATCCAAACATGTGATTTTTGAAAAACCCCAAATTTCGCGATTTTTTACCATTTTAAGACCCGCGTCTCGCCTTAAGCGCCCTTTTAGCGAACCCGAGCCATCCACTGATGAGCAACTATGAGCCACAACACTTTCTAGCATGTACATCATTGTTTACAAGGTCGGTAGGCTTCTGCACTGCTGTACCGCACTAGTGCCAAGACTCGAAAGGGTTCCTCCGTTGCCGTCCAAGGTAGATGGGGTTTGTCGAGATTGGGAAAGTTTGGGAACTTCAGACAAAGGTGCACATCAACCGACCTGAGGTCCGACTGTGGGATGAGCACGTGTCCCATGGACAGCATGCCCAGGCCTCCCAGCTCCTTGGGGGTGTAGAAGACCACGGGCGGGAAGCGACTGGGCATCTTGGAGTTGAGGCCAATCTTGATCCGGGTCTGGATCTTGTTCTCACACTTCACCAGCAGGTCCAGCAGCTCCTGGGTGTTCACCACCGCTTCGCGGAAGTATGTCATCAGCCCGATCAGGGCAGTGTTCCACTTGTTCACAATCTGCACCGAGGGAGGGGAGGGACTGGTTAGCACTTGGACGCCGGGCAATATCCTTCCTCATTTTAATGGATTGATGCAAACAAGGTGCCTACCACATTCACATTTCCAAGCTCTCTCAGGTTCTAGGTGCTCTTACAACCGTTCCATGAAAACGACCCAACCACTCTAGACAAGCAAACGTGTTAACACCAGTAACTGTAATAATGATTTTGATGCGAGATTCTGTTTTACACTTGTGGCACCCAGTGATATTCAAACAACACCCGGTCAAATGATTGCAGGTGTTCTCCATTCAAACAGCAGAGACCAGGATCTTCGAGCACGTGCGCTGAGTGAAGATTGGGAAAAAATAATCCGTGGCCACAAAGTTTCCCGAACCAATTTAATCCTTTCGAGTGAAACTCCCCGACAATTGTAGGTTTTCCCATCTTGCCCGCCGACATAAACTGATCTTCAATCTTGAATCTCTGCCACGTGCCACTTCAAATGGCACGAAGACAAGGCCAAAACTATCTGCAAAGGTGCAAAGAGTCAAAACCATCTGCAACAGAATCTGGTTACACTCAAATTGATTTCCTGGAGACGTTTCCTTTGTGATGGCAACTTCCAAGAAGACAACAGGGCAGACTACTAATGCCCAAACTGGGCTCAAGACCCAGCAGACGTCTCCCGCTGCTCACCTTGGTGAAGGTGGTTGAGCCAGAGGCCATGAGGATCTGCCTGACCCGGTTGTGGAACCTCTGCATGGACTCGTCGTCCACCCTGAGGAAACACTGGGCAGTCCTCTCTTTGGTCACCTGCACAAACATCGCAGAAACCTCAGTTAAGTGAACATTAATTTCACAAGCATTTCCACAACAACTACTAAAAAAAAAAATGCCCAGGATAGACAAACCAAGAATAAAACATGCAAATCAAAACAAACATCTACACTTAATACAAGTGTAAATATCAGTCCTCATACCCCGTTTTATTCATTCTATCTAGCAATACGTCCTCAACTTGTTGAGACAACTAAGAATTGTAATAGAACAATGAAATAATCAGAAAAGTGTGCAAAAACTAAGAATCTGGCTGACCGTGGCTGCACATTGATAGCAAGGCCCTTCACCTCGTTCTGCAGGTTCCAGACGCCATCCTTGTGGCTGAACTCTTCGTGGGTCATGCGGCACTTGGGCAAGATGCGGCACTCAAAGCCCCCCATGTTGAAGAGCAAGTTGGGGTTGTCCTTGCTGTACACCGACACAAAGCTGCTCTCCCATTGCACCGTCGTCACGGAGCGGGGCAGTCGGTTCTTGATGTCCCAGAACACCGCACGCCCCCTGCAACAACGCCACACCTCTTTACACACGTGCCTGTGAGGAGGTTAGGATTGTTCAGGGTACCCAAACACATATAGCTCTTTCGGAACTCCCACATAACGCCATTCAAGGATTTGTCTGCACTCCAATTCATCTTATGGTGGATTGTGGTGGACGCTGTGAGCCGCCAGAACCAGTCCAACAATGTGCAAATGTCACATGAACTTCGAGAGGGAGCAGCGACGTGCAAGGTGCATAATCGCGCAATGTGTTTACAGCGCTAGGTTGGCTTGCATGGCTTGTAGTGTCTGCTGCAGTCCATCGCAAGATCAAATGCAGTGTAGAATTCTTGGCCCTAGCAAGACTCCTCATCAGTTACTAAACATACTCATATTTATGAGAGCGAAACTGTCATTACACCGTCATTACATCAAAACCTATAAACTCACCGATATTCCAATGACAGGGGATGAATTACTTTCATACTATCCATCCCCTGTCATGGCCTCCAGTAGGCACACTACTATTAGAGGCAAGATTGTGGCTATTATGGCAGTCTGGAGTCGAAGCCAAGACACGGCGGAACACTCACAGGTTGACGTCGTGCTTCATAAGCCGCATGCGGGCGTCCCTGGGCCAGCACTTCTTGTTGTTGTAGCCCACAATGTTCTCATTGTTGGGGTCCGGATGCTCCGTCAGGTAGCGTTGGATCAGGTCTCTAGCCTCCTCAGCCGTGAATCTGGTGGGTGGTACAAGATCAGCCACGATGAAGCATTTTCAAAAATGAGTGACAATGACGAAGCTTGTCGACGTGCCTCAACCACCCACAAACATTCCATTCACCCCAGAAACCACAAAGATAGGTGCTGCGATAAGCCACTATTGGGAAGGATATTTAACCACTGCACCCCAAGTGGCTAACTTTAGAATTACAGTCGAGACCAGTTATAACAAAGTCAAAGGGTATAGGAAATCACTTTACTATATCCACTTCATTTTATCGTGCCTGCAAAAAGCGGTCGAGGCTTCCCTGGATGCGCTCCCTGCTAGATCATGTTGACAGGTGCGATGGCCACCACGGAGGACATTGGCGGTTGACGGCATTTTCAGTGTTTGTGCGCGATTCGTCGAGGATGGCATGCTTTTGTTTCAAGGAGATTACCTGCAAAGCTATCGGACAATGTGCAACGCTGGGAGGCCTACCATGTCGCAGCTATTGTATACAAGAAAGCAGTCGAAGAGGCAAAATTACATTACTTTAACAATACGCTGCCGTCAATGTTGCTTAACAATCCGCGTCAATTTTGGAAAGTTATAAACCCTCCTTCTAGTACTGGCATAGTGCTTAGGGACACCCATGGAGAGGAGGTGCCAAGTGAAGTGTTTTTTTTTTTTGTTGAATGATGTGTTTGTTGGATCTTTTTCATGCACGGTAGCCTCAGATTGTCCTATATTTAGAAATGATTTTTTGACCATGTTTCCTGTTATTGTAAACTGTGAAGGTGTATCTAACATTATTGAAAACCTTAAAACCAATACGACCGCAGGCATTGATAATATTAATGCGAAGTTTTTGAAAAACACTAATACATACTCATACGTTATCTTATCTAAATTATTTTCGCAATCACTCGAACGAGGAGAATTGCCTAAAGATTGGAAGGTGGGGAAGGTGATCCCTCTCCACAAAGGTGGCGATAAGGATAACCCTCTAAACTTTCGTCCCATTTCTTTAACGAGCATTCCTTGTAAAATCCTTGAGCACATCATTTACACTAACGATTTCAATTTTCTAGACTCAAATTCGTATTTTAACTTGGTGCAACATGGATTTCGAAGGTTTTATTCATGTGAAACTCAACTCCTAACCTTTACTCATGACCTTCACGTAACACTTGATTGGGGTTCCAGGACTGACTGCATATTTCTTGATTTCTCGAAAGCTTTCGACAAGGCTCCTCACACGCTGCTTCTTCATAAACTCCGTAAACTTAACATAGATCTTAATACAGTTGAACCTCGATGTAACGAAGTCGGTAAAATTCGCAATTTACTTCGTTACATTGAAATTTCGCTAAATCGAAATTTGGCTTTAGCATGCGAAAAAAAAATAAAAAAATTCCGAAACATTTTACGGGTATGAAAACTCACCGAAAATGACATTTATTTAGCGGCAAAGTAGTCCGCGAGCTTTGCTTGCGCCTTGTCCGACAGTAGCAGCGGCGTCGGCGGCGTCATACGGCGTTCGAGCGCCCAGAGCGCTTGCACGGCATCTTGCTGCCCATGCGACGCCGTGTACCTCCTCAGTACGTCCATTGCGTCGAGCACTTCCCGAGTGCTCGTGATCTCGGCAGTTTCTTCAGGATGGCGTCCAAAACGTTTGCTTTCTCATCCAAAGAAAGAACTTTACGTTTCCTTATGTCAGCAAACACGTAAGTGAACCGCCCGGTTAAAAAATAAAGCTCTTTAGTTTAGGCGGTGCCAATGTTTCCAACCTACACAGCACTCTTGACCGCACAGTTTACTTGCCGCCTTGCGCCCACAGTGTGCTTGCGCCTTTGCTTTACATCACGCTCGCAAGACGATAATCGGTCTTTTCCTAGATGGCACTGCCCGTGCGGTCGCGCGGTCGCGCCATCACGTCGCTCCCCCGCCGAAGTTGGCTCCCGCGCTACCCGCGGTACAGTGGACTATGATGATCAGTGAATGTCAGTGGTGATGCTGTTATGTCGTGTTAACTCTTTGCTCGGCATTTTCTGGCCAGCCTCGCGGAATCCGCTTTGCCGCATGCCTCGCCGGCGCTACCGGCGCCGCATCCTCGGGCAGCCTAGGAACGTTGGAAGGCCTGTCCCCGTGAAGTAACCTATCAAGCGCTCGCGTTTGCGCATAATTTTTTTTTAACCACAATTTTTTTGCGAAGTTGTTTTTTAGAGTTGATTTATTTAGTGCCTTCTATGGCAATGGCACTTCGTTATATTGAAATAGCAGCAAAATAGACTTCGTTATATAGGGACTAAAAATACATGGGGTCTATGGGCAAGAAATTATGAAAAATAAAATACTTCGTTAAATCGAGGATTTCGTTACATTGAAGTTCGTTATATCGAGGTTCGACTGTATAATTGCTTGGATAGAATCATTTCTATCAGACCGTTACCAATTTGTTCACGCTAACGGAACTAATTCTTCAACCTCACCTGTCAAGTCCGGTTCCATATTAGGTCCACTTCTATTTCTTATATATATTAACGATCTTCCCACGCATGTATCCTCTTCTATTCGTCTATTCGCTGATGACTGTGTAATTTATAAGGAAATCATTAACGAGTCTGACATATCTGCTCTTCAGACAAATATTATTGACGTCACCCGCTGGTGCGATAATTGGCTTATGGAACTTAACACCTTTAAATGTAAATCTATGAGTGTGTACCGTCAAAATAACACTTGTCCCTCCTACTGTATTAATAACTTCACCTTGCTTTCTGTGTCAACCTATAAATATCTCGTTGTTCATATAACTAACGATCTCTACTGGAACATCCATGTCGAATATATCACTAAAAATGCTAATCGCTTATTAGGCTATCTCAGAAGAAACTTTTCCCTTGCTCCGGTTTCACTTAAACTTCTCCTATATAAAACTTTAGTGCGCACCAAACTCGAGTATGCAAGCTCTATCTGGAACCCTGGCATATCCCTAGCATCATCCATTGAATCCATTCAAAATCGCTCCGCACGTTTTATACTTCCTAACTATCACCGTACAGCCAGCGTCACCTCCATGAAAGCGTCTCTACATTTGTCCAACCTCTCTTTACGTAGAAAAATAGCTTGCCTCTGCTTATTTCACAAAATTTATCACTCTAACCCAGCACTTCGAGCCTCATTACTTTCAGAACCATCATACATATCGCCGCACACCGATCATCCACTAAAAGTAGGAACCCCCTACTGCATCACTTCCACCTTTTATGCCTCCTTCCTACCTCTGACCTCCGTCGACTGGAACCGCCTTCCCGCATCCGTAGTCTCACTTACTGGCGCTGCTGATTTTAAAACCGCCATAACTGATGTTCTTAACAATGTTCCATAGCGATTCTGTACCTTGTGTTTTGTTTATATTTTGCGTTTTGTTTTTATTGTTCACCTTATATTGATGTATATAATTCCACTCCTCTCTGTAATGCCTTCGGGCCCTGAGAGTATAATAAATGAAATGAAATGAAATCTTCCCTGTTGAGGTGCCAGCAGTGCCAGGGCTCTCCATTGTTATGTGGCGATGATTCGCAGAATCAGTGATTCAGCGAAGTCAGACTTTCGCGCAAGAGCAACCACACCGACCAGCAATGCAGACACGGAACACGAAGCAAACAAAGAAGCGCGCACAGCACCGAGTTTGCACTCAAGCTTGTCTTTCGCCGGTATAGAGAGCTTAGATTTAAGAGAGAAGGTCGTCCCATCAACGTCGCTCCATTTATTGTCGACACTTTCTACATTACGTAAAGGATCGAGTCCTCAGGCCTTGCGTTGGATAAACACCGAGCTTTGGGGAAAACAGACTGTAAAGAGCATCCCCTACAGTTCGATTTCCTCGCCAAGAACTGTTTGTTGGTGAACTGCCCCGACGTTTGAAATTCTGTCATCTAAAAATACACGCAAACAAACAAGGACTAGCAGCAAAGGCAACAAAGCATTCTGTGAGTCTGTGAGAAACTTCTGCTTAGGGGGCACACTTCCTGAGAGCATCAACTTTTGAACCCTCGACTTAAAGTTAACGAAAGTTAGAGGGTAGGCTGGTGGTCATGCTAGAGGGCACATAACAAAATTTTAAATTTGTCAAATAATTGGAAGGAAATTAGAGCAGCTTCTATCAGCAACACGCCTACATTGTTTAGTTAAATGAGTTGTGCAACAGTTTCAGTGCTTTGCTTAAATAGTCTGGAAGTTGGTGCCTCGACCTTTCTGAAGCAAAGAACAAAAACCACCTTTGCCTGCATGTCCTAGTTTTTGTTTTAAAAATGGACAAAGATTGAGGTTTTTGGCGCCTCTCAACTCCTTCACCATCTTCCGAGTCACGTGCACTGTGGCGTCAATGGAGGCGGCGCGGGGTTCCGGTGAAGGTCTCTCTCTAGAGCCATCCGTGAGCAGTGAGAACTCATCCGCTCGCGACCGCATGACCACGTGCTGGCCGGCAAAGCGCAAACAATATGGTGAAAGAAGGAAAGTCTCATCCGGGTCTGGCCATACCCGTCCGGCCCTGTCCCCCTCCGGCTTCTGGCGGCTGTTCGCAATAGCAGATAGAGCCGACGGTTTTGTAGACCTAGGATAGATGGCGCCACTAAAACTCCGTATAATAAAAGCTTTGTCGATGATACCAGGTTTTTGACGCATTTATATTTATGTTGGAACGACAAGATTTATAGAAAAGCTACCTTTTATCGAGCAGGTATTCGGCAAACTTGTTATCTTTCTACAAGACGCCCCCCCCCATTGATGTCATGCCGCGTGTTTCTCACGGCTGCCGCTTGCAACTGCAGGTCGGGGAATATTCTAATCTTTGCCTCGCGATTACGCGGCGGAATCTCAACATTTCAAGGAAGGAGGTGTGTTTTCTGTCCTTTGTGACAAGGTGAACAATATCAAAAATAGAAGATGCCAATTCTTTTAATGTCAAAATCGTTGCACAGCTCCTTTAATCTATTGTCGGAAAACTATCACAATATTCACGATTTTCATTCGCTAGATATGTAGCAAAACGCCGAGGGGGTGCGGCCATGAAAAGCTTTTTTAAAAAGTCGTTTACTTCTATAAATTTTCTCTTCTGCAAAATTGGTAAACTTTTTGGTCGTCTGTATCTTCGACAAAATGTCAACATTTTTTTATAAAATACATCCGTAAAGTGACAAAAAATTTCCATAGCCGCATTCCTCGTTAAATTTCAGTCAGGAGAAGTGAAGAACGAACCTTCCACGTATTGCCATTACCAAGCGACAGATCGATTAAAATGGAATTTATACCAAAAAGTGGAAGTGCTCCAAACCCTACCTTTTCTTTAGCTTCGGTGGACAGGAAATAATTTATAAAGAAATAACTATGCAGTGTAAACTAACGAAACTTTCTGGGAATGCTCTCCAGATGTTGGTAAATTTTCAAAATCAACTTTTTGCAGAAAATTTTTTTTTTTTTTTTTTTCTGGCTAGTAGAAGTTTCCACCTGCACACTGGAGAGTTAACAAAAGCGCAAGTTTTGAGAAGGACACAGGTGTACAAGTTTTACGACACCCATAACGAGTGATTGATGAGAGCAACACTTGAAGCCACGCAAGGACTCCCGAATTACTGGGTAGCGTACCCAGACAGCATCCAAGCGCTCGCTTCCGGAGTTCCCAGGAAAGACACAAGAGCGCTGCAGCTCTCGAAGCGGATCAAGGGGAGACGAAGGGAGTGTGGCCATGTTAGAGTCGGGAAGGGTATAAGTGAGGGGATCTGTGGCTGAGCGTATTAGTGCATCGCAGCTCGGAGCACGTGGAGCCTACGGAACCCAGATATCCTGGGTTCAATCCCTCCCTTGGCTGTTTCAATCTGGGTGCACATTGTACTGGCGTGCGGTTGTGTACCACTACTGCACGACACACGTGAAAGCCCCCAGGCTAGTAGTCACACTGCACCGACTAAATTTCTCGTCTACGACGTAAACCAATGTTGCTGCACCTCAAAGGCGGACCGACCTTATGGCATATACCGTATTTACTCGCAGAATGAACGCACTTTTTTTTCCGAAAAATCGATGCAAAGTTGAGGGGGGCGTTCATTACGCCAAGTAAAATTTTTGCCTCCGTAGTCCGTATTTACTCACTCGCATAACGAACCTAGCTTTTATCCTGAAAAATCGAAGTAACTTCTTATCTCTTTGCGCGCGGCGCCCGGACCCCGTAACCAAACTAAGCTGTGAAAAAAGAAAAAAAAAAAAAACTCCTCTTTGTTTTGTTTTTTTCTTAGTTCCTTGGGTATTTTTTTTTTCGCCGCCTTTCGCAAGCTGTTTTGTTTGCTTAGGCGAGGGCTCTCCGCTTATCTTTCTTATCTCCTTGCGGGCGGCGCGCGACGCACGAACCCCCCGTAACCAAACTGCGCTGTGCAAAAAGAGAAAAAAAAAAGCTCCTCTTTTTCTTTTGTTTGCTTCTCAGTTCCGTGGGTTGTTTTTTTTTTTTTTTTGCCGCCTTTCGCAAGCTGTTTTGCTCGCTTAGAGCGCTTCTCCGCTTCGCTTTCTTACCTCCTTGCGCGCGGTGGCGCGCGAACCCAAAGTCCAGACCTGCGCTGTGCAAAAAAAAGCAACTCTCCATGTTTTTTTTTTCTTGCTTCCATTGGATCTTTGCGAATTTTTTTAACGCCTTTTGCAAGGCGTTGTGTTCACCCACGCTGCCCATTCATTCGCGACCTCGCTGCACCAGGATAGAAAAGTGCGTTCATTTCGCGCGCGTGGGGGGAGGCGGTCAAAATTTTGACGTCCGAGTTGGGGGTGCGTTTATTACGCGAGTGAAAAAAAAAAGTCGAAATTTTGAGAGCCGACTTGGGGGTGCGTTCATTACGCGAGTGCGTTCATTGTGCGAGTAAATACGGTAAACACAAACAAAAATTTTGTTTGGGAGAATAAGCAGTGTGTGGTTCACACAACCTTGTGTCGAGGGTGTTGGCACCTCTGGAGGCTAAGCTCAACGGTCGACGAAATTCCCCAGCCTGTCCCCATCCGATGTAACTCCTCACGCATAACTATACCCCAACCAAAAATGAAGCAAAAAAAAAAAAAAAAGTAGAGCTTTTTCACCTCACGTGAAGATGGAAGACCAACGAAGCTGTTATCTTTACGATGTCTAAGACTACCTCGAGGACGACTTCTAGGACAACATCGAGGACGACGCCTAGGACGACCTCGGGGACCATGTCTAGGACAACCTCAAGGACAACTTCCAGGACGATGTCTAGGACGACCTCAAGGATGACTTTAGAAATGACCCCAGGGACAACTTCCCAGACAACCTGAAGGACGACGCCTAGAGAAATTCAGCCTTTCCACTGTGGTGAAAACCAGAGTGGAAAGGTTGCCACTATCTATAAGCGACGGCAGCAACCAGACAAACGGTAAGCCGGTTGTCTGGTTGCCTCCGTCGCTCATAGATGGCGGTAGATGTCGAGTTTTGTGTCGACATTTTTTTTGTCCGCAGACACAATACTCGGGAAACTATCCCTTAACAGCTGTGCTGTAAAAGAAGAAGGTGGGAAGAGGAGGAGGCAAAGACCTGAAGAAGACATGTATGCGGTCGATGTAGCGCGAGTAGAGGCGCACAGGGTGGGCGGTCTCGGTGGCCACGTCCTGGAAGGACAGGAAGTCGTTGGGCATCTGGGGGGGCCCCGCCATCTCGGAGGCCCGCTGCAGGCCCAGCCCCAGCAGGTCCAGCACCAGGCCATAGTACTGCACTATGAACGACGAGAACTGCAGGCCCCGGATGATGCCATAAGAGTTGGTGTGGTTCATGTCCTGCACGGGAAAAGAGAGACGGACACAGTTAGTCCACCGTGGCCACCACAAGCTAGAAGACTCGCAACGTCTATAGTCGTCGACAAGCCGAGGGCGCATTTGGGGCACGGTGAAAGGCAACGAGAGTTTGTTGGAGACTAGGTATGCAAAGGACACCACACCCTTCTTCTCTTCCCATCAGTGACCAGAGCCTAACAGACCGTCTACAATAGCGAAATACGGCAACAGATTTCTAGGCATGGGCAAGTCGATGCTGCGTAAACTTCTACGGTGAAGTCAATAAATGTTTAACAATGAAACTTGGCCATGCGCCGCACAGGTCCTTTTTTGCATAATGTACCTGCCATGGGAGCTGGTGGAACACTGGTTATGCACAGTTGTAATACCAGCTATCGATACCGTGTCGGCACAAACCTCGGCCTCTCCACATTTTGCTCCATTCTTGCAGTCATATGCTGCTGCATGTTAGCACTTTTCTCAACCATTAAAGTCTGTCACAATGACTTTACATTTGTGCCTCTACTTCAACTCTAACACAGACTCCAACCAGGCATACTGGTCTCCCCCAAAGTTGCAAACTTAAAACAAAAAAAATACTATATTGTATTAATGCGCACGAAATTGACCCGGAGTGCCCAATGTCACCTTGTAGTTGATGATGACGTTGTTCTTGGCAGTCATGTAGTCGGCAATGTTGTGGTCCACGATGAGACGCAGCAGTCGGTTGAGCAGCGTCAGATCGATCTTCTCGTACATCTTCTCAAAGCGGGACTCGAGCATCACGTTGCACTCCCCTTCCGAAGTGTCCCACACATCCTGCAGGTTGTTGATGCCTGCCATCCAGAAAAAAAAGAACATTGGTCATTTTACTAACGCACAAACTTCCTTCAAAGCAAACTTCCAACAGAGAGCTTAGAGTGGACTACCGGGCACCAAGCTGTGCTATGATACTGTCTGCCTCTCCCATAGCAACTGCTCTGTGATTACAGTGACTGACAGGATAAGAACAGCAGGGAGGAGTTTTCAGTTACTCTGCCTCCAGCGTGCAAGCAAAGCCAAAGCACAACAAAAGGCAACACGTGTGTACTGGGGGCAGGGCATTCGAAAGAGATGCTCGCCATTCTCACATTGTCAGTATCTATAGTCAGTGATAAGGTAAGTGGATGAATATGAAAGGAAAGGGGAACCATTAACACCAGGAATCTTGGTGACACTAGTTTCTTGTTCTATGAACAGGAAACTATTGTCACCAAGATTCCCGGTGTCAATGGTTCCCTCTTCCCTTCACATTCATCCGCTGAATACTCCCTATACTCTGTTCCACCTTATGATGTACCGCAGGAAAGGCTGCAAGTGCGAGCTCTTTGCTCTAGAGCACATCTCGGCGGCACAAGCTCTCGTGCGTTAAGAGCAGCTGCCAACGCTATGAGCTCGCGCTTCAATCCTTCTCTGCGGTACAACATAAGGTGAAACAGAGCATACTGGAGTGCATCTTTTTACAATGAAGCTGTTTATGGCTAGGGTCCTGTGGATTCGTGTGCGTGACCGAAAACTTTATGCCCGCACCCCCGCATGTGCCACACAAGCACGCCTTCCCCGTACAAAAGATTCAAAGTAAATAACCAAAATAAAGAGTTGACGAACATACGTGCAAGATGCCAATTGTTCTAGGCTTTTGCTTTGGGACAGTTACTGCGGCAATGCCGGCACGTACGGCGCGTGTAAAACCATTCCCAGCATTCTCCTTGATGCTTGGGTAACTTAGCAATAGGTCTATTTCACTTCTCTCGTCATAATGGAAAGGCCGCGTATAGTCCAAACTCCCAAAACGCAACAGGCCTACGAAGAGTAACAGCGGTGGCGGCTTGAGGCAAGATGAAGATTGTGCACAAAACGCCAAGCGCATGCGGCAAACCAGACAAGACGACGGACAAATGTCGCAGGCTGGAGAATGCGCCAAAAAGACGCAAGTACCATGCTGCTAAATTGGACAACTTTGATGGAGCATGCGCTAAATTCTGTGCAACGTCCGTGTCGTGTGCTAAACAGCTTCGCTGGCCATCCACCTTCGCAAAGTAGAATGGCTCATGATTTTTTTTTTGTTCTGGTTTGCTATATTTTCTATTGCGCCAAAATGTTGAAAGGGACGGAATCCACGCACCTTGGCACCACTTGTACACGAGCAGGGGTGGGGGCTCGGAGTCGGCTGGCTTGATCCACGGTGGGAAGAGGCGCCGCTTGTCCGCCTCGTACCACAGGTACTGATCCAGGTAGGCGTCCGTGATCTTCTCCAGGGGTTCCACGTCGTACACTGGGATCAGGTGGCTGTACAGGTCCATGAACTCTATGCCCACCTGGAAGACAAAGACAGCCACACCGTTCAGGCAACGGGCAAGCAAAGAGGGGGCTCAAGCAGTGACTTATACCCACCCCGAATTTCCTGCTCAGTGTACACACGCTTATGGTATACGCTCCACCCCGAGAGCCCTAACCAAAACCTTCCTACCCTCTCCCCCCTCTCCCCTCCCCTCCCCTCCCCTCCCCTCCCCTCTCCTCTCCTCCCCCCCCCCCCCCCCCCCTAGGACGACCTCAGGGACCATGTCTAGGACAACCTCAAGGACAGCTTACAGGACGATGTCTAGGACGACCTCGAGGACGACTTCAAGCTGTCCGAAATATTCGTTGTGAATATGCACTACAGTCAAACCCACTTATAACAAATGCGATAGTTCCGCAAAAAGTCAACAGTTTATCACTAGTTCGTTATATCTGGACTTACCTTTAAAACATTGTAAATAAGCATAATGAAGCTGATATTGGTAGTTTCATTCTGCCAGCTCTTTATTTAAAGAAACTGTTTGCACGATTCTAATGCGCCCCCAATTCTAACACGCAAGCAGATTTAGCTTTCAGATAATCCAAAAGTAAATTGCTGCCGATTCTACCGTGCAAGTAAAATAATGAAGACTGACCACATACCTCATAGAACAGATTTTATGAAACGCACGGCAACAGAAAAATAAATGCTGTGCACTAGTCCAACGATGGCTTTTCGCTGTCCACAGAGGTAATTAATACTTGCTTTGGTCTAAAGCATTTTAAGTGCCACGCTTCCTGCGCATGGAGGTGTGTGCGGCCGTTGCCTCTGCAAGGGTCGTCTTTCAAACACTTTGCGAGCTTGTCTGGTGGCTGGGATTCCGAGGCCACGCAGTGCTGCTCCGTTGTTATCTTTTCCCGCCAGCATGACGCCCTTTTGTTTAAATAAAGCCTCCTAGTGGATTTTTTTCTTTTCTCATCTTAAAACGACAGATACGAGTCCTTGGACGCGAGAGAATGTGCATGATACGAATACCAAAATGGCAAACATAAACAAACGGTCATGATGGTGATCGGGCGAGCCGCCTTATACCAAGCATAGAGTTTGAATACAGAGCTAGCAAACATAAAATGAACGAGAACGCAGTATGGCGTGAGAGTTGACTTCCTCCTTCTCCTCCTCTTCTCCTTCCCGAGCACGCATAATTGGCAGACTATGCGACTTGGGAGGGCGTTTTTGCTCTTGTAGCTTTGTTTTCTCCCCCGCTGCGCAGCCCTGGAAATGACATTGAGTGTCTCCCGGAGCGTCATACCCAAAATGTAACTGTTTTGACCTTTTCTTTTTTTCTTTTCGCGCCCGCGGGAGCTGCTTTTTTTCTTTTCTTCTGAAAGCGGACTTTGTGTTTGTTGTAACAGTATGATGCTTTGAAAAACGGTCGTTTTATCTGGAACAGTTTTAATGGATAGGGCCTTGAATTCATATATTTTCTGAAAACTGGTCGTTATATGTGGAATCGTTATAAGTGGGTTTGACTGTATTTCTATCAGGTCGGTACCGGTTCCTTCTTTAGGTCTGAAATATAGAACAAGCCCGAATTATCGGCGTCCGAAAAATCGGTCGGCGAATGTGCCCGTGTTTCCAGCATTCTCTTCGCTGCTTGGGTAATTTAGCGAAAGGTATACTCAAAACCACCATGAACAGGTCCTCGAACAGATGCCGCCATTTGAGCTTTGCATGAAGGTAATCTGTGTAATGGAGCGTTGTACGAAACGGAACAAATGACACTTGCCTCTTTGAAGGCTCTCTGGGTGAGCAGATGACGCTTGATGCGAGAAAGCGCCTCATGGGGGTTGTCGTATGCCTGCTCAATGAGTCCCAGTTCTTCTCGCTGGGACTGGTTCAGGCGGCTCTTCACGCTGCCAAACGAAAGAGGATGAGGGTCAGAAAAACACGGCACTTCCAGCCTCCGCCACTCATCACACAACCATATCCAGCTTGCACCAGAGAAACTAAAAGTTCCCAGAGTTCCAAGTTTCCTACTGTCAGTTGGAACTAAAAATAAAACTTGATGGAGAGTTGCTTACTGTCATTTGTAATGATTGGCGACCCAATCAGGTAGCTAAAACAGTAGTTAACACAACTATAAACAATTGCAAGTGAGCACCAAGCTGCAGAAACGTCAGCAATGTTGCCTTGTGGCTGCCCCTCGGGGCGTTATCCCAAAAGATGGCCACCTAAGGTGGATCCCGCATAGCAAGGCAGCAGCGAGTAGAAACTCTGTGTGTTTCGGTGCACCCTCAATAACCAGCAACACTGGATAGCAGATGTGCGCTTTGCTAGCAACAACCTTACAAAGCAGCACACCAACTATCTACACAACACTCTAAAACGATTCCGCAAAAAAACAAAGCAACCCCCCCGGTAAGATGTTGCCAGTGCCCAAGAGGAGAGACTCTCATTCACCTGTAGGCCTCCTTCAGCCTTTCCAGTGCCAGGATGAGCAGCTTAGTGTCGTGCTTGTAGGAGAGCGGTGGGAACGGGATGGGGGAGAACCGGCGGCTCTCCAGCCAGTGCACCGTTGTCGTGTAGATAGCCACCGCCTCCTCCGCACTGATGTACGGACCGTCCTGCAGAGACAGTCGTCACGTCTTGAACAATAGAACTTACAAGTTCAACACACATTGCAAAAGGAAGAGCTGCATAGGGTGCCCCACTGTCCTCCCCTTTAGGGTGATGCCATTCTTCGCAGCACCCGATACCGAGTGGACAAGCTTGCAAGGAAAATGCACGGAAATAGCCGGAAATAAATTGGTGCTGCAGCACAGTCAATGCCAAGAGCTCATGCCAGGGGACACACTTTCACGCACTCCAGCGCAAAAATGAAACAAAGCGTTGCAACTCAATATGGTTTGATGTCACCACTCCAAGACAGATGCATATACATAAGGGCACCCCAGGCCTGTCATGCCAAAGAAATCACACTATGCAAGCCACATGCACTGTGAAGGAAAAACCTATAGTCGTTAATAGGACAAGAATTCGGAAGAAGCTCCATCTCCAGACATGATTGTCACCTTCAGTTGGGCATTGGCTGCATGTGAGACAAAGTGTTATCGAAGGCAGATATGTGCAGTGGATACAAAGGCAGCAGCTAGCTTTAGGTCTACTTACTTATCATTCGAACTAGAGCTGTGTTCTGATGTCCGAAAGCGCTCTTGCCTCCTCCTTTCTCTCAGTTGCTTGGCACATAGCATACCACCGGCATGAAGTAAAGGTTAAAAGTGTACCCCTTTTCATGTTGAATGCAACTAACTTGAGTCAAATGTTGCCTACAAGTTTGTAGAAGTCTGTCAAGCCCCCATGCCCAAATCTGACCACTGCCACCACCGTGCCTGCCTGCCTCCCCTGCCCACCTTGAGGTAGTTGTGCTGCCTCTCCTGCTCGGCCTTGAGATAGAGCCGGGTGAGGCGCCCCAGGTTCTTCTTGCACACCGTCTTGTCCACCGTGGCCCCCCTGCGGATACGCTCCCGGTTGTAGTGGGCTGTGTTGGTCCACCAGTCTGCCTTCATCTTCACGTAGCGCAGGATCATGTTCTCAATGGGGATGGGCAGCCCAGGCACCTGTCAAGAAGGCGTTGTCAAATGCAAGCGGAGGGGATCAACAAACAAGACATTCGACTTCGGGTATTTGCCAATTCGTGTAACATTAAACTTAAGGGAAGCTAAGCCTTCTTTATTCTCTTTGTTCATGAGCAAGATTGTTGCCTTTGACAGTGTTCTGAGCTTAAGCTGCACCATGCATGTGCTGGGGCAGCATCCCCGAATCCTTTCCGTTCAATAGCGCTTCAGTGCCATTTACGACCTAAGGCGATGCACAGGCGTGTTCACACTGGAAGTGGATTTGCATGTTTTCAACTGAAAAGCGGCTGGGATCGCGCGGTTAGGGCATGCTTTTGCCAACCGCCTTAAGACCGATTCCTCCTGACCGCTTTACGAAGCAGCAACCAATCGCGACGCAAGGCTGATGTGACATCTATGACTTTCGAAACAAGACAGCACCCATTGCTAGTGAGGCATCCTAGGTACTGTAGTCCTAGCTTTGCAGCAGACAAATCAGTGAAGAAATGTGATGTTCACGTCTGCCACCTGAATCCACCGCTAAATAACCTGACTCATACTTTTAACTGGCTTCGCCCTGGTGGTTTGGTTCGGGTAAGCTAGTTTGTTTATTATTCGGGGTGCCAAAGCTCGTCGATGCGCTGCCTTGTTTGTGTTTGCCCGTAAAACATCGGAACCCACCTCCAGTCGCCCAAAATGACAAATTCCCACTTCAGCAGTCGTGCAAACTACTGAAAGCTTTCGACACCGTACGTGACAACAATGAAGGCCGATAGAGACGCCGTGAGCTATTGCGTAACACATACACTACCACAGAAGTGGCAGGGCGCGCCCAAGATAGCTGCGCTAGCTCGAACCGCGACGTTATTACCACCAAAAGGAATAAAGGTACCCCCCCAAGAAACACAGTGTATGTACCAGACGATCCACAGGTATTCCATGCAGCATTTATTTGAGCTTAACGTCCAACAATCAACCGAACAGCAGACTCTATCGACGTGAGTGACAAGAGGCGAGTCTGCCACCAACCAAGCCACAACCGGCAAGAAACAAACACATTCCCCACACCACCATACCACTCACCACACCGAAAATGAAAATGAAAGCGATGAGAGGGGAAAGTCGGGCCTTCTTATTCCGAACACAAGGTCAGCTATTCATGTGGGAAGGGTCCACTTTGAAGAGTAGGTTAGGGCGTCCTCTTCTGAGTCAGCAAGGCGCGCCTAGCTGGGCTTTGCTTGTAGGCAAAGTCGAGGGAATCATCGGCGTGGTTTTGAAAGATCATCTGCCCTTTTTCCACTCCCTCAACTTGTGCCGCGTGCGTCAAAGTACTCCAGCCTCTGTATCGTAAAGCAGCCCGAAAAAAAAAAAAAAAGGCTAAATTTTGGTTTTGGATTGTAGATTAAACTGGATTTTGGATTGTAAAAAAAAGGTTGCCAATCAGTTGCCAAAAGATCACACGTCATAGAAAGATCACGGGAAATCGCCATACACGTCTCCATGTGTCTGAATGGGGTCGCTCGCAAACCGCATCCGCTTTTCAAACACAGCTCAATTGCCAGTGTGAATGCACCAATACATTGTAAAGTTCTGTTCCTTCTTTGAACAAAGAAATCTTCCACCAATCGTTCCTACAAACACACAAAAACTACATTTCTTCACCAACTAAAATTCAATCAGCATTCAGAAATTCGTGGCCACAGACAATCAAATGCATGGAAGCCCAGTTTGCCATGCATGTTCCCGACCTTGAAGATGTTTACCACATTTTTTGTCACTGCTCTAACTTTTATAACCAATGGGAAATCTTCACTTTCAACTGCATCAAACAGGGCATGACTAAATGCACGAAACCTCTCATTTCTATATAACCTGGCAGGATATAAGAGAAGCACTACTTCGGCGCCCTATCCAGAATAGCGACAGCAGAGTTCCTTTTATTCCTAGTCGAAACTTGCCTGGCTAGAGATTACACAAAGCTGCTCTTTACCTTCTTCCAATTTCTCTCTTGACCCTCCCAACCTCTCTCTTCTTGCTTCTTTAGCCCTTAGCTAGAACTCTCCCCATTAAAACAAGTGGCGATACTGTTCCTTTTTTAACCCTCTCCCTCGAAGCTTACGTGCCCCCGACAATGCCGACTGTTTACCTTCCAGGGGATGTTGGCCTTCCAGCACCTCCAGGCCTCGCTGAGGTGCTGCAGGATGGTGCGGGCCTTGTTCTGCTTGATGCCCTCTGGCATCATGTCCAGGATGTCGTGCATCACCTGCGGAGAAACAAAAAGACGCCCCGTTCATTCTCAGTTCAGTGGAATTAGCAAAGTCACAAAAATAAATAATGTACGACATTTTTAGGAGACGGGATTATCTTACTCATACTAAAGTGAAATTATTTCAGTTCTTTTATTAATTGTAATGAAAAACAGAGCTGCACAAGTGTCGCACAGAAGCACACACAAGTGAGCATGGGATCAAATGCCGAGTTCGATTCGAATACCCCCTCTCACTTCAACTGGGTTTACATTATGCCAAGAAGAATGTCGTCCAGCAGTCCCTCTTCAGGTAGAACTCTAGGGGACCAAGAAAAACTGCTCCGCTTATCAGAAGACGAGAAGGCATTACTGAAGGCTCAAACATTCTAAGACATCCCAGTAAATTAGAAGTTCCTTTTATCACAGTTCCACTGTGTCTGCCTTTCAAAACATTAAATAGAATATCCGAATCGACAAGTGCCTCGCTACACTCGGCAAACCTGGGAGGTGGTGGGGATGGGCGCACTCACCGAGGCCCTCAGCTCGAGGTCAAAGTGGCTCTCGACGCGCTGCTTGGTGACCGTCTTGGCAACGCCCTTGGAGTGGCGTCCCTCGAACTGCCTGGACAGCAGGTTGCCCAGCCAGCGCTCCAGCAGGGGGGTGATGCCCCGCATGAAGAAGAGCCACACCCGCCAGCCGGGGGCCCAGATCCCGCAGCCAGGGCCCTTGCCCACGGGGCCCTGGCACAGATAACGGAGAGGGGGGACCCCACCGTCGGCCATTTCGGCAAAAACTGTCCGACAAGTCACGTGCACTGTGGCGAGAAACGGGAGAGCTATGCGTGTTCCATTTTGACATAGTGCGAGCCACTTGTACGAGGTCGAAGCCTTTTTAAAGGTATTCGTACCTCATGATTGGAAGCTCGAATAACTCTTGCTTTGTTGCTTCTTATGTCATCAAAATGTTGTTAATTAGCTATTATTCCATTCGTGCCCACGAAGGCTCTCAAGTTTTAAATCTTGAGGAACGCCTGCATCTCTCGGCCGATGCTCGAGGCGACCCCTCCAGGTCTCTCTGCCGATGGAAAGTGACACAAAAGCCTACAGACCTTGTAAACAACAATGTGCATCGAATGGCTTGGATCTCCCGAGGTAGTGCTTAAACTGAAAGAATGCTTTCCTAAAAGGCAAGAACTATCAAGGAAATTTGAGGGCTCAAGAAGCCTCAAAGGTTCTCTGGGAACCCAATTTGAGAACCCGTGCGAGTCTACCAAAACAGTATGCATTTATCACAGAGCATGACACCGCTTGGATGTGGAGAGGGAAAGAAGACTGGCTGCCGCCACTCACAGTGTTGAAGCGGTAGTAGATCAGGTGCTTGAGGTCCTTGCACATGCGAATCTGGCGCATGAGCTTGTACTTGTAGCGGTACATGCCCGTGAGCTGGCCGACGTGGGCGAAGATGTACTGGAGCCCGTCGGCCAGCTGGAAGGCATCCACGTTGTTCAGCCGGTACTGGACGTGGCTGTCCACAACCAGCTTTGTCAGCCGCAGGATCTCCCGGCACAGGTGGAAGGCGTTGCCGAAGCGGGACTTTTTCCTCTCCTGGGTTGTGCAGAAGTAAAGAAAACAATCCACCTCTTCCTTCTCTCCCCATGTTTGGAATTTAAAATTCCAAAAGAAAAGAAGCATGTCAATCTTCCGCTACATCAGAGTTATACAAGGTGTCGCTGTTTATCTGCACTGATAAGGTCACTTTCCGCATGCTTCTATAAACCACCTTGAAACATACCTGGAATGTTTGCCGTGATTAGACTACGAAGACAGAAAACCCCTAAACAGAACTATAATACTTAGCAAGATCTGTGTGCATGAGCATCGCAAGAGACCCAAAAGTATGATCAGACTTCAAATAAAAGAATGAAAACACAGAGGACGTTCACAGACAAACTAATTACGATGTGAACAAAGATTTTAACATGCCCATTTTTCGCAACAAAGGTGCATGCTGCCATCTTTGATCATGCTTTTAATTAATTATTAAATAGGCCGTGCATGATCACAACACTACCGTAAAATACTGAGAAAGCACACGCCCCACTTTCACTGAAAACTGGGTTATTCCAGACATGGGCGCTTGTCCAGTCTAATCTGCAAAAACCAAGATGGCAGCCAATAAAAAGCTTCGAAGGCAGGGTGAACGGAATCTGAGAAATCACCTTTATTCTCACAATGTCCCAGTCATCCTCATTAGCGGTTTCGTGGCTGCCACAACGGGGTGAATATGTATTTTCGGCTGGTGCTGGCACTTTAGAGGGGGTGGACACTTCACTGATAATTTGCAGAATTCCGAAGTTTGGGAAATGTTAATAGTGGGCGATTCTGCTGTATTTTACAGTAGTGTTTCTAGGACATTCAGAGCACATAGACTGAGTTATCGCCAGCGAACAACGAAGTCAAAAACCTTTTTAGTGTGCCCTCAATAATTAGTGGAACAATTTCTTATAAGTTCCAAAATCGTCAATTTGAACATAGTTGCCAACCCCCCTGCTCCAAAACTACCCAAAAATAATTTTATTCCCCCTCCCCAAAATTTAGTTTTATTGGTGTGCTCATCCAGCATGAATGTCTCAAGTCTCAAATCAATAAAGAACATCTGGCATGATCTGCATGATCTGCAAGGCAACTCGCAAGCACACCTTACACTTGATACTTCAACAACTAAACCTACTCCATCTGAGAGCCGAAAATTCCAGGCCAACCTGGCAACAAGCAATCACAGGTGCTGTGGCCCAAAAAGGCAGTGTGAGAGGACACGAGTCAAACGCACCTTGGTGGTCAGGGTCTTAACCGGCTTGAGGTTGAAGTTGTAGTCCAGGTGGAGGTAGTTGAGGTTCTTGCGGTGGATGAGCAGGTTGAGCATGTTGTAGCCCTGCCTGCACACCTGAAGGCCCGCCTCTACCCAGTCGATGGTGGTCGTCTGGAAGAACTTGGTCGACTTGAAGGACCGGAACAGGTACCTGGCAAGGGATGCCGTCGTGCACACCGGAAGCATAATGTACAAGCGAACCTCCGAAGTCAAACATCTTTATGGAGGCAAAATTGGCTCGCGTGTCCCATGTTGAAAACCACAGCCATGCAGTACTTGTGTTTACACAAAATGTTAGCAAGTGCCGCACGTTGCAACAAAACTTTTGGTCCCTAATGAAAGCATCCAGAATCCATTTTCAGCAGTGAACTTTTTGAACAAAAAGAGAAGCATGAATTGAGCAGGTAGATAAGGTAGAATATTCCTAATTAAACAAGCACCGAAGAATATAGCTTGCAGGAATGAAAGGTAGTGAAACCAAGCACTATTTTTAACATCCAATACAGAAATGCACGTGTTAAAAAACATATCAAAAGGCAACTAATGAATAAAATTATGCGAATATATAAACTTGGGAATCGTGTGTTACTCCCCATCAGGGATGGGCAGTATTTCAAATACAAATATTTGAAATGCGTATTTTAAATAATTTGTGTATTTTGCATTTGTATTTAATTACTAAATGGGTAATGTATTTAACGTGTGTATTTAAATACTAAAACGTGGGTATTTTAAATACAATTGTAATTAAATACAATTTTGTAGCCGAAAATACATCCTTCAAATTTATTGTCACTGTCCAGAGCAGGAAGAAAACTACGTTCTGCACCGAATGCAGTCTCTCTCAATCAAGCACAAGCGTTCAGTGACTTCGTGATTACGGTGCTAGTCCTGGGCAAGAATAGTGACGAAATCGACGTTCACAGGCAGATTGGCTAAATAAGTGCCTGGGACAACTTGTGATGCTTTTCAGCCTGAATTCCATTCATATTTTTGCCTGGAACATTCCAAATGCGCGGGTCGTCCAGATTTTCGTAACTGGTGCGAGTTGCAACAATAAAAAATCTCTAGCTAGTGCTGCGCGTGTTGGCCGTCTCGGTTCTTTGCTGGTCTATACCAAAATGTAATCGACAAAAGAAGCTGCGTGAAGGTCTGTACTTTTTTCGCCTATTACGTCCAAGCTGATTAAATTTTTTTTTTTTGTGATTATATTTCTATTACGTTACTAGAGCCTCGCACACTAACTTCCGAGTGTGCGATGCAAAATTAAAATGAGATATCTAGAAACCCGTTGCAGGTGCCCTGAAGTCGCTGACGCAAATTTTGAGGAATGTATTTGGAAAAGTATTTGGAGGAGACCAAATACATTTGGTTGTATTTGTATCTTGTACTTAAATGCTTTTTTTGGAAATGTAATTAGATTTGTAATTTAATACATTTTTGACGAAGTATTTTGTATTTGTATTTCAATACATATTTGCATGTATTTTGCCCATCCCTGCTCCCCATGAACATTTGGAAAGGTCTTACAAAAAAGCACTGCCTTTGTTTTCTGCATGCTTCAAACACTGGGAAACAAGATGGACCCACCTCTTCTTTTGAGGCTTGGGTGGCCTGTGCTTGAGGGCATTCAGAACAAAGTACTTGAGGAGCTTCTGGTAAGACACCCGCACCTTCACTGGCATGCCAGGAGGGCAGTGCTCGCGGTACCTGCAATCAACCACAGCCTTCAACAACGAGTCAAAGCCTACAAGGAAAACCCAAATCCATGCAACATAACCTTTCATTCATGATAGGAAAAAAAGACATACCGTATTTGCATAATATAACGAGTATTATGTGCTCCAAAAAGCACCTCGTGTTATATTCAGAATCGAGTTCAACCACAAAGTGCGCCAGTCTGGAGAAAGCCATCCCTCTGGCTCAATGCAGGAGATTGGGTAAGAAAAAAGGGTGGCCGTGGGAGTGAATTTATTAGCTATTGGGCCACGTGAAGGGGGAAATAAAGAACATAAAAAGCATTTTTATTGCTTTTGTGTTAGTCCAACGCACACCGAAAAGCACGCCCTAGCGCACCATGTGGGAATGCAAGCGCTGGCCAATTCAAGTTAAGACAATGCCAGGCAAAGTTAGGTTAACAGAAGCCAAGCCAAGACCACCGACCGTGATTACATAATCTAATCGTGCAACACGAGGTGTTTGTTTACGCGGATGGACCAGAACAAGAATGAGTGTGATCTTGTATCGGGTCTAACAGTCTTTTTTTCTGCCTGTGCATTTTTTAGTTTCTGCTCTAGAGTGGTGTGGTGTTTGTGTGTTGGTGCTTCTGTTTCATGCCTTGCTTTGCTTGTGGGCTGCCGAGGAGCTCACACCGAAGAAAAAGGAACTACCAGACAAGTGGCTGCGTGCTGTTGCATATCTGCGAAGTCGCCAAGTGGACTGAAAACGGAAGGAGCTGAGCAGTGAGTGAGTGCAGTCAAAACATAAACTGATATTTCTTCTACCTTCCATAGCCTTTTCACTTCTGCTATGCCCCCGAGTGTGGTAAATTTACACGGCTAGGGCTCACGTTAAAATAGTAATTTTTTTTTCTTCTGTTTTGATGGCATCAAAATTCGCTTTCGCATTATATTAGTGTAAATACGGTACTTCTGGAGTTCCTCATTTAATGCATTCATACTTTCTTCTGCCGGATACAGTCCAGCCCACTTATAACGAATCCGGAAATAGCAAAACAACAAATATAACAAATGAATTTTGATTCCACACTATCGTTTGTATACTCCTAATGCAAACAAGCTAGCTTTTAGAGAAAAAGTCTGAAAAGGCCATCACAAATACAGACAGAAAAGCAAAAAAACAACAAAAAGGTACTGAGGTGAAACGCAGAAAAGTCTGTTTAAACAGTCGTGCACTGATAACGCCCCCCACACTTCATCCGAGCAGGGGAGGGACTTTCGCTGCTCAGCAAGTTCACCTTCACCGCAGTACGCACGACGTGCACCACTGTGCACGTCGTGCGGGGCATTTCAGGTTTTTGAGAGATTGGCGTTTCCGCTGCACACTTTCCTGTTATCCGGGCCCCGGCCCGCCATCTTGCCTACAAGATGGCAGGCCGAAATACTTTGATTGTTCCAATCTTGCTACATTACCTGGCCCCTAGTCTCGCGATGTGGGCGCGTGTGGGAGTATTGCCGACCGCATTCTTCTTCCTACTTTTGCCGTCTACGGACTCCTCTTAAATCACTTTCCGCACATTTTGGACTTGACCACCTCACTTGTTTTTCTCTCCGACTACAAACCTACCATAAGGTTTCTATCGGAAAAGATGTGCACTTCGTTTCTATTGGAAAAGATGTGCACTTCCCACCGCACACTAGGACTACGGAACTCTACCCGACCAAATCTATTGCTGCCGACCGTGATTGCCCCTAAATTTTGTGAATGATGTCGTTCCCAGGAACACTTGGACAAGGGGGAGGCAGCTACCGAAATCAACCAGGATGACGCTGCCGCCGCAAAAAAGTTTGCCGGAACTGCTTCTGCTGCGGCAGATACCCTCCAGGGGTATTTGCCAGTGCCGAGTGGGCCGGACTCAAACAAAGCCTTTTCTTGAACTTTGACGCAACTCGGCGGGCAAGTGCAAAGGCACCTCTTACACTGTCCGTACAGTTGCGGATCGACGGCTACCTTATTTACATGAATGTAGGTCGACCCATTTTTCGATTTTTGAATATCTGAAGGGGAGGGGGTTGACTTATGAAAGCATTCCCCCGCCTACAAAAACAAAACAATCGCGATATCAAGAACACCTAGACTTGGACTAGGTGTTCTTGACTAGACTTAGACCTAGACCTAGACAACTAGACCTAGACTAGTTTAGCCAGCTGTACCTGTAGCATTGCGCCAATTTTTTGCAGCCATTTTAATAGTTTTTTTTTAAAATCTGTACGAACGAGTATTATTGATAGAGATTCGCAAATTAGCCCGAATGTACGGCGGTGAACGATGCATGTCGCACCCGATTCCCGGGAGTGGTGGCACTTCTTGTAAAAGCCACTTTTGAATGGCTGCTGCTTCTTTTCAGTTTTTTGCACAATTCATGGTCACACATTGTTTGATGTTTCGAAATCATGCTGGAGTGCCAACTACGTTTCTCTGTATTCTTGTGTACGATACGGGCAGTTCAAGTTTTCGGTGCTGGATGCAAGTTCGACCCGTTAGAGCAGGTCATGCTCTAGTGCTGTCTGCAACGGCTTGGGATCTTAACCGTGATGGCAAACTAAGAGGCGCCCAAAGGCAAAAGACTGGATAGGTCAGGATGCCCTCCGAAGTTAAAGTCGGGCTTGCAACGTACGCTGCGTACGCCGCAGAAGTGCACAATCAGTCCCTACCTGCGACGTGCAACACAATCATTGAGCAAACACGGAAGATGCGGTTGACACTGTCATTTGCTAAGTGTGAGATTTCGTTGGACAATGCCAACGACGTGCTTCGAGAGCGTAGCAGTGATGACGACAGGAACGACAGCACCAGTGCGGACGAATCGTAGCCTCTAGTCGCAGACAGATTGCAGATAGAGTAAAAACGACAGGGAGCAGCATCAGTTGTCTCAACTCCAGCATGACCTTCCTAGTTTTGATAATGCTTGAGCACCTTGTGCGCCTCGCACGTGCATGCGCAGCCAAAGCACACCAGAAGGCATCATGCGCAAGAAATGCCCTGCCCTCCTCACGTGTTCACCGTAAAATTCACCCCTAAAAAAAATTTTTTTTTTTTTTTTTTTTTTTTTTTGCTGGTTGCTGGTGTGCAATGTGGGGTGGAGTGGGGGGGGGTTGATTTACAATCGTGGAAATATGATACTTCGGTGTGCATTAAAATCTCACGCAGAAGCGACCCATATTTTTTTCCTTGTCGAAGTCTACACATTGTGAAATACGGACATAGCGAAACAATTTGATTATTGCAGCATTTGTTGTAAGCAGGATGTACTGTAAAAGCCTTCTCCCAGACATTTACTGCCCAGCAATAACTGCCTCAAATGCCGCTAACATGTTATTACACATGTTACGTGACAAGCCATGTAACAACGATTTCCATACTTCGGTTTTCTACGAAAAATCTAATCATTTCGGGTATTGCAAACACCCTTTCTGCTTATGCCGAATTTCCTGGGTGGATGTGGAGCAATCCAAAAGCGCTTGACGCTAGCACCTCTAGTGCAGCAGATCCAAGTGTAACGTCCAAGAAGATGTTAGCGAGAAAGCGCTCCATCTTCACCGAGGGAATTCTTGGTCGTCAGAGACATCAGGCGGGCCTTGGGCCCCTGTCTGCCCCACTCCCCTCACCAGGACTTGACGAGCGGAATGTCGATGGCCCGGCGGGTGCGGTCTGAGCGCAGGTTGTAGGGCCGGGGCGCCCAGAGCAGGGCGATGCCGTTGGCCGTGTTGTCAGTGTACAGCGGGCAGTCCTGGAGGAACGGCTGCACGTGCTCCGGGAGCTCAAACTCCTCGTCATCGTCCGGCAGCGGATCGGCCACTTGCTGCGGGCGGGAAAGACATGCTGCAGGGTCGTCTCTTGCGCAGCGGTGGTGGTAACACAAAGAATGGCACGCTGCACGCCCAAATTATAAAGCAAAAACAAAAAAAACAAAAAAAACAGCACTCTTATTTTAATTTACGGTACACTCACAACGACAGCTGCAACACCTTATCGGACCCCGACGCATTCTTATGAATCTTGACCTTACGTGGAGGAACCGTCGTAGACGCAAGCTTGGAGAATGGCGCACTCGCTTGTGCAGAAGACCACTAACGGATGCGGCGCGATGGAACGTTAAAGCAGCTGCGGCCATCTAGCGGACGCCATGCGAGACTCCTACGCACAGGTGTCCTCGACAGACGCATTTTACCAAGGGGCACAATGACGCGGCTGACATAGCTCTGTGGTAACGCACTCACCTGACCACCGACAGACCCAGGATCAAATTAAAAAAAAACACGGCAATCTTTTTTGAAGCGATAGCTTTACGGGCTACACTGTGAAGAGATTTTGACGTTGTCCGTTGTCGTCGTCGCACGTGCGACGAAGGGGAAAATTCTTTTTCCCTTCGTTGCACGCGCGGCGAAGGAAGTTGGGTTTTTCCATTCGCCGTGCCACACAAGAGCCTACGGGGCAGCCCTGGCATCCTGCCAGAAATTGTGTGACGAAGGTTGAATCATTGTGTCGTCTGCGTGAAAGACTTGTTTTCCAACATTACTCGCAAAACGCAAAATCTTACTTTGGGCAGTATCCAGTTGCTACGAGTAATGTTGGATGGTTTTAGAAACTTCCCCCAACGTCCCACTTACTTCACGAATCACCAAGCACTGGCGGCAGTCGAGAGTAACATATTCGACGCCAACCACGACAGCTATGAGAATTGCCCACGTCGCACCTCCGTTCTCAGGTATGTGATGGCACCATTCTACTCTCATTGCACTACCGTGCTATAGCTGTCGCTTTCATAAGCAAAATATACTCTTTTTTTTTTTTTTTTTTAAGCATACACCCTACATTGCTTTACAAAATTTTGAATCGAGGGAAGAGCCCAAAACAGATATTGCTCCAAAAGAATGGAAATGTACATTTTTGACTCTTTTCTATCTGCAACCAAAATGAAAGCTACAGGCTCAAGCTTATAGCTTTAGACGATGTTCCTAAAACTCCTTGCAGTTTTCCCTATAGTTCACATAAAGATGAGATGAAGTATAGTCAATGCCTCCTTTATCTAAGAATATGACATGCAAGAACCAAGCAAGATTGTTTGATTCAATGTTCGAAAGAGTGGAAAGGTGAACGTTCAGCCTTTCCACTCTCGGGAAGAAGGAAGACCAGCAGAGCTGTACTCGATACACTAAGAGTTCCTGTATAGGCTTCCTACGGGAGTTAGAGTCGCGCGTCTGTTTTCCACATGCCGCCACGCCGCTATTCGCCGAGATCCGATCACGTGAGGAATTGGATCAAGTGTCGTGCAGGAAAGTAGATGTTGCACGCGACCCCGCGTACGTTCCCCTGCTCATGAGTATGAGTGCGCCGCGCACCTCGAACGCGCGGCGCCGCTATTTGCCAATTTAGTCACGTGAGGAGCAGACTCCGCACGCCGTGCAGGAAAGCCGGCGCTCCGGGGGTGAACGCGCAACTCTGGCTCCCGTAGGGAGCCTATACAAAAACTCTAGATAGACTGTGTGCTTCTAGTTCGTCGTCGTGTTTTTCCCGCTGTTTCCTACGATGAATTCCCACCAACACACTCAACTGTCCATTCTTCTATTATAGTTGGAAAGGTTGCCGCCATCTACGAGCGACGGCGGAAGCCATACGGGTTGTGTGCTTGCCGCCGTCGCCTATAGACCAACACGCTGTTTACAAATAAGCCCGCGTTTGCCGTAACTGCGCGTGCGCAGAAACCGAATTAGCGTGAAATGAAGCGTGTGCGCATGCGCAGTGCCGTCGACAGCGCCACCACAGCTGCGTGACATCAGGGTCGCGTGTTGGTCTATAGATGGCGGTAGCTGTCCAGGTAGGTTTGTGTTGACATACGCAGACACGATCCTGGGGAACCTAGCCCTTAATAGCTCCACTGTAAAAACCAATAGTACACAAAATTTTTAGCGCTGCTGAACTGATATTATAGAAAATATATGACAGAATGTTTTCTAATGCTTATCATTTTTTAGTGATAGCCTAGTTCTGCTCTAAAACATTCAAACTGCTGCTCTTACCTTTGTGCTGTGGCGATGTGCAATAGGGTTGATCAGAGGATCAAAGTAGAAGGCCGGCAGATCCGGATCCTCCGTCTTGATGTACACCACGTTGGGGGTGTGGTACCTGCCAAGCATCAACTTCAGTCAAAATGTTGCACTCAGTTGCTAGGAAAATCTACACAAGCTGGAAAGCACGAAAATAGGTAACCAGACTGGACAAGATTCACGTCAAGAATGTGCCATCCCTATGGTGTACCCTCGTTGATATGTTCCCGGTTTTTGTGTTTTTCCTGGCTTTTAAATTTGGAAGTGCCAGTCCTGCCAAGCTCCAATAGGAACACACATATCAATTCCCTGATTAGTGAGTCTGTTTTCCTGGTTCTTGTGTCCAAAAATCCACCGACACAGCGCTAAACCTATTGCTAAACTACCTAAGCATCAAGGAGAATGCACGAAAAGGTGTTCTACGCGTTGCATGTGCCGGCGTCTGCAGCAGCAACTGTTCTAAAGCAAAAGCCTAAAACAAATGGCACCTTGCACGCGCATTCGTCAACGCTTTATTTTGGTTATTTTCTTTGAATCTTTTACACGGGGAAGGCGTGAGTGTGCGGCGGTGCGAGCATAGAGCTTTTAGTCACTGCACACAAGAAATCCACAAAACCCTAGCCATAAACAGCTTCGTTGTAAAAGGCCAACTTTTCCCAGCAACACTTTTTGCTCAAAATTGAGGTGGCTAAGAACGCCAGACGGTGAAACATTCGTTTACTGCCTGAGCGTGTTACGAGACCGTTTATACGGCTATTGTTTCGAAAGGTTTTCCAAAGCTTAAAATAACAATATTGAAGCATTCTAAAGCAACTACAGACTGCAAAATGGAGCCTTTACAGAGCCTCTGAACCAACACCAGCAAAACATGTGCATGCCTTGAGCGACTCGCAAGTGGAACTTCTCAAGCAAGATAATATGCCGGCACGCGATAGTTAGTTTCTCCCGTGGTAATCACACACGCCACGAATGACTCGTGTGGCGATTGTAATTTCCGGGGATTCGTAAGTGCGGACCGAGCTGCCAGAAGCCCTTACCAAGAGAGGTGCACGTAGTGAGGCATGTTGTTGTACAGGTAGGGAAAGGCAATCCTGTACTCCGTCCGGATCGGTTGCCGGATGATGATCTTGTTGATGTCGTTGAACTCGTTCCAGTCCTCATCCCTGCACAGGCACATTTTACCACTTTCATTACATTAGGTTTGACACTCATACAATTGACCTTTAATAATGAACAAAATTTGCATCAGCGCCGCATCACCATTGTTGCATTCTAGATTACGATTCGGTTTCAGAGCTTGCCTGGACAGTTACTGGGTGCTCAAATTAAGCAGAAAACATTTCGTGTTTGGTCACATCACATTGTAAAAACCAAAAAATTTGACAATCTGCACACATCTCTTTTTTTTTTTTTTTTTGCTCTTTGTATGGTTAAGTACTGCATAATGTTTCACAATATGCCACCCTTGAAAAAATAAAGCAAATCACGTTGCCTAAACCAGAGGTTGCCAAATGGAAGTCCACGAAGCCCTGCCTCATCAGTCAAGCCCGACTTTTCTTCAGGTTGAGAAGAAACAGTCCAATTTCAATGTAGGTTTTCTCGTGTGTATGTCAATGAGAGAAGTCCACTTCACCCACCCCTTAGTTAATTCCTTTATTAAATCCTTATCATAATTAACCTATAGCTTTCCCTTCCCCTCACCACGAGCAGAGCCCTCCATCATTTCTGCTGATACACAAGGGCTCTGTAAAGGATCAATGGTTGGGAACCACTGGTCTAAACATAAAAAAAGGAAGGGTTATTGTTGGGTAACAACAAAATAAGAAGGGCTAGGTTGCAGACAATACGTTAGAGTAGAGCCTTTTCAAAACCAAAGATATTGGAACTCGCGTAATTATGTGATATTTTAAGTATCCCCCCCCGAAAATATTGAGAGGATACACTTGGCATGTCTACCTTATCGACAGTTTCCTGGTTATTTATTTGTTTTCCCCCATCGCACATCCTACACCCATCTCAGCAAAAAAAAAAATGTGCCGACACACTGGTAAAATCTAACAGGGTATAAAAAATAAAGTACATGCAGGAAAACAGCAAAAAGGAGCATGTACTGACGCCGGGTTCATGTCCTTGATGAGGGGCTCGAACTTGGGTCCCCCCGGGATGGACATGTTGAGGGCCTTGGCCGTGAAGAAGGACTTGAGGTCGAACAAGTAAAAGTAATTGTCGTCCACCAGGTCCGTGAGCAGCTGGTTGGCCAGCCGGTACAGTGTTGCCATCTGGGGCAGTGTCAGCTGCCAGTGCCGGTACGTCACCCCGTTCAGGTGCCTGCAACAACGGCGCTCAGCTGCCACTGTGCCAAGCAACACCAGAGCAGCTCTCGGGCGTTATTGCAGCAGCAAACGTGTGACCGGCTACGGCAGAACTGTCCAACAAGCACGAAATACAGCAGAGTTCCACAAAAGTAAGGAGTAGAATGTTATCTGTGGTGATGAGCACAAGCTGGGAGGTGAAGTAACTTACACCGAAGCAACCGTTCACAGAGCGCCAAAACTTGCGTACTTCTACTGACTCTTGGTACACTGTGCAAGCATTGGACGAGCACCAAAAGAGTCTGCTGTATGAAGCTTCCCAATACTTGATCACCCGCTCTTAGCAGCAACTCGGCACGCCCTCAACCCAAAAGTCAAAGAAACGCCAATAAAACTAGCAAAGGCGACATTGAAAAAAAAAAAAAAAAAGTGTTTGTAGCAAAAGGGAGAGCGCACTTCATAATTGTGCAGCGTGAGAGAGTGCATCTTGCTTTTAGTGATTTACAGTACTTTCATTACTTCAAACTCCAGGAAGCCACAAATCTTGTTTGAATTATATGAAATTTATCTAAATATGATCACAGGATAAAATTATGATTTGCTATATGAATGGCTACACATATAAAGCAGACCTTTGATGATTTTATCTACACAGGCCTACTAATCGTAAGGGGTACGCCAGACATAAAACACTGGTCAAAATGTACAACGCAAGTTATTCATTCCTTAAAAATGTTGTTTATTGCAGGGTGCCTCGTCATCGCGTGCTCCCTATGGGTTGTCTATGTTGCCTTTTGATTGGCATGCTTGCGTTCCGATACGCGAAAGAAGCATTTTGGTCTACGCAACAAATTAAGGCAAGAGTGAACGCAATAAAAGGCGGGCAGCGGTCGACGTTGCCAGAACTGCGCACGAGGAGGCAGGAAAAGGCAAATTCACGCACTTGCTCTCGGCCAGGGGTTTGTGGTCGTAGAACCACTTGCAGACGGGCGAGTCCTCCTCGTGGTCCAGGTCCATCTGGATGGCCTCCAGGGGCTCCACGTCCAGTACATTGTCCGCATAGTCCAGGGGCGGCTCTTCGTCGTCGAAGGGTGGGAAGCGCATACGCTTGAAGTGCCGCCGGTCACGCTTCTCCCGGCGCATCATGATCCACATCGACCTGCCGCCAAGGATGAGCCCGAGTCAACACTGCCCATTCCTTCTTTATGTACCCATATGACAGGGAAAAGCTGATGGCATCTGTCTGTGGACAAAACAGTGGAAAGGGAAGCGTGCCGCATAGAGAGGCGATGTCACGGGGCGGAAGCCGACGCGTGCGCGGATGCTGGGTCAAGTATGAACTTGCAGGCGTGCGGAGCCTGCACGACTGTTTGTGCTACAAAGTAGTGTGTGAACCAAGTACTAGCGCTGCTCCAAGTAGGCGGCAAAAAAAAAAAGAAAAACGGATTATGAACGAAGGAGACTGTCTGTCAAAACCGGTGAACAGCGTAAGCAGTGTCAGGCAGCAGATGCCGCTGCTGAGCGTGCAAGGCGGGTAAACAAGAACCCCCAAGATCAGAAAAAATTCAAGGAAGATCCATTGATGGATCCTTAAGGAATGCATTAGCACGACCCTTCGGAGATGCCACAAACGTACCCCTTTGGGTAACTCTCACGCTGACCCCATAACGAAGTCAAAAAGAGGCTGCGAAAAGTAAAAGAAGCAAATGAGAAAGCTAAAAGAGAAAGCCGAGACAGAAAAGTGAAGGGTCCACCGTTAGCAATTCCCAAGGGTCATGCCAACACATTCCCTAAAGATTCACCAATGGATCTTCCTTTAATTTTTCATACAGCTGGTCTCTTTCAAAAGAAAAAAATATTAAAAGTAAAAAAAAAAAAAAACTTTTACAGTGCACTTATTGCTGCAAGGCACTACAAAATTCACGAAAAGCGGCTGCATTAGCGACGTCGAGCAGCAGGGTGTTTCAACCAACTATCGTTTTTGAAAAGGAAAAGGGAAGGCTACCCTGCACAAACTACAAGTGGCTCCCCACCACTATATTTACTTTCAGCATCACTTGGCCAAGGTTGAAGGCTCTAGCCACCGTGAGCCCATTGGCAACGGTTTGAAGCATGCAACAAGTCTTCTTGGAGAGAGTGCATTCCGACGATGCATTGCTCGGATGCCCTGAATGGCTCACAGAGGCCCCAACATTACCAGTTTGCTAAATTAGGCCGGAAAAGTATAGTGGGGACACGAGGAAGCTTGGGAGTTGGGCACAACAAAGCTGCTGCATCTCTAGCACCTTCTTTGGCCTCGAAAGATCCGCACCAGCTGCTGAAGATGAACTCAACTTCGAAGATTTGTCTTTTCTTACCATTAGTCACAATTTTTCTGCCGCATAGGGCACGCAATGCGGGCCTTATACATAAAGCGCAGTAAGGACACTGCATGCCATCAGAGTAGGGGCCACATGTTCGGAGGGGGATGCTGTACGAAAAAACAACCAGTTTTTCTTCCGACGTCCCAAAATTAAAATCCTCCGTGTCGTTCACATGTATAAGTATTAAACTCGACTAATTTTTTTTTCTTTCTTAATCAAAGGTTCAAAATGAACAGACTGGGATATTTGTCACAGCATTTATGGTGATACACACACAAAAAACAGATGTTTGAATGCTTTCACTTCACTAACATTTAAGCCCAACAAAAATAGTCATGCACCTTACTGGCAACCGAACCAAACACCCCCCCCCCCCCCCAATCTTAGTATATGTGTGTGTGTGTGTGTGTGTGTGTGTGTGTGTGGGGGGGGGGGGGGGGCCTACACACACATACAGACACCAGGATGCAGCATCAAAGACCCTGTGCCAATCTCGCTCATCCCTATTGGACGGTGATTTGTCGAGAACCTAAAATAAAACCTGTAGCCATTTTCAGCACACATTAGAAAACCATTATTCCTACCAAGAGGAGCTGACTAACTGCTTCAAACTCCCCATAGAGACAGTTTTTCTCAGATCAGAGCTGCAGAAGAACAAGAGTATGCACAAAGACAAAGGATGACGACCACTGACCCCCACTGGGCAATGTACACAGCCTCAATGACCCAGGGAATCTCGTTGACAAATGTGATGGCTCCGGTGATGTGGTACAGCACCCGCACATCCCGGATCTGCTCCCAGGGCATGGGCATGTTCTCCATGAGCTTCAGCACCGCATGGGGCATGTACTTCAGGGCACTGGGTCAAGCCAAAGGGAAACACAGTCAGTCAAGCAGCAATGCCGAGGATGATGTGTACTGGGCAAAAGTGAGGAGGGAATTCTAGGACCCACTAATATGAACCAGGGAGAAGAGTTTCACAACTAGCAGAATGCACAACTTTAATCATTGTAATAGTATGTGCTGCACCCATGTGCCCCTCAAATTCCCTCCCAACAAAATACTTGGAAAGAATAGGGGCAGCTCAAGAGATCCAAGCACTGATAAGCTACAGGCCGCAGCTTCCCCCCCCCCCCCCTTTTTTTTTTTCTTTGGCAATATTATTAACGCTACTTAATTAAGAAGTCAAATAAAATTTTAGCTTTGAGGAAAATACTGAGTAATTTCCATGCCAGATTCTCTGGTGCAGATTATTAAACATGATGATGCTCTCCTATACTCCGTTTCACCTTGTGTTGTACCGCAGCGAAAGCTAGAAGCGCGAGCTCATAGCATTGACAGCTGCCCTTGGTGCACAAGAGCTTGTGCCGCCGAGATCTGCCCCAGAGCAAGGAGCTTGCGCTTGTAGCCTTTTCAGTGGTACATCATAAGGTGAAACAGAGTATACAAGACAACATTCAGCCCAGCCTTTATCAATGTCTGGCATCTTATCATTGCTACTAACACTTCCTTTTTGCTTCCTTCAGTGAAAAGCTACTTTCTGCTACACAAAAAGCAGTATTTTCTTTTTCCCCCCGTCACACACATAAATCTGTAAATTTCACAGCTTCCAATGGTCCCATCAGGCATACTATCCTTTTCCGGATGACACATTTAAAAATGCCTTCAATCAAATTTATTGCTACAATGAAATCTGAAAAAAAAAAAAAAAACAGTTCTGGTGAGAGTAAAAACTGACATTCTCACATGCTTACTTCACAAAATTATTTACATAATAATTGCTTATGTGTGCCCAATAACAGGATTCAATAGGACCTCTTCCACCAAACGAGCCAGGGCACAATGCCACATGGCAGAATACCTACCCCAGGTAGACCCTCTTGTCATGACGGTATTTGCGGCTGCTCATGTCTCCATGGTCACGGATGATCTTGCGGATGTGCTCAGGGGGCATGTCCTCTTTCTGGGCATCTACAAAGCCGAACTTCCGCTTCTCTGCATACCGCTTTGACTGCAGTTGCTGCCACTTGCGGGCTGCAGGGAAGAAGCGACAAATCTCGTTCTAGTCTCTCCCTGGGTGCCTCTTGTGGCTGGTAAATTCCTTTGCCACTACATCCTCATACTGTAAATATGGCACGCAGCATCATAGAATGAATGCCGTAATGTGCAAGAAAACCTAAAAAAAATGTAAGCAGTCTTGGCACTATAGCAGTTTTCACCTCAAGAAAAAAGCAAGTTTTGCTCACTGTTCAGACGCAGCGCAAAGTAGTTCTTATGAGATCTGGCTTTCAAGATAAAAAGCAATGCTTTTGGCATTTGGAATCTATATGCCTTGATAAGGTAAGATATATCTAAAATTCACCCACATATATCCCGATTCTCCATATAAAGGGGGAAATTAGTAATGCTTGGCAAGGAGCCGGCCTTTTTTTCATACTGTTCTTGAGGTGAAAACGGGTATAATAATAAAGAGAAACTGCTCCACCTAATATGACTACAGTCGAACACGATTATATTGAATTATTGCCTCTATCGAACACCGGCAGAATTCTGATAAAAATTCCACGCATTTTAATATTTAACCGCGCCGGATTGAGTGCGCTGCGGAAGCATGCAGCAGGCTTCCCCACAATAGACTGGCGAACAGCAGTCATCTGCTGCGATGAAAGCGGCATTTGCGCTTTGTAGCAGGTTTTGTAGCGGGCAAAAATATTGGTTTGGAGCAGCCAATGACCCTTCTATAGCAGGTCCCAACATGTCCTAGCGCATCATTGTGAAAATTAGACGATGATTGCATCACTAAATGAGTCAATTTTGAATAATAATGGAGATCATCTCTGATATTGTAGAATACTACTTACTACTTTGTGTAAATATAATACATATCAATACACATAAAAAGTGCAACACGACACATAACTGTCATTTTTATAAATACCGCTCAGGTGAAAGCAGGTCCTGTTTATAATAAAAATTAAGAAAAATGAGTCATAGCAACATCCTTCAGTTGAAGTAGTGTCTCTCTCAGTCCATCTTTTACACTCATAGTTAATGTAACCTGTCAATATCATTTAAAATTCCAGAAAAAAACTAGTATTTTTGCCGAAACGTCCATAAATGAAAACAGGTTGCACCTAAATTCATGAACCTACAAAACTCATCATAAACTGCCAAACCCCCACCCCCTCCCCATCAAATATTATAAGAAAACAAGAGTTGACCTTTAAAAGTGCCACTTGCGCAGGAGTTAGCAGTATTGAAGCCAAAGTCGAGTTGTAGTCAGGGGACCTTCGATCGATTGCTGCGCGGGAACTCCTAGACTACTTACTTAAATATAGGTCGGTGCTTTATTGTTTCGTTTTCCTTCCTCGGCACAGCTCCTTAAGATAACACTGAGCATAATTTCCGAGCCCATAGCGCTAAACCATAGGTGTTCCCCGCGTAAGCCCTCCCCTAACACACCAATGCGATGGACCAAAGCCCGACGTACACGCGCCAGTGCAAGGTGGAAAAGGCTGGCGCGAGCGGCGATGGTACCACGGCGTGGAGGCATGTGGCCGAGATGAAAGTCACGTGATCTCATCGGGAGCACGAAATCCTGGTTCTGTCTTATAACAGCAACCGCCATATCACAATTTCATGCATTTTTTTTCTTTCTCGTGACTCCAAGTTCTGCAACATCGCTGACAGCGTGAATTTCAGTTACGGTGAGCAGAGACGCCGTGAAACATATCTTCGTATAGATTTTGCTTCTCTTGTACTTCTTTCAATATTAATGTCGACCAACCTGGCGCAGTGGGCACAATTTTCAGCAAATATGGCACTTACAGGGGTGGAAGCGGGCTAGAGCCTTTTGTATCAGGGCTGGGAGCAGCAAAAGTCCCACTTTGGAGCAGTTTTGGAGCAGTAAAACGCTCGCTTTAGGGCAGCTCGGGAGCAGCAAAAATATGTTTTGTAGCCGTAGAAGTAGGTTTTGGAGCAGGTCACGGAGGTCAAACAAATGTCTAAAAGTGATTTGTTGTTTCTAAATGTGAAAATGTAGCAAAAATATATGCATGCACATCCCAGAATAATTTTCAAGCAACATACATACACACCTTTCTATTTCTATTGCATTGAAATATGGAATATTGGCAATTTATGCAAAGGAAAGGCTTTGAGAACCATTCCGGCAGCAGGCAGAGTCATGATAGACTTTATATGGGAGGCCCCGACAATAAAAGCCTAGCTTGAGCCATGCCAGTACAAAACCGTCTACTTAATAGACCAATTGTAAACATGTATCCAGAAAACTAAACCACTGCAAGGTGTCAGATAAACTACCTTCGCTGACTACAGTTTTTGTTTATTAAAGAATACACATGTTCAATCACTACTTAAAAAGCCCTATATCAAGTTTAGTAACAAAATACAAGGCTACTGACATTTGACAAAAATTCAGATGCAAAATAAAATGTGTATTTTATATCTTTAGACTACCACAGTCACTCGTACATATGCAGCTTTAAGCATCGACTAGAAGAGCAACGCAACCTTATGTACTCCATAAAATGCTGTGCATTGCGTGTCTCCATAAAAAAAATTAAGGTACCACAACATGTTTCAGAATAAAGCAGTCCTTGCTGACCTGTTTTCATTAAATACAAATGTTCTTAATCCCCCTTCATAAAATACAGTAATCCCTACACCCAAGTTAACATACAAAGCTATATCTATATTACTTTGGATGGAAAAATATATTGTCTTAAAGATATCACAGCCACTAATACATATGCAGCATAAACACTCACTAGAAGAGCCCACAGGCTCCATGTTAAAAAAAAAAAGGGGTTGTGACTAAGCTGAATCATTGTAATTTAGAAACAACTGAAGTTCACCTTTTTTTTCACAGTTTGAAGAGCAGAGTCAATTTCTTTTATGCGCTCGAGTACTTTGGGCAGTTTAGAGTTCACATCTCTTAGCAGGAGGTGTCCACTCCCCACCTTGTCCATGTCCTTAACTGCCTCACCCTTGCTAATGAGTTCTTGTGCACTCAGTAGAAGTGCTTTAAGAGAAGACAGTTTGAACGAGACTGAAAATGAGATGTAGCTGATCAGGCGCTGATCCCTGCGGGGCAGGCTGCCTTCTTACGTGACAAAAAGCCCACAAACTTCTCTCTACCCTACCTACCCACCCCCCCCCCCCCCCCCCCCCCAACCAGATACACCTATACCCGAAACTTATACGAGTAGGGTGGCTATAGCAAGTTAAGGTACGTTCTTGACAGGAATCGGCAGCGCGGGAGTGTTGTACGGCATTTCTGATGTCACCCCCCACTCCTCCACGCTAAAGGAAAGAAACAAAAAAGTGTGTAGCACTGCCAATTAACCAACTCGCTTAAGATCGCGGGTATTGTTTTCGATAGTGGTCTGACGGCGGGAGACAACACACGACAGAGTGCACATTCGCGCACACAATGATGGTTTTGGTTTCGTTTTGATAAGACAAATTGAGCTCGAGAACGGATGTGCCTGTGCTCGCGATTCTTCACGGCTAAGCGTCCAAATATGGTAGGCTACCAAATAACAGGTAAAGCTAGTAAAGACCACTTACTTCTGCTCATGTTAATGGCCAAGGTAGCCCACCGGTGCCGAGGCACCAACTCCCACGATCACGGCAAATCGGGACCACGGGCAACTGCATGCGCGCTCCAACCGCGCCAACCAACTATGCCCGAAACCAAACCGATGTGTTCGTATATCAAGCTCTTTGTAGTAAAAAACGACATCGCACTCTCGATGAACTAAAATCGGCGCCTCGCCCTGAGGTTAGACATGGTTCGGAGCCCCAGTCGAGTTGGTACGAGTCACCCGCAGTGACACCTAAGCAAAAGTACACACCACATGGTGGCCCGTGGCCAACCGTTTTCCGCTAAATTTAAAAAAAAACACACAAAAAAAAAAGTTGAAATTGGCGTTTTGGAGCAGGCTGGCGCAGGGAAGTGAATTGGCGCAGGGTGGCGCAATTGGCGCAGCGCTTCCACCCCTGCACTTAGGTAAGACATGCAGCTGACTTGAGTTCATAGCACAAATGGCACAGCACTTCTATCACTGAGGCTTGTAACAGCTGCTAGTTAGCTCGTGACTCTGTCAACTGCATTGCCCTTATGTGCCTATTTTTGCTTCTTTTTTAGGGACTTTTTGCTATACCGAACTATTTTACAATCATCGTGCTGTTTGATATAAACGGGCTTGACTGTATTTATTTGTTTATTGTGTTTACCACCAGTCATGGGCCCATAATGGTAGTGCACGAAAACTATTCATATCAGCGTGTCGCTAAATTTGCACACACTGTATTTTTGCGAGTCTTCGAAAGAGATACCAGTGCCACTATGGTCTCGGTTAAGCCTTGGTCTGTGCAGGGGACGATCAATGTTTTCAAAACCACAGAAGTCCAGCTTACTAACGTGCACTGTTTCCAGGGTGTTTTCCAACAGCCCAACACATTGTGCATACTTAACTTGAAGTATTGAAAACACCATTAATAAAGATAAAACCTTAGGCAAACTCTGGAGGAGTGCAAAAATAAAGCAGACGAAATGCCAGCAAAGAAAGCCTATGCCAGTAAAATGCTCACTGCCCTGCCAGTAAAATGCTCACTGCCCTGCTTCCAAAGTGGATTTGTAGAACGTATTCAAACCACGTTCTTGCCCTTGGCCACCCAATGTAGACAATTAGGGATATAACTATAACCAATGCATACAGCCCTCATGGCTTTTTGGGCTTTGGCAAATGATTGTATATGGCATGGGGTTCTATGAGGTGACATCCTGGCTATGTTATGATGGCTTCTTCCATCCTAGGAAAAGTGGTTGAAACTATAGTCACAATATATGCTATGCTTCAGAGTAACAACACAACAGCTTAAACTCGCTGCTGCCAGTTATGTGAAGCTTCGTCTGAAATTACAGGAAACACCTCTCCGTCCATCAAAAATGTTTAAATAGTCTACGACAGAAAAAAATTATATCAGCCAAACTTCATATCACCGTACTTGAGCCTTGGGAAGTCACCCTTTTTAATAGTTACTCTTAGCGATTTAGCAACTTGAATCGAAACAAGGGAGCTTGTAGAACACACAAGCAAAGCAAATTATTTCACCTCCCCAGTATGTTTCATCCGTCTATAAGGTCGGTGTCCCATCGTGCAGGACTAATGCTTTTTTTCAGAGATTTCCCTCACGCACATCAGAAGAGTGGAATCGCCTTCCCGTACCGACAGCTTCGATAAAAGACCTCCAACTGTTCAAGAACGCCTTAGCCAATATTGTATACATAGACGCCTTTTTTTTTTTCTACTTCTAGTAACTGCTTTCTCTTACTTCATCATCATTTATTTTTGTAACCACTCCCCTTTTCAATGCCAAAGGCTCTGAGGGTACATGTAACAAAGAAATAATAAATGTATATAAAAGAAAAACACCTTTCTCCTGGAGTTTCTCCTCCGACATGAGCTCCTGCTGTCGCTGGTGCATCTGCTGCTGTTGCTGCTGCTGTTGTTGCAGTTGCTGCTGATGCATGTGAGCGTGGACCTGAGCAGCCAGCTGGGCTGCCACGGCCTGCTGCTGGGCAAGCACCCCCATGACGTAGGGGGGGCCCAGCATGTACGGCGGGAGGGCCATGCTTCAGGGGCCCAAGGACCGCCGCGGCGGTCACTGCACTCGCCCCGCTCTCTGCATGGTTTCGAAAGGTGAACGCAATTACAGACCCGAGACTAGAGTAAGGACGAAAGCGGTCAAATAGAGTCCGAGCTCTTAAAGGGTAGCTCCAATCAGTTTTCAAGGGCTCGCAGTTACGACCTTCTTTCTTTTCATTGCAGCCGGCTTGGCTTTCCCAAATTAAAAGGCACTTTAATTAGTTGTGACATTTAGGTCGGCATCACCAAACTCAATATTTCTTGGATAAAGCGCGAGGCATAATGTTTTATACACAACTTGCAATTGATGTCATATATGGGGCTCTTGTGGTGGCTCAGCTGCTAAGCGTGAATTCAAATGAAACCCAAATGGCGGAAGGTGTCAACTCTGATATGTGCCATACCACCTGGGGGCCAATGGAAAGTGGCAAAACTGCGAGGGTGTGCATCCTACAGTGTATTTGGTAGTTCTGTTGCCAACCACTGTCACTTGCTCAATACACAACGCGCGAGGGAGGCAGAAGGCAAAAAGAAGGTGTCTGCCATCGCCTCCTTTTTGTTTCACCTTCCTCACTGGTGCAGTGCTGAAGCTTGGGCTACACCGAGCAAGAGTCCAACAGATTGCAATGGGATGCATACCCTCACAGCTTTATCTGTTCCTAGGGACCCCGATGGCACGGCACAAATCGACGCAATTCGTCGTTCACGTCTCATTTGTGCTTGACAGAATCTTTTGCAGCAAGCATTATGCACCACCAATATTTCCTTGGCAAGAACAATAGGAATGACCAGAAGCATATATGGCATCACCTGCAAGCACAGCTGAGTTTTTGTGGCGATAGCTAGCTTTATTGATGCAAAAGAAACTAACAGAACATTATATGCCTTCATGCAAAGCATTGCATGACGGCTTCCAAACTGCCCGCTTATGACCGGCACTTCGGTCATAGCAAACCAACTAACCTGCGAAAGCAAAACCACACTGCAAACTGACTCGGATTTAGCAATTAATAACTATTCCCAAACGGGACGTGACCAAAACGATGTCTTCTTCAATCCTATTTTACAAGAAATAGGAGAGGGGGGAAGCCGGCTTTTTGGCCGGAAAGACAAATTTACTCGTTAATTTCGCTTGTTTTTGACTGCTCCGTTTCGCAAACCTCAGGTAAATTAGATAAAAATTAAAAGTAGAGAAGTACCGAGGCATGTCATGTTGTGCATGAAAAGAACCGACAGAACACAAACCAACGCACGTTAAGCCTACTTTAGCACGCCAGTAAATGCGCAAAACATGGAGGGCGACTAAACGCACAGATATCTCTCGAAGTTAACTACCCATTGCTCTCTATCGTAGTTAATTAACGCATATACATTTGCTGGCTATATGTTTAACAATATAAGTTCATGCGTTAGATGCAGCATGCTACGGACAAAAGTGGACAAAGGCACCGCCAGTGCCGCGCTTGAGAACGAGACACCGGCGTATTAACATAACCGGGGTATTAACATTGCCACTAAACATCCTGCGCCGAAATTCAAGAAAGTAACGTAAACAATTCATAAATAGGAGGCAGTGGTAGAAGCGCAAGTTAGATGTGCGTTTCAAGCTGCCCGATTACTTGCTTCGCCTAGCTCTCAGGTGTCGACATTTGCAAGATCAGGTAAAGAGCGAAATACGCTAGAAACACTTACAGTTTATACGTGCAACTCGTGTACACATTCTGTATTACATTCAGGAGGCTGGACGCGGGTGTGAAGATCGCGGTTTAGCCTCTGCTAAGTTATAAAACACGGCGCTATGAACTGCACGAACGCCGAAAATCGTGAACAAAACGTTGGACTGGATTGGATACTGGATTGACTAGAGTTGTTGCAAATAGCGTTGACCATGGTTGTGTGCACAAGTTGTGAGTCTGACCAAGGCAATTCGTTCGGAAGCGCTTGTTCGCTGGTTTCCTTCCGTCGTGCTTTGGCCATAGAGATCATACATACTAGCTCTAGAGGAAAAGGTCCGCCATTTTCCCATACATTCATAGAGATCATACATACTAACTCTAGAGGAAAAGGTCCGCCATTTTCCCATACATTCTGGCTGCCGTAAGCGGCGGATCATGCAGGCAGACCTTCTGGGTCCCAAACACGGTTACATCATCAGAGCAGTTTCGTGAACTTCAACAATTCACGAACTTACCGGTGGAAAGATATTCACATTCCTTTCGAAGCTTTCTTTTTGAAAAGCGCGCAGATGTACGGCCTCGCGTTAACGCTAAACTAAACCATTAACCCGGCTTCGCCAGTGGGGCGCGGCTGGGCGCGGTTGAGGAATACGAAACTGCGCAAGTACCAGATTTCCGAGATTTCGACAAAAGGGAAGTTAATGCAGCGTAATGAGTTTATTGCTTTTTATAAGCGTTAGAATAGCTCATAATTTAGTTTACAACGTTAAATTATCACTGTTTATATTACTGAGAGTTTTCACTCTTCGCGTTACCATGGCAACGTTGCTTTCTTTCTCTCGTGTTCTTTCGCTCTCTTTTGCGTTCGTTCACTCGGGACCCAGGATGTCGGCGCACGGGATTTGCCACTCCTCCTCACCCACCTTTACCCCCCTGCATACATTCTGGCTGCCGCAAGCGGCGGATCATGCAGGCAGACCCTCGGGGTCCCAAACGCGGTTACATCATCAGAGCAATTTCGTGAACTTCAACAATCTACGAACTTACCGGTGGAAAGATATTTGCGTTCCTTTCGAAGCTTTCTTTTTGCATAGCGCGCAGAAGTACGGCCTCGCGTTAACGCCAAACTAAACCATACACCCGGCTTCGCCGGTGCGGCGCGGGTGGGCGCGGTTGAGGAATACGAAACTGCGCAACCACCAGATTTCCGAAATTTCGACAGAAGGGAAGGGAAGTTAATGCAGCTCAGAATTTAGTTTACAACGTCAAATTATCACTGTTTATATTGCTGAGAGTTTTCACTCTTCGCGTTTACCATGGCAACGTTGCTTTCTTTCTCTCGTGTTCTGTCGCTCTCTTTTGCGATCGTTCACTCGGGACCCCGGGTGTCGGCGCACGGGATTTGCCACTCCTCCTCACCCACCTTTACCCCCCCTGGCTATGGCAGTGCTTGCAAGCTGGAAATTCACAAGACGCCGAAACGTTACGACCTTACCGAACGTGGGAAGCTCGCACCGGAGGTAGGACAACTGGAAGGTCTCCCTGCCGTTATCATCCGGTCTGTCACCGTTCCAATGTTTGGTTTGTCTTTGTTTTTTACGTTCTTGCCATTTTTTATTAGATTTATTACAGGTTACAAGACAACGAGGGGCATGACGTCATTCTTTTGAAGCCTAGTCATAACGTAAACTAGGCGAATGTAAACATCAACATTCTGTAAACACTGTGTCGCCGATCACGTCTACCAAAGTCTTTAGTATGGTACGTTGTTGGGCTAGTTGGTTCATCTTAGTAAAAGATACAAAAATCGCGCAAAAAAAGATAAGGGAAGAAGTATACAGGACTAGCGGTACCTAACAAAGTCTTTTTTTTTTTTTTTTTTTATTGCGTTCTGTTTGATTTGTAGGGTGTACGGTGGTACGGTCATGAGCAGACGCACGGAGCATTCAGCGCGGCGAAACGAAAGTGTTGTGGCGTTGCGCGCGGCTTCGTGTTGTGCGGCTGCAAAAACTCGCTCCGGTCGTTCCGTTCTTCCGTGGGAATTTCGTTTAACCAGTAAGGCCCATGTGAATAGACCATATGCAAAAAGAAGCGCCATCTAGTGTATTCATGATCAATTATCAGATTTCCCCCATATTGGGGGGTTCCCGTACCGATGGTTTCGCCCGTTTCACATTCGTCCCGGCAAAATGGAAGTTGTAGAACTAAAATATGGCCACCTGATGCTGGTTCAGTACGAACTGTCCACAGACGTCTTCGAGAAATACCGTTCATTGACCTGGATGGCCCAGTTCACTGCTTGAGTGACGAGTCTTGCGACCTCGTTGATGACAATTCCCTTCTTAGAATTTTGCGGCCGTCTTTCTTTTCTTCTTTGAACCGAAACTAACCAGCAACCGGTTGAGTGTACAAATAAACTGCCCTAAAATCATGAAAACCGAGATTAATGTAGGTGCGCCTCGTCCACAACTGGAAGATGCGATAAACCCCCCAATATGGCGGCTCTTAATCGCATGATGATGATTGCTGGCAAGGATTTTGCATATGGCCTATTACATTCCGAATTTTACAGTAACGTGAAATAATTAGTGATTACCCGCAATAGCTTAGCCATTTTTTTTGGTGTGGGGGAGGGGGGGGGGGGATTGCGTTGCGTAGGTGGCTCAGATGGCCGTTCCACTAGGAAGAGAGGAGAGAGAAAAAATGCCCTCCCCCTCTCACCCCGCGCGTCGTCTGCTCCACCGAGTAGGCTGTACCTAACACCAGGCTGCCGTTCAAACTCGGTTTAAAATCGCGTTATTTTGGACATTTCAAGCGCAGATGCGCGGTTTTCAATATGCAAGTTATCGTGTAATGCTATGCTCTGTAAAAAGACTAACCGGGTCCTATTCCGCTGTTACCTGGGTACAAATTAAAAAAAAAAAAAGAAATGGAAAAATTGCGTCAGAGTGGCCGGTCCTCTAGCGAAAAATAAATCCGGTTGCTGTAGTTTTTTTTACTATACAAAGTTCGTACTGGTGTAGGCCTTTAGAGTCAATGAATGGAAGTCTGGAAAAATAAATAAAAACGTGCTCTCCTGACGCAATAGACCCAGTGGTTGATGGTAGTACTGCCGGTTGACTCCACTGCTATCGAAGTAACCGAACAAAGTGTCAAAGATACGCTATTTGATCCTGAAATAAAACAACAGAGCGTGATAGGCTGATTTTGGAATGGCTATAAATATTCTAAGAACGCGAACCACCTCACAACGGCAGCCACGAGCGAGAGTTCGATGTTCGGTACAGCCCGCCTGTATAGCCCAAAGGTGGAGAGCGGCAACCTCCCGGTTTGTCGTCTGCTTGTCGGGCGCGTGCCCTCTCTCTCGTTTTACCCCGCTGAACCTGCTGAACTTCCCAGATATGGGGAGAGGGCGCTGCAGTCGACCAAAATGGCGCCGCCCTGAGGGCGCTAAAGGGAATGGTCTACGACTCCACGAGGTCGGCTGGATTTGGGGGGGGGGGGGGGGGGGGGGAGGGAGGGGAGGGGAGGGGAGGGGAGGGAGGGAAGGAAGGGGAGGGGACTGAAGCCCTACTACCAACGTCCCTGATTCCCCGACACTCACCGAACTGAGAAAGCGGCGGGTTTCGTTCCTCAGTCACCGTCGCGGCAATGATGACCCCATCGAAGAGGATCCGAGTGTGCGGACTCTGTGCTCTTCAAAGCAGATGACAAGAGCATGTTGAAGGAAGTGTAGAGCTGGACTTCTCCAGTGACAGTTCATACGCTGGCTTCTCCTATTTCGGAGGGCTACCCACGGGTGAAGATAAAACTTATTTGAGACGTTCGCGCAATTGTCACTCAGTGGTCAAATTTCGCTACGCAAACCTGAGCTTCAGGTATGCACGAGAGTATTTATTCTTTTGGAGGTAAATTATGAAGACGCAATAAAGGTCGTACGGCCCTTAAATTTTTCCTTGAGGGCGCTGGAGATTTTTAATAAAATCCCGAAATATTACCATCTTAACTGTTTAAGCGCGTTTTGAGAGGGGAAAAAAAACGTGACGAAACGCTTGGCCGTACGTAGGGGTGCCTTTTAATCTTAATTTTAAGTACATGACGAGAAAACTCCATATTGGTTGCAATGAGATGGCACAGTTCTTGCGGGTCAAGGAGGTGAAAATAAAGAAAAGACCTGCTCAGAGAACAAGAAAGGTAAGTTGTGACGGCCTGGAGCTGAGCCGGTTGGTTCGACATGCTTCCTTGAATACCAGTTGAACGTAGAGGAAAAGCGAAGGAGAGGGGAAAACAAAGAACCACACTGCCGGGCTATCAACTTTTTAATAAGAACTTCCTTTTCTTTGACACTACCCGTGGGGGTATCTTCTTTTTCATCTGTTGGATCTTAGATAGAAAAACTTTCTTTTCCTCGATACTAACCGTAGAGTTAACCTCTTCTTCAGCTGTCGGATCTTGGCATTCAAATGGTCCCGGCTTGGTTGGTCCGAGGGGCCGCACCCCGCAGATATATTTTTTCTTTAGGAAAAAGCGCAACGGAGGCGGCACTTGCGCATTCTCCACCACTCTCCTCAATGGCCAGCGATTCGAGGATCTCCCTCCCAAGCTGTTTTCGGTGTCATGCGACAACGGTGACGTTTGAGAAGTCGAGAGCACACTGTTTGCGTTCCCGACAATGCGCCGAAAGGTGGCCAGCCGACGTTAGTGCGGCCACAGAGGCTGCATGTTCTCTGGTGCGGTCATTTATATACCTCCCCGTTTGCCCTATGTAGAATTTGCCACATGACATAGGGATATTGTAGACGACTCCTTTTTCGCATGGGGCGTAGGGTGTTCGATGCGCAGTGCCGCAGGTGGTCGTCACGTTCTGTTCGGTCTCCCGGCGCCTTGTTGGGGGCTGAGCACGCGACATGGATGCCTTGTCGGCCAGCGATCTTTTTTAGACGATGAGTGATCCCGTGCATACGAAAGTCTTTGGGTTTTTTTTCGTTGGTTCATTTTTTTTGCGAATTATGTCGCACTTGCTTGCAGAGCTTCTCACATATCGGTACCAGGAGGTTACTCGAGTAACCGGAGTCCTGAAGTCTGCAAAGCTGTCTTTGAAAGCTGCGCCCCACATTATGAGGGCAGGATTTTTGTAGCACCGAGACGAGAGCTTTGGAGGCCA